ACACGGTGGTGGGTCAGTATTTGTATGGGGTTGCATGAGTGCTTTTGGGGTGGGAAAACTTGCATTTATTGATGGAATTAGGGATCACAAAACGTATATTAATATTTTAAAAGAGAATCTTCTCTCTAGTGCAGCTCAAATGGGTTTTAACAATAATTGGATATTTTTACAAGATAATGACCCTAAACATAAAGCATGGAATACTAAAGCATGGATCCTGTTTAACGCTCCAAAATACCTAGAGATTCCTCCTCAATCACCTGATATTAATATTATAGAGCATGTGTAGGATTATCTCGATAATAAAATTCGAAATCGACCAATTTCGAGTAAAGAAACACTAAAAATTGCGCTTCGCGAAGAATGGGCATTGATACCGTCTTCTTATATTTTCAAACTAGTTGATTCGATGCCGCAGAGACTCCAAGCTATCATCAATGCTAACGGTAGTCCAACAAAGTATTAATATTTTTTTAATATTCATTTACTTACAAATTTTATAAGTGTACGAATACTTTTTGTTTGTCATTATTTGCATAGTTAACGTAAAAATATTTTTATGTTGTATAATTTTTTTTATTAAAAAACAAAAATTATCATAAATAAAGTGCGGGAATGTTAAAATATTTAATAGTATTGATTTAAATTAGATAAATAAAAGAAAGTCTATCAAATTCGTATTTTTTTTATTACAACCCTAGGTGTACGAATACTTTCTACACTCACTGTATATATGCCGAAGTGCATTTGCCGAGCGTGTTCGGCCAACGTATATTGGAACCTTAAAATATACGCCGCGACACTTTGCTACGTCCACAATGTGTACCTACAAGATCACAGCGAGCCACTCCTGTTCTCTTCCCAAGAAACTAGAATTTCTGGTATATTAATTAAGTAGCTGTATCCCGCGGCTTCGCCCGCGTGAATATTCTATATGTTAAGCTAGTACTAACCTACCCGTGACCAAATTTTATGCAAATCATTCAGAAGTTTTTACATGAAAGAGTTACAAATATCCATCCATCCTTACATACTTTCGATTTTATAATATTATAATAGGATTTAAATTGACAGACTGAAACATTAACACACTGACATTATTTAAATTTTGTAAATTTAATATATAACTTAATTATCTAGTACGTATATACCAATATAAAATACCTACTGTTAATATCTGACTAAATTATTTCACAATAGATATGATATGCATGAAACAGAATGCCATTTATGACATACATTATGATGACAATAATTGGTTTACCTAATAAACTAAGTAGGTACTTAGTTAATTAGACACTTACCTAATTGTACCACATACACGAGTATATTATGTACTTATTGCCTTAAAATTAATAATTTTATAAAATATAAATTATTATATTATAAAAATAGTTTGTAAAGACGTTTACATGTTTGTTACTCAATAATGCTTAAACAACTGAACGTATTTGAATGTAATTTGTACCCGAGTAGGGTATGTATCCTAACAAATAAGATGATAATTTATTCAACATAAATATACAGATGCAATTACAAGATGTATATCGTTACATATTGATTAACAGTGTATCTGGCCATCATGCTAAGAAAATCCTGTGTTTATGAAGGCCAGTTACATAATTTTCTTATATAAATTTAAGAAATTTTTAATAAACAAAAAATATACGATTAAAGGTTAAATTATTATACAAAAGATAAAAAATAATACTATTAAAAATATAGATAGCAATAATAATAGATACAAATAACAATAATATTAGTGTGAAATATAAAATTTACTGCCCTTACATATACATGTGAACTAGGCCATGTATCTATGAGTGCATGAGCTATTTGCATTTATAAGAAAAAAAAGTAAAATAAAGTAGGTATTGGTAATATATAATATATACAGGTTCACGCGTGCAAAGACGTGAAAAACACCTAATTAGGTATATTCGTTCTCTTTGCTCCTATTTCATTTAGAGTACCCAGTAAGCGTAGGGTTGTCACAAATATTACAATAGAAATTGAATTTTAATTTGACCTTGTATTGCAGCATAATGTCATACTAGGTTATTGTTCACACTTATATAATATTTAATTCAATATTTCACCGTCAGTGTCGGCAATGACTCATTTAAGGTAGGTAAAAATTCACACGTCAATATCTTTGCAAGCTAGTCACAATGACTGTTATTCCATAGAAATCCAGTACTCGCTGTGTAGACCTCTTTCTATCGTGTAGCTGACGGACGGACGGGACGCTTTACAACATATTTACGTTTCTGATTTTTTTTTTGTAAAATAAATATATAACTGTCAATAGAAAACTCTTTTACATTCGTAATTTTTCCTACCTACATTTTTCTTAAAGAAAAATGTTCGTTTAAATGTAAAATATTGAACTTCTGAAATTTCGTAAAGAGTATAATGACTCTTATATTTTTATTTTTATTTTGGGTATATAAGAATTACTGTATTTATGTATATAAAATCGCTTAATCCTCTGTTTGCTCAGACTTGATAGTTTCTGATTTTCTACCCTTTCTCATTGTCGCTATCAGCTATAATCATGGATCCGAGGTAAACAAACTTCTACAGACTATCTAGATCAGATAGTTCTCTAAAATATTGTAAGGTGCCTATTTGACTTGTAAATATTAGCTTAATTTTATCACGATTTTTATGGAAACCCTATTTCTTGATACGCTTTCACACTCTCATATTTTTCCAAATTTAAAGAAATTTTTAATAGATGAAAATTTTGTTGCTATTCCGCCGGTTTTATTGATATACTCTGGCTAATAATCCAGTCAGAGAAGGAAGACGAAATCGAGTCAACTGGGCCATAGTAACGAATACATCAGAAATTAACTACGGTGAATTCCAGGGTAAATGCGTGGAGATTTATCTGATAAGATATTATAGATTATTATATACTCTTATTGCTAGCAATGTGAAAAAAGGATGCAAACTTCTTCAATCGCCGTACAATCGTTGAATATAAACATTTAAGGTGGTAATATTTTGTATATGTCAATGAAAGTTCATAAGATCCTACATTTTCTAGTAATACATCCTTAGTTACTAATATTATATATGTAAAAGTGAGTTTGTTCGTTTGGTGCCTTATTACAAGTACTATATGCGATAGAAAAGGATATAGTCTTATTTTTATCTCGGTCAGTAAATATATCCCAGTGACACGGTCAAAGTCTCGTAAAGGTTTATACGATATATTCAGGATAGAAATCGTCATTTCGTGAAACTATGCCTATGCCATGGAAAATACATGTACTTATATCTACGTTTTTATTATTTCCCGTATCACAAAATGACATCGTACCATTTTATTGTGACAATAAAATAGTGAAGCAAAATATATGCAGTTAGTAGCTATAAAGAGATATATTTGCGTGAATTTTCTGGATGAGAATTTAATAAAAATACAATTATTTACATTTTGCTGTTTATGATAAATTTTCAATGCGTCAATTAAAAAAACTAGGTATAGAATGATAAATGCATTTGTATCTTACTTTGCGTTTTAATTGACTTTTTGTAATAATAATAGTACAAGTCTAATATCCCACTAATAAATTTATTATATTCAATTAACATTGAATTAGCTATACAATCTGTCAGCCCTATGCAAGATTACCATTCAGAACAATCGTTGTTTTGCCAGCGAGAAGTTTGGTAGAAACAAATGTTGCCATTTTATTTATTTTTGAAGTTTTTAGTACAATTGTAATATTTTACGTTAGTTCCTATTATAATGTATATTGTTAGCTCCTATTTGTTAATAATTATGATATTAATTAAATCGTCTGCTGATTGGAACGTAATTTCAAGAAAATGAGTCTCTAATATATATTAAAATTCAACATTACGCCGCTGGAAAATTTTTAAATAGATGTTTACTCCATTTTCGGCTGTAAAAATATTTTGTATACTAATTTTCTTTAAATTTATTTGTGTTTATGCATGATTGAGTAATAAACATCCAAATATCTTGTTATTGTTAGGAAAACAAACGTTCAAAAGGCCAGTTCAAAAGTCAATATTAGCTAAATATAAAATTTTGTAAAAAGTTCTGATTTCATGACTAAAGATTTATTAATTATAATATTCTATTATTAATCACGTACTCATTATAATTTACACTTTTTTCTTATAATGTGTTTACTAACCCAACCACATTTTACTTTGTTATATATTTTATATGTTACGCGTTACGGTCGCTCATGATTAAAATTCCCTGTTGGTCCCGGTACTATCGAGCACTTTCAACTAAAAATTAATTGTTCTTGCAATAAAATATAAAATTTTACTTTATTAAGCCTATATTTCTATGAAATAGTGCTCTATAATGATAATGCCATAACATTACTGACATTTTATAAAACTGTATTAGCCCATGTTCCTAAATAAATATGACAGATTTCACAAATTACTTATAATTTCATAACTACAGCGAAGTCGAAAAAATATTGCCTCAATGCTCATAAAAATATATTAAATTAATTTAATATTTGATTTAATATTTTTTTCTGTTGAGAAATTAAAAGTCTCCTTTTTTATTAAAACGATTTTTTTTTTCATTTATGATAGTGATAAAGATATAAATGCAAATATAGAAAAATGTCTTAAAAATAGTATTATAAACTTTAATCGTATTTCAAAGAGCTGAAGGGTTTTGGTATATTTTTTGTATTTTAGTTGGCAACACTTTTAGTGACAGCCAGCCAGCTGTGTGGAATGGATTGAAAATATTTCGACGAAAAGCGTAGTTCCCGTCCTTGATGTGTCATCCATTACAATTATTTCTATAAAACGTGGTATTAACCATAAAAATTCCTGTTACACATCAAACTCACGGAATTGCATTCGTTTTACAAATATTTTTGCAAATTCAACAAATCAGTGTCAGGTACTTGGTGATAAATTGTTAAAATGTTTATGTAACGTCGCATTGTCAGATCGCTGACTGCGTATTTCATCTTTTGTTCCAGATAGCTAAGCAGTGAGTGTCAGTGTCGCGTGTCGACCGTGTGTGCATCAAGTGTGACGCTGAGATTGGTACAAACAATTGTGATGTGTTTGTGAGGTGTTGGGTGCGGCGCAGTGGATGCGAAGGCAGCGGTGTAGCGCTCGCCCTGGCATGGTGCCGGGAAGGTAGCGCGCGCGGGCGGCCTGCGCAGGCCCCACACAAGCAGCCGCGTGTGTCCCCCAGCGTCGTCTATGGCCGAGCAACACATCACACCGTCGTCGCACTCTGCACTTACGAGAGAGTCCAGTGGGTAAGAATAATAAGCTGGTAACACTACAGTCACTATTTCTTCACAGCTGTCTCAACTACAGAATAGCTTCTCTTTTTCTTTCATACTTTTTGTATGCTGCTTCCTATACTTCGGACTGGAAATCATCATCATATCAGCCTTTAACTGTCTACTGTTGAATATAAGCTTCCTTCTTGGGGGTTTTACTAGTAGTTGCCACACTTAGCAGGCAGGTTGACAACTAAGGTTAGGCTTTAAATATGTTTTAAGAGGGATGCTGCTGCCCATCCCTCACCCTTTCTGAGCCACCTCTTACGACATGGAAGGGGTGGTTTATTCTATGCCGGGACCCACATGGCAAGGACTGGATATGGTCAAGAATAATTATATCAGTGCTTGAATTTACATGAATTATTTAAAATGAATTTATTTTTATAGTTTTTTTGGAAAATTTTATTGAATATTGAGATTTTGTCGCACTAATTATTGCATATGTATTAGCAGTAAAATAATACAATATCAAAGCATAAAATCTTAGTACTCAAGAATGGCAATGTATGAGGGCTACTATGAGCATCACAAAGAATTCTGCCATATCCAATACAACCACTTTCCGTTTGATGAGCCGCCATCTTGTTTGTCATTCTAAGTTGTATTAAAAAATATTTTTATGAAATAAATCTATGAGGAGTAATATGAATGTTAGTGTATTGGATGATATCCATGTCTCTGCTGTTTATATTTACAGTTACTATATTTTTCTTATTTGCCATTTTTAAGTTGATAAATAAAAAAAAAATTTGGAAAGGAGGGTAAGTTGAAGAATAAGTTAAGTATTAAAAGAATGGTTGGTAAATAAAAAATGTGGGGTACCTACCAACATATTTTTTAATGTAATATTATATAGCTCTAGATAAATACCTATATAATAATTTTAATCGTCTTTACAATCTAGCCATTATCTACTATTGAACATAGGTCTTCCTCTTATTTTACCAATACTAATGTCAAGTCCTTTGCAATAATATAAAGCAATGTTTACTGCTATATGTACACAGCAAAAGTCTATTCTATTATATACCACAAAGTATATCTAACATGTACCTGATATAGTACAACATAAAATAATGGTTTGAGCTAAGAAGGACTTATGATATGATGGTTATAATTGGACTTATGATGGTGGTTTTGATAATATAAAAAGTACATTTCAATATTTTCATTTCAACTTTTGACATTGTTGATGAGACAAATGTTTTTACTTATACAACAACATGGCGGCAATCAAGCATATGCTTTCTATTAAAAATAGTATTTTAAGAATATTGAACATTTTTACAATGTTCCTTATTTTTATTGTACTACTATATAGACAGTAAACTAGCTGATGGCTGATTAGGTGATGCAAACTGGTAACCATCATCTATAAACATGAACAACACTATAGACATCATGGAATACACCATAACCTTGTATTGGAATTCCTGAGGATAAAGGTGTTATATCTCTATTCTGTACCCTGTAAATTCACTACCATATTCCATCCATCAAACTGAAATGGTCATGCAATCACAGCAGTTTGGTGGCAGAAACAAGTGATACAGAGTGATACCCAATAAATATGTATAAAGTTCTCTTCTGGTCTTCTAAGGGTATATATTGACAGGTGTTTTGTACACACTCTAAGTATTTTTATTTTTTTATACTACTTGCCAATTTATCTGTCCATTATAGACCTCAAATATTAGGATGTTTAGATAACTATAAATTGATACTTTTTTAAATAAGTATACACCATATTAATAACTTTATTATAACATATTTGCTTTTTTATATACCTATACAATGATAGAAAGATCTAGATGTGATAAATTGCTAGGGAGCTGAAATAAGGCCATTTGTATAAAGTGTTGGTGTACCAATTGTCTATTGTTATATAATTATCTATAGTTATTTAGACAATATCCATTATACAAATGGAGCAGCTAATTTTCCTTTACCTATAAGACAACAGAATACAGATACTTAAACATGAAACACTATAGGTATAACAACTCAAAACTCAATTATTCATTAAAAATATTCCCTAAGAAGCTTTATAGCATATATTTGTTATTTTCACTATTGCCTCCTATTTTTACTAGATTTTAAGTATTTCTCTTTAATCAATCTACTTCCTACTATCACTGGATTTCAAATATTACTCTTAAATCAATTTAATTCTTATCTAAAATCAATATTGTAATAATATTATTTTCCTATGATTGTCTTGCTATAGAGAATTATATTTATAGTATAGATAATTAGAATAAACAAAATATATGTGTTGTGTCACTATCATTTGAGAATTTTGAATACATTAGCTCTCTAAGAACAGATGAACACAGTAATTAAGTGTTAATTTATTAAATTTGTCTAATATATAATAAAAAACAAAATATACAAGGAAGTATTCTACAGTTGTATATTTTTGTAAGTTCTTTATTTTTTTTCACATTCCATATATGTAATAAAACAATAAAACTTATACAAACAAATCAAAACAAAAGAAACTAGTAGGAATTTTTCAAATTTTATGGTAAAATGAGTCTATCTTGTTACAGTTTACTTTAATCTAATTTAAATTGAATTGTACTTGCAACTTCATACATTTTAAAGTTTTGATAACATTACAAGCTTATTTATTTAATGCTTTCCTTATGTCTCTGGCTGTTATTTAATATTATAGGAATTTGTACAGTAGTTTAACTGTCAAATGTATGACCATTTTCAAAATTACTTATATACATGTGGAAATATGTGCTTTTCAACATTTGTTCCAATCTCTAGTGTCTACATAGTATTTAGCATAGTTATTATATATTATTATAAAGAACTGTCAATTATGAATTATTTCATATACAATCAATTAATATATTAAAATATAATATGTGTAAAGCAATTTTAGAATATATATTATAATCTCTATTTTATTCTTTCTATTTTATTTATTGAGTTTATGTAAGAAATAATTGAATAATTTCATAAAATAACAGAGAAGTTGGGTCTGATAAATATTATTTGTGAAAATGTAAAGTACAATTAAATGTTGAGTCATTGTGGTTACTGGCCATACTCTTAACATTATGAACTGGCCCTTATCAATGGAATAACATCCAAAGTTGATAGAAATAAAAATTCAAATACATATATTCTGTAATGATCTTAGAATTACAGTATCAATTGTATAAATTTGGGCACACAGCTATTATTCTTTTCTTATATATGGATAAAATTAAACAATTATAAACAGAATATAATGTGTTATTTCTTGTATATGATCAAGATGCCATAAGGGACAGCTAAGGCAACACATTACAATCCATCAGAACAAAATAAGAAAGTCTCTAAATAAAACTCATATCAATTCACCTAATTAGCTAGACTAATATTTTCTTTAATATTCACTGACAAACAAATGTATCAGTGGATATGTTTACACTACCATATACACGAGATGGAATGAAACAGCAACATGCTGTATATAATTGTGTTTATAGTTGACTAGGAAACATAGTGGTCTCTACCAGTTGATTTGTTTGTCACTTGTTTAGAGGTATATTTAAAATAATTATTTATTTATTTAGTTATTAGCATGCGTGGTTTGCCAAAACAATGGCATGCAAAATTTTAATAAATTTTTCTAATATTAATGACAAAATATTATGTATGCACTTATAAAGTGGATTTTTTTTAGTTTAATAAGTCTAATTGAATAATAACACTCGTCCAAGAGCCATTTGTACCATAGTTTGTACCACTATAGTTGTAGTGTGCTCTTAAATTGTCTTTATTTATAAAAATATATAATTAATATTATTATTACGAATATAGTTAGGTAGTTCATTAAATTTCTTTTTTCTGATAGTTACAATCTCAATTAATATATCATTCTTAATCATCATCAATTATTAATATCATCCTTATCCATATTGTTGTTAATAATATATAAAAATAATAATATATTTATTTATGTCTCCTCACAAACAACTTAAATTTACACATAGGTATTTAGTATATTGTTAATATAAATTGAATTTGTAAAACCTAATTTAATTGTTTAATATTGATTAGGAGAATTTTTCATATTAAATTTACAAAAACTAATATTTTTTAAAGTTTGCCTAATATCTAACCTAGTCAGTTATAAAATTTCTTACCAAACGGACCAAAGTCATCAATTTAAAAATTCCTGTTTTGGATTTTGCAACTTATTTCTAGTTCCCCTAGTTAGTTTTCATAAAAACGTTCAATTTCCATCTTACTCATACTTATCGATCGTTACAATTACATATTTGAATATTACTATTATTTTGGACAGGTCTTCTCCTAGCAGGGTGGTGGGCGGTCGGTGGTTGCGTCAGGTTCGTCAAGCGAATCACAGTCGCCGAAATAGACGTAACGTGACGTCGCCCCTGCCGCGCTCCACCAGCCGTCACTCTTCCAGCCGCCGCGCCGACGCTGAGCAGCAAGCTCCCCTTGAGCTGCGCAGGAGTTCGCGCCTCATTAGTTCTCTACCTAGATCTGATTACTCCATCACTGAACGCTGGTCTTACGGTGCCGACGTATACGAAACACGCTGTGACACTACCAACTTCAAAGGTGGAGACATCACTAAGTCTTCCACGAACATATATCCGAAACGCGGACGAACTTCCTCGCATGAAAGGAAGAAACGCAAGAGCTATTCCATATCGAACAATAGCACTGAAGATTGCGTCGCCTATTGTACGCGCTCACGGACTGCTCTTAAATCTACTGAGAGTGCTTGTGAGCAATTAACAAACAGTATAAAACCACAAACATTGTCGCATACAGTTACTCAGAACGCTACAGTTACTTCGACTCATCATCTGCAGTTGAATCAGTCGGAAGGAGGGTTACTACCATTAGAAGACAGAGATTTTGCTTACTCGCCATTTAGTTCATCAACTGTAACAGAACTTCTAGACTCTGACTACTCTGTGTACAGTCCGACGACTACCCGAAGGAAAGGGAAGAAAAGAAAGCGCTCAGCACATCGCTCTTTATCAAATAAGAGAAGCAATTTCCTGATTAATTTTGAGGAGTGTACCAAGAAATTTAAAATTGATTCTCATAATAGAGAAGTATCAGAAACAAACAAGGAATTTACAGAAAACAAAGTTTTTGACTTGGAAACTGAGAAATCGGAGCATCCGTCAGCGTCGTTCACGTCGTGCACGTACCTGTTACGAAATAGACACCATCGTGACCTCGGACCACCTACCTCAACTATTATTAGTGATCATTCAGGTATATTATATACACTAATGACATTAATTTATTAATTAACTACATTAAATAGCCATCAATTGAAATCATGTAATTAAAATACCGAATTAGTTAATGGTAAATTAATTTACACATTAGTGTCATATCTTATTTGGAGAATACCAAGCAGTTTATTGTGGCAGTTGCTGTCTTATCGTACTGTGTTATCGTTTTGTATCTAGCGCAATCATTCAAAAGATAATATATAACTTCGCATTGTATAATAATATTCACGTGTCGATGTTACAGAACACCCGTCAACGAGTGACGCGGTACATAATAGCACAACAACAGAGCACAAAAGCGGCGCAGATAGCCGCGGAAGGACTAGTACTCCTCCACCTTATAAGGATATTGAAGGTATTCGAAGTTTTAATTTTAACTAGATAATATGAACATTGCAACAATTAATATGCTGTTATTATAGATAGATTGTACTGCATCTGTCAGAGAAGTGAATCTTGCGGAGTTTGTAGATGTGTAGATGAATCAAGGGCTTACGACTATTTAAAAAAATGTGCTTTTAACGTTTTCTTTTTTTAAAAGGTGTTTTATATTTTTATTCTACTTTCCCATTTTGTATTATAAAGGACAAATAGCAAAAGAGATAGTAGAAAAATGAACATTTTCCTAAAAAAAAAAAACATTGTATGAACGTGGTCTTTATTTTACAGAAGCAAGCTCATCGAAAGGGCATAGTTCAGCCAGCAAGCTTCTTATAGTTCCACGCGACCTTCCCTATTTACGTCAAACTAACGCGCGGAGAGTAAGATATATTACTTACTATAAACTCATAAGATTAGTAAACCAACTTCAAAAAGAAGGTTCTAAATTCAGTTGTTTTTTTATGTTGGTAACCTCATAGCTCTGTCAGTTCTAAATCAATTTGGATATTTTTATCTGAAAGAATATACACAGATTGGTCCCATAGAAATTATCAAAAATCAGTTCAGTAGTTTAGTTTATAGATCAAAATAACTGTCATGTTTTGTCACAACCAAAGTTGATTTTGTTTTGTGGGACACAATCTTGAATTATTTTGAACTTAAGATAGTATTTACCATGAAATGCTAGCATAAATAATATATTCACATTACCAAAATAAATGGAAACACTCATTTGTTTCACTATTGATATCTTATGTGTACACATGACGTATTAATAATATTTGATAGTGTATATATACTATTACATGTACACACTTTTATATGTATGAATAGTGTAGTTTTGACTTTAGAATGTAGCATAATTTAAATTTTACTATATCATGCTGTAAAATAATACACTTATTTCAAAATATTATTTAATATTTGTACTTCGTATAATAATTTTTCAGAGTATCGCTGCTGCGACGGGGGCGACCCTGGGTGCTTGCCTGACGAGAGGAGCCAGCACTTCTCAGCGTCAGAGGCAGGATACTGCTTCAAAAAGACAGGCAAGTTTATAAAATTTGTGATCCCTTTAGATGATATTGTTATAATGTTAGTATAGAGACGAAACCATAGAAGCCAAAATATGAAATTTGGTAAAAGTGATCAATTTTTGTACAATTGTAGGCGTCAGCGTTATTTGAGAAATCATACTTGGTTTTTTCTGACATCACAAAAGTTGTCTGTAGTGAACCAAATTCTAATTCTAGATATGGTTTTGTCTTCAAATTATCAAGTTATGGATCAAGTTTGTTTATTAGCTTCTCATTCAAAAAGCAATGAAATTTCAATAATATCTTAATTGAATATTAATGAAATATTAATATTTTGACTTCAAACAAAAGGAAAAGTTCTCTATTCGTCTTTATTTTTCCCCCTTTGTCAGTTGGCTCGTCACTGACAAATTCACTAGTAACTCATCACTACGGTGTCCAAGATGAACCACATTAGCGATCAACCTCACAGTGTATATTCCTAGTAATGGTTTCATCAGTTACCGTTGCTAATGTTCTTTTCCCACCCAACACTTTCTGGTTTGTTACGGTAGTTTTGTGAAATTCCTTTTCTTGTACAAGAATGAATTTGTTATTAATGTAATTGTGCGCTATAGACGGGCGGCAGCGAGGGCGCAGGCAGCAGCGCGGCGAGCGGCCGGCGGGCGCGAGCTCGCGACATGCCGCAGCCGCAGCCAGCGTCCACGCGTCGAGACAAACGAGGTGACTACCCTTCTACACATACAATCCAACAAAAGCGTTCATAGCAAAGCTTACGGAAATCTGACAACGTTACAGTTATCTGTCAAATACATCTGATTAAATTACTTTTCCTAAAAATAATAAAATTGTTAATTATCTCTCATTTTTATTTATGTGCAAAACAATTCTTTTTCGTGACTCTATTTTTTATTTCATATTATTTTATTATTACAGGCAAAAGCAGTCTGGGTTCTTGTGCCAGTACTGGTGGTGCGTCCAGCCGGTCCCACCCCCAGCCTCTAACCACGGTAACATTATGATTTTTAAATTGATATATTTGTATTTTTTGAAAGTAAATAAATAAAATTTCATTTTATAAATATTATTTATTATTTAGGGTGCCGTGGCATCCACATCTTCCACACCGCCGGCTTCTGCTTCGGCCGCTTCGATGCCTGACAACGCGTCCAATGACGCAAAACCTAAAGGCAAAGGTGAGACCTTTACTGACCTACTTATTTATATGCACAATCATTTATGTTTTACGTTTTCATCGTAATGTAATATAAAGAGAAATATATTTTTACAACATTCATTAAACTATATAACAAACAGTATTCATTGAAATATAATAAAACTAAGGATTATATAAATGTAATAGTAGGTAATTTTAAATTTTTCGCGTTGTTTAAACATTTTTTAAATACACAATTGGGACTTCACGCGATGAAAACGTTAAAAATTAAAAAATATATAATGTAATGAAAATTATGAATAATTATATCAAAACTATCAACCTACTATTACACAAGAAGAAAGCATTGTTCCATGGAAAATATAAAACAAACACATGAAACTTCTATGATTTGAAATTTTCAATTAAATTAGTAATTTAACTGATATTTTTTGTGATGCGTTGACATTTTCTTCGGATAACATACACACCACCATTGTTACCGATTTACTGTGTTCATCAGCGGAGGAGTGCGCCGGCGGAGGCGGCGGCGGCGGCGGTGGCGGAGGCAGCGGCAGCGGCGTCGCGAGCGCTGGCGGCACGTCAGCGACGGGCAGCGGCGCGGCGGCGGCGGCCGCGGAGGAGTCCTCCTCGGAGGAGGGCGAGGTGGGGCGGCTGCAGGCGCTGCTGGAGGCGCGCGGCCTGCCGCCACACCTGCTGGGCGCGCTCGGCCCGCGGATGCAGCACCTGTTGCACAGAACCGTCACTGCTAACTCAGGTACACTTATTTATTGTACTTGATACGGCAAACACGCTCAATGTAAGCGATAACCGTTGCTTTAAGTCATCAACAGTAACAGTAACGACAGTAATATATACCTTAATAAATATTCTACAAATCGTAAGACTATAAAAGTACAGTTTAATTGCAAAATACTTGTAAGACCTACCAAGACTTAGACAATCAACCTAGACATTACCTACTATTCATGTATATGACTGTATAATTTTGTCCATGTGGTAGAGATATAATGTTTACTGGTCAGGATAAATGTAACCTAAAGATTTCTCAAGGTAAAATAGTATGTGTATGAGATTATCATATACCTATTTCTCTTTCTGGTTCATATATCAAGTTTCATGACGTATTAACCCTTATATATGTATGTGTATGTGTATAAGTTTTTATTTATTAATGTTATATTATTATTAATTTACTTTTATTATTTACATATGTAGGTATATAGAGCTGTTTTTATTGTGTTATATATTCATTTTTTTTTTTTTTTTTTATATTTAGTTTATCTTTAATTGTTTATTACATACATTCTACAGTTTTCTTTCAGCTTCTCAAAGGTTGACTGTAAGAGATCCCTTTATGGGATAAGTCCGCCATTGTATACTAAATCATTTACTAGTATTTAATTTGACTTATGTACAATAAAGATTTTTACAATACAATTACAATACAACCCTTAGTTGCCAAGAGTTAACAAACAAACCTATTTTTACATTATAATTCTGCAGTTATGTGTTTGTATTTTCTTACATTAAACAATACACTGGCTATTTTATACTTTACTCTGAAACATAGTTCACACAATACTCTCACCAGTAAAAAAATTACAGGACATAACATTATAATGTGTAATTAAATTTATGCACAGCCGCATCTAAAGCTGCCCAGTTGTTAGCCGGACTACAAGCTACGGGCGACGAAGGCCAGCAGCTGCAAGCCGTGATTGAGATGTGCCAACTACTTGTAATGGGCAATGAGGACACACTTGCTGGCTTCCCTGTCAGGCAGGTGGTTCCAGCGCTTGTGAATTTACTCGCTGCGGAACACAATTTTGATATGGTAAGTGTAAATAATATATGGTCTTTTAAAATACATTAATTCATATTTATACTGTTAAATAAGCTTAAAAGTTAAAGATTTACGACTTTAATCTAGAATTAACTTACTTTATTAACTGCAAACAGTAGTAGGTTCTTATTTTGATTGCTTTTTTTAAACCTCTTGACACCAGAGGGCGCTACCCTCACATGTATACTTGTATTGAATGAGGGAAATAAAGAATGAAACAAATAATTAAATCCTACTAAAACTATTATTATTTATATTATTATTTAAAAATGTTTGTACTTTGTTACACTTAAATGACTAAATAGATTTGAATGAGATTTGATAAACATATGTCATATCCTAACACATAGATATAGTATTCGTAATATATAGTGGTATATGTGGCCAAAGCCAACCGCGAAAACAATAACATTGCGATGTGTGCGCAGATGAACCATGCGTGCCGCGCGCTGACGTATATGCTGGAGGCGCTGCCACGGAGCAGCGGCGCAGTAGTGCTGGCGGTGCCGGCCTTCCTCGACAAACTGCAGGCCATCACCTGCATGGACGTCGCCGAGCAGAGCCTCACCGCGCTCGACATGCTCTCGCGCCGCCACTCCAAGGCGATACTGCAGGCGGTACGTATAAATTTTTTTATAGGTGATAATAAAATGTTTACCGCGCTTGCGCTATCAATATAAGTTGGCGAGGCATCAGTAAGGTATGATAGGTGACGATGAAAGCAGGTCAGTTAGCTCATCCTGACGAATTCCATTAAATTAACCACGACAGTTTTCAGAGGGAACCGTGTGGAGGTCGATCTGATAGGGTGTATTGCTAACAATGAGGCAGCTAGACCCCATTACTAATAATCCCCTTTCTTCCAGATATGTATATATTATAAAATCTACCTTTATATATATATATACCTTCTATCTACGCTTTTAACATTTACTAATTTAACTCTACCTTCTACATCAGGAATACTATGTCTGCTGAATCAGGTGGATTACACTCCTCAAGTGTCACAAAGTTGTGACACAAATAAATATCTTCATGTGCTCGGACAACCAAAATAACATTGTTTTTATTTCAATAGCGCGGTGTATCGGCCTGCTTGACATACCTGGACTTCTTTTCGATCAACGCACAGCGCGCCGCGCTCTCCATCACTGCAAATTGCTGCCAAAACCTCACACCAGATGAGTTCCATCTCGTTAGGGACTCGCTGCAACTGCTTGCTAACAGGTAAATCATAAAGTTCAATAAATTGGCAATTTTATTGTAGTAAAATAGTGAAAATAAGATTCTGACGTTTGATATATAGATAGATAGATACTCTTTATTGTTTCCTCCAAAAGATTACAATAGTAAACTTATTATAAATATAAATAATTACAAGAAATAATCACAATGAGAAAACAATGGGCGACCTTATCGCTAAGAGCTTTCTCTTCCAGGCAACCTTTGGATGGAGAGGAGTAATTATAAACAATTTGGTAGGAGGCATGATGAAAAATTTTATTAGTTCTAGATATGGGAGATGTAATACATATAATAATATAAATATTATCCCATATAATAATATAATTATTATATATATAAATATTTGATTTGACTTTATCATTTGGTTTACGATAAAAATAAAATTTCCAGTCATAGAAATATTATCTAAACATGAATATTATATTGTTCTATAATATTATATAATTTTATTGCCTAAAATTGTGATTAATAATTCATTCTTCAGTGATTAAATGCTAAGTGAGAGATGAGCATGCTCATTAATCAATAATTTATCAAGAAATGCAATATTGAAATAAAATACGTAATGGAATGTGTCAAACATTTTCTCAGCCTTTTCTGCATGTCTAAGAATTTGTTTTTAATTGTGATTTTCTTTGCAGACTCACACAACAAGATAAAAAGTCTGTGGAATGTGTATGTCTTGCGTTCTCTCGCCTAGTGGACAGTTTTCAACATGATCCCGCACGCCTACAGGAGATTGCCACGCCAGAATTGTTAACTAATTTGCAACAACTAGTAAGTTCATCGTAATATTTATTATATAGTCATCTGTTAAAATTCTCCTTTTGTTTACCTATTAGAATTATCGACAAGCTGTTTTGCATGATTCAGAATGATTAATAAACTGAAAGCCTGTCTGTAGAAAAAGGTTGTGTATGTGTGTGTAAGGAATACATTTCAAACTGAAACAGCTATGCAACTGTTTGCTTGATATGTACCAGTTTAAAAAGTCAGATATATTATTAATAAAGTTACTTGAACATAACACTTTGAAATTCAGAAATGACTTTATTCTTTGATGTTTATAACCCTGTTTGTGTATTTAAACAATGGTTACTTGAAGTTATTTAAAAAATTGTGTGAATATAATGTACTTAGTATGTACGAGTCTCATTAAATTTTTTTCTAATTCCATGTAGCTGGTAGTACAGCCGCCCCTGATCTCCGGCGCTACATTCATCACGGTACTGCGCCTGCTATGGGTGATGTGCGCGGCGTGCCCGCAGCTGGCGCTCGCGCTTCACCAGCGTTCTATCGCTGACACGTTGCTTTGCCTCCTCACCGGCTCTACTCTGCACCAAGAGGTAAAGAAAATGAAACATACTTAAGTTATATTGTAACCTAAAAAAAAATGTAACATATATAGTTTATATGTTTGAGTTTAATATATTGGATTTCTAAACACAAAGATTGAAATTTAATCGTTTCCATTTACTTAAGGTTGGACAAATTAATAATTGTAATTAAATATTTTTATGTTTATAGCAAGTGGAACTATTACCGCGGTTACCCCAAGAACTATACGAGATCACGTGCCTGATTGGCGAGCTGATGCCGCGACTGCCGACTGACGGCATCTTCGCGGTGGATGCTCATCTCGATCGTCCTTGGTCCGCCGCTAACGACCGCACCGCTCACTGGCAGTGGCGCGATGATAGAGGTATACTTTTTTTTTAGAATTCATAATGGCACGTTATTGGTATTGTATCTAAAACACAAGTCAGAGGTGAAATTATGTATTAAAAATAATATATCTTTCTCTTTCCAGTAAATATTTTTCTGCTTATGTTAAACAATGAATAAATAAAATATATTTAGTCAGAATTATGTAAATACAAGTAGATTGTAATTAAATACATAACTTTTATTCATAATTCAGGTACATGGCGATCTTACTCGTGGGCTGAGAGTCGTGCACTGGAGGCAGGCGCTGCGGCGGGCGAAGAGGAAGTCTGCCTGTCGACATTAGGCCGTTCATATACGGTGGATCTGACTGCTATGCAACAGCTTAATGATCATACGGGTACCGCGCGCCCCGTGCAGCGTGTAGCGCCCGCGCCCTGCCCACCTGATCAGTCAGGCTCCGCATCCACTACTGCACCTGGTATGTTATGTTTATCTTCATAAAAATTAAGCCAACTTGTTAATGTCTCTCGTAATTCTGAAAAACCTGTTGAAATGAAATCGTCACTATAATAAATAGATATGATCTAATAATTATTTAAAAGATACCATAATACTTTACTTCAACCACGATACAACAACAGTGTTGAGATTAGGACCTACAATGTATTGAATCCATACTCAAAATACTATATTAAAACTAATAGATCTATCTAATATTTTTTTTTTACACCTTTCCGCTAATTGTAACTATCCTGGTCACGGCACCAAACTGTAACGGAGGATATGTTATCGAGCAAAATAAAAAAAAATCTTTTGTTAATTAATTTGATATTTTGCAACTAATTTCCTTTTTTTTTTTACAAGTAACACTTAAAGTTCCAATCTATTGGAACTATAACTCGTGTATTCTGTTACGTAATAATTGATAATGACGGTGTCCAGATCCGCGCATTGCGATGGTTCGCTGCAACCCATTACTGGCGCGCGCTCTGTTAGCCGTGCTGCATGAAGTGTATTGGAGTTCAGCCGGGCCTGCCGTTCGCTCACAAGCACTCAAGGCTATTTTACGCTGCGTGTACTACGCTGATGCGCCGCTACTGCGTCAAGTACTGAAAATGCAGGTTTGTAGTACCATAATATTGAGGCAAGTCCAAATAGAAGTCGACCGAATAATGGGCGCGTACCCTAAACAAGATTTCAAGCATAACACTTCAATATGTTTGACAGAATGGATGGGGAATTAATTCATTGTTCGAATTTCAGTAAGTAAGGTTATACTTTTGTCTTTAAATTGACAAAGTGCCGAGCTAAGCAAAAATTAACATGCATTGTTCGTAAAGCAAGCATCATTTTCTTCTGTGACTACCATGGATTGTTTTCGTAATGTGGTGATGACTTATCGTTACTGAAGAATTGGTTGATAATCTCATTACTTAGTATATATATACCCTTTATTTTACATAGTTCGTATAGGATATCCAGAATCACTAACCACACTGCCACACTCATTCACTGCCTCCTACATGTACTTCATTTAGTAATAACAGACCTTATAAAGAATGATATGATTCTAATCAGGTAATATCTTCACACATCGCGGGCATGATGGCATCGAGCGACCTCCGCATCGTGGTAGGGTCGCTGCAGCTAGCTGAGATTCTGATGCAGCGGTTGCCAGAGGAGATGAGCGCGCAATTCCGGCGTGAAGGGGTCCTGCACCAGGTAGCACAGTTGGCTGAACGCGCGCCCGCTGTCGCCACCGCTACTACTGCCGCCGCCGCCCCACGTCATTCCAAGCTTAAGGTACATGCATACAAATTAATATTCCTGAACATATCATACAATGTTGTCTAGTCTCAAAGTAAACAGATTTTGCCGACATAGACTAATATAACTTAGTTAAATTAGTAGGTAATTATCTAAATGTTTTATTGTAATTGAATGTCTAAATTTTGTTATGATATTTAGCATGGCAAATCAAGTTTACGATTCACCTGATTGAAAGTGATAAACGTCGCCTATAGACATGGACAGCAGTATGGACATTATACTATACACTCTAATACCTCATGCATTGCCATTTCTGAGGACTACATTGTAAATACCTACATATACAAACAAGAAGGCAGTGTTTAATCTGTAGATCGCCAAGTTGCCGTCAAGCATTAAGTCTGCCCTGTATACATATTTAAATATGTGCAAAAGTATAAATAAATAAATAGTTTTTTTTTTTTTTTTAATGAATATTTATACCACGCTAACTACATTGTTCAATTATACATATTTCCATATGTAAAATGCAGTCTATATACAACTAATCACATCTCTTATTTTGTAATTCTCAACAGTCACCAAGCGCCACCAGCGTGCGTTCAAGTGGCGGTTCATCTCCGCCGGCATCCACTTCGGCTACGTCTGTAGATCACAACAATTTGTCTATGGCTTTCTCTGCATCTGGTTCTTTTGTCGCTAGCTCGCTACGTAAGTATCTTTTATATAGTCTATATATTTTCATACTATGTCATATTATTCCCTTGATACCCTTGGTGGCAATCCAGCTCAGAAACTGATAGTGAGCGCTTACTTGTAGCTAATATTCGCAAAGAACAAAACCACTAATTTGAAAAATCTATCTACAGCACCCAATAACTTTACAATCATATCTCATTCTTCAAGTCGAAACATAAGACATAAACAAATTCTGAAGTAACTGAACTATCCCTGAATACAAGGTCTTTTAGTAACATACGCCTGCGTAAACTAATACCCAACCTTTGCATACGAACATGAACAATGCTGTAATACACAAAGTACTATTATTTTCTCCAATCATAGCGCTTCTGTATCTGATGTCATTAAATGTTGATACATTGTGTTGAAAAAAGATAAACATATCTCTGGATTTGATTAGTCACTGCATACATACATACATATTTGTCACGCGTCTTCCATTAGAGTAGGCAGAAACAATAGAAGTACATACTTATATGTATTTATTTGGAGTTATCATACTTGAAGACTTTCTTCAATGAATTTTTTTCTTTATAGCCACAGGCAGTGAGGGCAGTGGCTCTGAACCTGGCCAGCCGTCATCCTCTACACACCCACAAAACTCCAGCTCAGTACACAGGTTTGTTGGTTTTATCTGTGATAGTTGTTATTACTATTTAAATAAATATAAAGAAAAAAATAATATTTTTGGAGAATCATTTACTCACTGAAACACACCAGTGAAAAATGATCCATTAATTTTGATTTCATCTTGAAATCACATCACGAAATACAAAAATATTTGACCTCATAATTGAGTAGACCATGTCACTGGTACAGGTCGGGCAGTCCCCTGCAACTGACGGAGATGCTGAAACGCAAGCGCGCCGTGAAGCGGTCGGGAGGCGCGGGAGGGCGCCACGCTCGCCGCCGTGACGACGCGCCGCCGCACGCCGCGCCACCGCACGCGCATGCGCCGCACGGCGCCGCGCCGCCGCCGCACGCGCAGCCCGCTCCGCACGGTAACCGCATGCACTTAGCCATACAGTTGACTAACTTGATGTGACATTCATATGCTTTAAGTTTGTTTATGAACTCGGCGATAATGCGAAAAAAATTAATCCTTTTTCACTTCAGACTCTATTGTATTCTATAGTTGAGGATTGTCGCAATTAACAGAATAAATTTCTTATTAGGACACGTGTAAATAAATGAGAGACACACTCTCACTCCGGTGTCTATTCCTTGCATGCCTTGACTGATTTAGTGTTTAAAAAACAGGTTATTTTAGAGATAGACACACATATCTAAACATTTCCACCGAAATAATATAGAATTCAGTTTATATGCTATAATAATACTGTGTTATTTTAATTAAATATCAAGCTTTGAAGTATTTTGTAAAGATAATAGCCCATAGGAAGTGGTAATAGTAAATATGTATTTCTAATGGAATAGTATGAAAAAAAGACATAATATAACAAAAATAACAAAAAATGGTGCTCAAACACCATTTTTTTTTTTATATAATTTCACTACCTATTCTCTGTCTTAATGATCTTTTCTAATATCATACTTGTCCATATATTTCTACAAGATTTAACTTTGTGTACATACGTAGGATCGGGCGCGACGTCGGCGGGGCGATCGACATCTCGAGCGGGCGGTGCGTCGAAGACGTCGTCGTTCCTGTCGTCGCTGAACCCGTCGCGCTGGGGACGCTCACCGCACGCCCACAAAGACAGCGCCTTGCTTGCCTCGCCGCACACGTCCGCCAACCTCACTGTACAGAACAAGTCAGTTGCTGCCATTATAATATTTGTTTATATCATTTTTTTTTTTTTTTCATTAAGAATATATAAATACTTAATGTAACTGAAATATAAGCATAATTGGACACAATTGGCAAGAACTTTAGAACGAACATGCCAGTTTCTAAGAATACATATTTTCCTATTAAATAAATATTGAGTCACTTCAAAAAGATTTCGAAATCTATTAAATTATATACATCTATATTAGGATTGTATGTATTTACAAGTTATGGTAACTGCTTACAATTAGAAGAACTGCATACTAAATTAGCAAGGTACTGGGACTATCAATACCTTGTTAATTTAGTATTCAGCTCAATATGATAGAGCCAAATACAAAATTGACCACTAGGCAGTGTCGTCTGTGTGGCTCTAATGACTATGTTCTAAATCGTTTATAGGACAGTTTGAATAATGCTCCAAAATTTTAATTATATACGTATATACTTCCCTGACGAGGTTTTCCCAAGAGACTAGCATGGAATTCTTCAAAAGGGGGTAAAGAGGTTTCTTCAGGGTCGGCAACGCGCGCGTAATACTTATGGTATTGCAGATGTTCATAGGCTACGGTAACCACTTACCGTCAGGTGGGCCGTATGCTTGTTTTCCACCTCAGTGGTAAAAAAAAATCCTGCCATAAACTCAATGTTTAAAATTTATTTGTAAAAATTGAAAAGGTTATATTCAGGTGTAATTTAGAATGATAGTGTATACAGGGAGAAGGTGCGCGAGTGGATCCAGTGGACGGCGTCGCGGCTGCAGCGCAAGTGGGGCGCGCTGGGCTCGGACGGCGGCGCGCTGCAGCAGCTGGCCGCGCTGGCCGCCGCGCTGCCGCACGCGCCGCTGCAGCGCGCCGCGCTCGACCAGCTGCGCGACACGCTGCTGCAGCACGACGTCTCGCCCTTCGAGGTGCGGCGCCTCCCCCACTCACATACACCTTCAGTAGCGCACTTGGCATTTAAATGAAACAACTACATGGTGGACCTTATGGTCCGACTGTTCGTCCAACCTTCTACAGCATCATATCAGCCGTTGTCTGTCCAATGCTAAACATAGGCCTCCCCTATAGACTGCCATAAAGAACGGTTTTAAGTCACCTGCATCAACTGACTCCCTGCAATCCATTTGAGATCGTCACTGCATCTTTGGGGGGAAGGGTCTTCCTATACCATATCTGCTTATACGGTGCCACCACTCAGCAACCCTTTTTCATCATAGATGGGTTTTCTTCCATATGTAGAGAGCTAATTAGTGAATATTTTGATGATCTTGACTTATAGCTTTCTTAGTAGATAGTCTTATGTTAAATGTCAGTTGGGTCAGATTGTTGTCACGTTGAAGTATTGAACTGTTAGACGACAGTGTAATGCCAGCATTATACCAAGTGCCCACTGAACAAACATACATTATATAGAATAAAATCGAAGTCATAAGCTATTTAGGGTGTTTCTAGCAACGAATCAGAAACATGGTTTGAAAGTTTTATTGATGATAATGAAGTCTATAATTCCTACTAACTTAACAGCTAAATATCCCGTAGTTATGTTTCGTGAACAAATTTGGTGGGTTATATTTCTTTTAGGCAAAAAGTGGCAGTGATGGTCACCAACTGCATATGTTATTATTCTCATGCTTAAATAAATCATAATAAACAATTCACTATTCTTATCTGAAAATATATTCTTATGTACAGGTGAATCATTCCGGAGTGCTGGGTGCCCTGCTCCAATTCCTTACGGGCGGAGAACAGGACCCAGAGACTTCCAGCCAGGAGCAAGAAGGAGAAGGCGAAGGTCGAGATTCCGCTGAACTAGTCGCTGCCTGCGAGCAGCGCCTTAGGCTCTTCCTACACGTCTTCGCAGATATGCCACTCTCAGCTGAGTAAGTTTCCTAGTTTTTGACGTCACTTTTTTCGACGTCAGTTTTTCTTGATATATTTCCCTTAGAATGCCACAGATTATTTTAATAAATTTATATTAATATGGTATGATTTTCTACTACTTATTATCTGTGGTCCATATTTTGGTTAAACAGACTGACATTTCAGTTGAATAGAGCAGTATAGGATATATAAATTTTATTTGAATTATTTAACGTTCAAAATTTTAAAGTAACAGCATTTGTTAATATCATTACGCATCGAAGTGAACAAGTGTACGATAATATGGCACGTTTAATTTTAGTAGTGCGGAGTGGGGCGAGGATGGCTCGCTGCCGCTGCTGGGCGGCGCGGGCGGCGGCGGCGCGCTGGCGGCGCTGGTGGCCAAGGTGAACGCGTGCGTGTCGCACCTCGAGCAGTTCCCGGTGCGCGTGCACGACCTGCCCGCGCGCCCCGCCACCTCCGCGCTCAAGTTCTTCAACACGCACCAGCTCATGGTCAGTAGGAAACACAACAGTAACACACTAAAAACAACTCTTTAGAGAGACTACTTTCAGTTCAGTTTACTGTGAGAGTAATAAGTACCACACTGTCATACCTATCATCTATTTCTCAAGTTATGTTATCTTGATTTGTTGTGCCGTTGTGGCCGTTGTGTTGAGTACGCGCGCGAAACGGCCTTTTTTTATAACTATTATTCAGTTTATTTTTCTTAATTTATAGATAAATTATACTAATTTAATTTTTAATTACAGTGCGATCTCAAACGTCATCCAACATGCACCAACCTGAAGCAATGGAAAGGTGGTGTAGTGCGGATAGACCCCCTAGCTTTAGTACAAGCCATTGAGAGGTAATACACATTATTAATTACATTATAAGTAATTTATATTTTTTCAGAAGACATGTGGAATGCTGTCTATACACAAATTTTCTGTGTTATTTCTTAAATATGTTAAAATTGGTAAAAAAAGATTTTGCAACAATAATCACCTTTGACTGCACTGTGATCTTTGTGTCATGTAAAGTGACAGTTACAGAATACCTTTGTCAAAACAGATCAAATGAATGTGCAATCGTGTATTTTGAAATGTGATTTTTTTTATACATCTTTGAATGGCAAACAAGCTGACGGGCCCACCTGATGGAAAGTGGTAACCGTCGCCTATAGACTTGATGGTAATATCACCTTCAGGGCCATGTGGTTCCGGCATAAAATAGGCCACCCTTTCTAAGGGACGGCAAGGAATGGGCAGCAAGTAGCGACCTTCTCAAAATATCTCTAAAGTCTGACTATGGTTACCAATCCGCCTGTCAAGCGTGGCAACTGCTGGCGAAACCCCCCCAAAAGGAAGCATTATGTTCGGCCGTGGACTGTTGAAAGATATGATGAATATCGCATTCATGTTCGTATGGTTGTTACTAGGTACCTGTCGCAGCGCGGCTACGCGACGGCACGGTCGCGTGAAGCGGGCGGTTCAGGTGTACATTCGGACGACGACGCTGCCTCCGACGACGAAGTGGAAGACTCGCTGGCCACACCGCCGCACCACCACCCCACTGAGTAAGCACTCTTATATTACTCACGATGTATCTTATGTGTACCTTTCGTCCATTGAGTCATTAAAAGCTCGGTAGATTTACATTAATAATCACTAGGCTCTTAATTCAATAATTTATTATCGTGTTGCAAAAAGAACCTACTTCGATTATGACTTTTTTTTTTTTATATGACTTAGAATGGCAAACAAACTGACGGCCCACCTGATGGAAAGTGGTAACCGTCGCCTATAGACATGAGCAGAACCGTGGACATAACAGAGTATACTGTTTCGCCCATGATACCCCCTCATGCATTGCCATTCCTGAGGACTCGGGTGTTATTCCTCCGTACAAAACCAATTATTTTGATTTCAAAATTAAATATTGAACTAACTATTGAATTTTTATAAAAATTTCTATATATTAATCTATACTTATAATAAATCTGTAGAGAGGTCAATTCTGTACATGAAATATATTTCCAAAATAACTATCAGGGGGTGTTCATGCTACGATCAAAAGGAGAAGAGCAGTGAAGGGAAATGTTGGGAAGACAGGAGACATTTTTAAGCTTCCGTTGCGTGCAGCCTTAATGGCCACTTTAAAATATAAAATTGTCCACCCGTGCGACGCCGGGACGGGCCGCTAGTCTGTAATAAATTCTTTTAATATAAAAATATGCTAAAAAATAATAAGCTAAAAAGCTATAGATACCAAATCTGTTTATACTTGATAGAGTTATGAGGTAACAAATACAAAAATGCGACTAAATTGAGAACCTTCTTCTTTTTTTAGTCAATGGAAATTTAAACCACACATACAATATATTAGACACTAGTCGGAAATAGAATTTTTGCTTTATATATGTGTGAGATTTTATAAAATCGGTGGAGTAGTTTTTGTCTATTATCTGTTACAAACAAACAATCAAATCTTTCCTCTCTATAATATTAGTATAGACATAAAAAGAACAAGAACGCAGAAAGGTTACAGTTTCAGTGTGAATTTTGTATATGCAATAGTTAAGTTACTTATTGATTTCAAATTTGGAAACAATTCATTCTACTCTAGCATCTCGTCACGTAATTAAGTAATGGCAAACATTATAATATTCAAAATATGTAACGGAAATAAAGTGATAGCAAACAAGAAACGGCTGCTCACGTAATCCTGGAATGTGGCCCATCAACGTTTAGAAATCTTCGGAACGGTGAGGTCGCTCCGTGAGGCCTGTGAAGAACCCAGGAAGCTTCTGCGCTTCTGGGCGGAGCTAGGTTGGCTGTACTAGCCACGACTCATACGTACAACGGCCCAAATGAGAGGCTAAGCGCAGAAAATAGAGTCTTTTTTACATTCACATTAAAGTGATAGCACATAATATATCACTAGTCTGATTAAAATTCAATTGACATAATGACTAATTAGATACGACAATATCAGCTAAACACTGGAATAGAGTCGATTGCTTATATCATATGCACATGAAATATTATTATTAAAGAGAATTTTTATTAAGATTACTATAATAATTTATTTATGTATAAATTAAGTATATTTTCTAAATCAAATACACCTAAATTACATAAAATTATCTTAACAAAATTCCTTTTGCTTAATATTGCAGTTCTGAACACAAATTGGAATTCCTAATCGGAGACACAGTGTTGCCATACAACATGACCGTGTACCAGGCTGTGAGACAATTTGGCGAGCAAACGGACGCCGATACAGACACAGAGACGCCATTAGGTATGTATATTATTAAATCTCTAGTGTTGTATATATTATTAAATATTAGTATTAGTAGCGTTGCCCAACTATATCGCTTGGGTTTTAAATTATGTGTGTTAATTTTTAAATAACTAAAATTTCAAATAAGTTATTCTAATATATTTATTAGATCTGAAACTCATTACCAGAATAAATTTTTCCATTTTACTAAAATCTTGGTGGATTTTAATTTTATATGAAGTCTATGATTCTATTTGCATCGCTAATTTTATTATAATTAAAATGTTAAATGGATTTAAATGCAATTTGTACGCACATCGAGTATACCGAAGTATTCTTGTCTATATTTATATATATATATATATATATATATATATATATATATATATATATATATATATATATATATATATATATATATATATTGGATAAGCTTAATCCTAACTCACGTGATTAATATCAATATATTAATTAAAATTGTATTGTGTTTGCAGCAAATGCAGGAATTTGGGTGCAAACGCATACAATATACTACCGCGCTGTGGAGGCACCCGAACAGCCGCGTTCTGACACGGCCGCCTCGAGGAAAGGCAAGGGACAGCCCACGAAGCTTGCGTCTAGACGCAAACCAGATTTACTATGGAATGGTATTAATATTTTTTATTATAGTTTATAGATAAAATTTAAATTAATTTACAATTGGCGAATGAATTTTTAATGTAAATTTAATTTAAAAACAACAAAAAGTACAGAGTAAATATTAGAATATAGAACCAAGTAAAATAAAAAAAAATAAAGAAAAAAAGAACAAAAAGATTTATCCCTTAAAGGAATACTTTATGTACTCTTACGTTTATACTACAATTAATATATCCATCGTCTGCAAGAGTACACTCATAGCGTCAGTGTATTGTAAAGTTGCTGGTGTGTCGACAGAGGGCATAGTGCCGCCGCGTGAGTCGCCGCTGGTGGTGATCTTGCGGTCGCCGCTGCTGACGGGCAACGAGGTGAAGGATGCATCGCTGCCAGCGCTGGGCGTGCTGCGCGCGCTGCATGCCCTCTCGCGGCACTGGCACACCCTTTACAACGCCGCCTGCCTGCCCGATCACCGCCCGCTCGTGTCCAACGCCGACTTTATTAACGCTAAGGTATTCTTTATTGTACACAAAAAGTAATTGTATCAGAAAAACAAACAAAGGCAAGCTTATCTCTAAAACAGATTTTTTCCAGCAAATTCAATGAGATAAACTGACAGTTTATTAGTAGTTACAGTTATACATGTGTGCTAATCGACTTAATGACTTAAAAATAAATAAATTAAATGAAAAAAAAAATATAAGTAAATATGTATAAATATAAATAGGTACAATTGTATTATGCAATTTAAAGTGGTTACCATGGTCGCCTATATCCATAGGCAGTTTTTCTACGTGCATTGCTCTTTTTGAAAATTAAGGTGTTATGTGTCAATACTCTATTGATTACACTAGTAGTGTGGCCCCTTGAATAAAGTTATACTAGACAACAGAGACAAGAAGAATTACCCATATAGAGATGATCTTTGTACAATCTCTGTTAAACCGAGTTAAAAAAGTTGTCCTTACTTCAATTGTATTTTTTTTAATGTTTAATAGTGAACGGTTTTTATCGAATTCTTATAGACATCAATCATCAATCAATACATGACTGATTCTTTTTTATTTGTACTCAAAAGCATCAATATTAATTAATTCTTAATTATTTTTATTACAGCTTGCTGCCAAAGCCAATAGACAATTACAAGACCCACTCGTCATCATGACCGGCAATCTCCCGCCGTGGCTGAAAAAAGTCGCCTACGCATGGTGAGAATCATTAATGTCGAATCGAATTGAAACTTAACATCTCTTATCTCTTTCTAATACCTTTGAGTATAGTTGAAGGTACAAGAAAACACCTAATTTATTTGAATCATGAAAAAGACATAAAACTACTTTTATGCTTTATGGATAAAACTTGTTTCGTAATATATGTCGATCTTACCAGATAAATAAATATTTTCAAACTGTTCTGCGTGCAGCCCGTTCGTGTTCCCGTTCGAGTGCCGGCACCTTTTGTTCTACGTGGTGTCGTTCGACCGCGACCGCGCCCTGCAGCGGCTGCTCGAAGCGGGCGGCGAGCGTGGCGGCGCCGGCGGTATGGGCGGCGGCGCGGGCGGCGCTGACTCGGAACGAGTCGCGCCACGCCTCGACCGTCGCAAGCGCACCGTGCAGCGACACAACGTGCTGCGCCAGGCTGAGCATGTCATGCACGAGTTCGCACACTCGAAGGCCCTGCTCGAAATACAGTACGAGAACGAGGTCGGCACCGGTCTCGGGCCCACCCTCGAGTTTTACGCGCTCGTGTCGCAAGAACTACAGCGCGCCGATCTTGACCTGTGGCACGGCAGCGAGAACTTCAAACAGAAGCCGACCTCGTTCGCCGGGGAGATAGTGAAGAGCCAGCCACCGGTGGTGACAGACCGCGCGGCGGACGCGGCGGCGCGACTCGCCTCCTCGGTCCGCGACGCGCTCAGTCTGGACGAGGAGCGCACGCCGGAGGCTTCGGACTTCGAGAAGGAGACGTCGATCCCGTCGCCGGCGCCCGACGCCACCTACGTGTCGTGGCCCTGCGGCCTGTTCCCGCAAGCGATCGGCCGCAACGCCCGCGCCTCGCACCTGTCCCGGGTCAAAGCCAAGTTCCGCTTCCTCGGGAAGTTCATGGCCAAAGCGGTTATGGATTCGAGGATGGTTAGTATTTTGTCGCCGTTATTTTTTATTTTAGCACTCGAAAAAATGCAATTGTGATATTTTTATAATTGAAATTGAATTGAATAAGTTAAATTTCATTTTTGGATGCGATAAATTTAGTCTTAACCTAAGTTAAATTGATAACAATTCCTATATGAAATTTATGTCAGAACAGTATAAAAGTAGTATTTTTTAAAGGGATTTTTATTAACAATTTTATTGAACAGTAAATAGGAAAAAAATTTACTTATTAACTGAACCACCACTACTAGTGTTAATGTTTAGTACTGGTATGGTAGAGAGTGCTTTTATAGCCTAATTACTTCATTTTATGCACATTTATGATGTCAACATGAATATTATTCTAATAATGACTATCATAAATATACATATATATATATATATATATATATATATATATATATATATATATATATATATATATATATATCTGTCACGCCTGTCATAAATATATAATAAATAATTAAAATACAGTTATTTATGTTGGCTTTACTCTCGTTTTAAATTCATAAGTGCAGTCCAATTTATTTGTCGTTCTATCGAATCACAACGTCAGCATGTTGTGCCGCTGCGCGTACTGTACGTACTGTACGTACTGTGGGAGCGAGTGTATACCATAAGAGCGCCGGCCGTGTCGCAGGTGGACATCCCGCTGTCGGTGGCGATGTACCGGTGGGCGGTGAGCGAGCAGCAGTGGCTGAGCCTGAGCGACGTGCGCAGCGTGGCGCCCGAGCTGTGGCGCTCGCTGTGCCGCCTGCGCCGCGTGGCCGAGCGCGCGCGCCTCATCGCCGCCGACCCGCGCCACACGCCCGACCAGAAGAACCACATGGTGAGCACGCGCATACACACACACTCGCGCTTTATTTCTCTCTCTCTCTCTTTCTCGGCATATACAAAGTATAATAACACCCAGTGAAATGACAATTTTGCTCCTTAAAATAAAAAAACCTTAATTGTGAACATAGACAACAGTAATAATTGTAATTCAGAACACGGATTCGTGTATCAACTAGTAGATTTTGAGAACAATTATATTTTTTTTTTGTTTCACAAAGATAACTAACAGTAAATTAATATGAGGCGACACGAATGTCGATTGCAAAAATAACGAACATTTCAGACTTGGCAACGTGGATAGCATAGCATATATCTAGTCATAAAAAATCAGAATGAATGGAGGACTTTAGAAGTTATTTAAAAATTAATAAAAAGTTAAAATTACATTAAACCTGATAATAGCAAATGTAGAAAGTCTCATAAATGACTGATACAATTAATCACACTTTTTACAATTTCAATTAAAATAACTTCTACAAAGGCTACTCATAGGACATAGACATTGACGATAAAATTTGACTATATTTATATTCTATTGTGTAGATAAGTGCTCTGGAATTGGATGGATGCCCAATCGAGGAGCTCGGATTGGACTTTATCCTGCCGGGCGACGGCTGCACAGAGCTTCGCCGCGGTGGCCGAGATCTCCCTGTCACTGCCCACAATCTACAAAATTATATTTCTCTCGTTTCACATTGGTTACTTTATGAAGGTAAGTTAGATATTCTCGAAATAATAATAAACCAAGTGATTGATATGAGTGTAATGCTAATATATTGTTTTCTCTTCTAACAGGTGTGAGTAAACAAATGTCGGCTTTCAAAGAAGGATTTGAATCAGTATTTCCATTAGCCAATCTCAAAATTTTCTACCCTGAAGAATTGGAGCAGGTCTTCTGTGGAAGTCCATCAGGTAAGCTGATGAACATCAGTGTCCACTGTTTCTCCCTAAGAACATTAAAATTTTTGTTTAAGTATAATGTATTACTATTAACAACATTTACTGTAATAGCAATAAATAATATTTTGTTGGATAATAGATACTTGTAATTTTGTTTGTATAATCTGTTGGTTAAAATAAAAACTAAATATGAATGTTTATAGCTTTGCTTTAGATTTATATATATTAATTTTATTTTCTGTTTGCAGGTGGGCGTGATCAACGCTGGGAGCCGCGCATGCTGGCGGAATGCATCCGACCAGACCATGGATATAACGCGGAATCGCGTGCCATCCGTATGCTCATTGATATACTTGCCTCGTACAACCGCGAAGAACAACGCCTCTTCCTTCAGTTTGTCACGGGCAGTCCACGCCTGCCTACTGGAGGTAACTAAATATCCATATTTTTTTTTTTCAATGACAAACAATTTATCTAAAACTATATTTTTTTTATCTAGCTTCTATTATATATTTCTTTTAAAACAGTATAATCTTTTCTTAGCTGTTGATTGGTAGAGAACACATCCCTACTAATTATATAAATAAGAAAGTGAGTTGGTTTGTTAGCTTATAGTGCTTTAACAGTTAAACTAATTACTATGAAATTTGGTATACATGTACCATATGGGATGGGGAAGGATGTGGGTTTTCTTTGTCCCGGTCATATGGACAAAGTCGCTGTTAAAAACTAGTTATATATAATAAAATTGTAACTAGATTGTGTATGTATATGAGAAGATATTTAACAAAAATTCATAAGTAAGTTTATAAGAATGATAGAAACAAAATAATTTTAGTGTCAGAGTAATTTGTTGTTACAGAGCTTTTGGTGCTCTGATCCCTTTGCCTGATATGGTGAAATCAATATTGAAAATCCGAATTGTTGTACAATGTCTAATTGCAATTGTTCTAGGTTTTAAGGCGTTGAACCCACCCCTGACCGTGGTACGCAAATCGCTAGAATCATCGCTGGACCCTGACGAGTACCTACCGTCGGTGATGACGTGTGTTAACTACCTCAAGCTGCCCGACTACAGCAGCGGCGAGGTGATGCGCGCCAAGCTGCGCCTCGCCGCTTCCGAAGGGCAGCACTCCTTCCACCTGTCGTGAACACTACGCTACCTAACCGGCCCTCTAGCCTCAGCCTCGGCCTCGGCCACGGCCACTGTGATCATATTATCAACCCCTCACCTCTTGTATACATGTGTGAATGCGGTTAGTGATAACTATAATCCTTGTGTTATACTAGCCGGCGCGACCTCGCTCCGGACTATATTATTAATGTGCAATCAGAGTGATTTATTTACCTAATGTGAGAGACACTAAGTGCTGTGCGTTCTTTATTTTGTTTCTTTGGATTCTTTTTAGATTACATAAATATGTTCATAATTATATTTTGTGTTAATGTGATAGCTCTGTATATTTCTTTGTTAGTTTAGACTCTCAGTGGGATAATAATATATGATTGAAGTGTGTGACGGAACCGTTTTAGCGAGACATTTGAAGACGCTTCACGCTGATTGTGTCTAACTGCGAACAACAATACAACATTAACACACTCACCACTATTGTCTCGTTGTCGCAATATTACTACTACATAATTTTGAAGAATGATCGTTGCGTATCTTCTATGAGAGTCCTATAAAAAATATATAATAGCATTTATTACCAAATGGTGTATGTTTTGAGTAACGTTTAAGTATCATTAATGATTAAAGAAAAAGTGCAAAATTTAATATGTAACAATTTCAATAAAACCATGTAAACAATATTGATCAATTTTGTGTTTTATTTTACCACTCATAATGGCACAAATGTTGTAAATGTTACAATAATTGCATCTACCCAACATTCACTCTCCACCTGTAGAATAAAATTACTCATTACAATGACGTTGGTGTTTATTCAAATAAATTTAGTCTGTGCCAGCAACTACTAAAGGAAGAACATAATTTAAAGATGACAATACCTAATTTGTACTTTATTTGCTTAATCACAGCAGTTTACAGCAGCTATAGGTATTTATTAATAACGCTGTGACATTTTTTAAAATTGATGTTAATGTCTTGGTATGTGCCAGTGAGTGATGGCAGACAAAGATGAAGTCAGATCACTCGACCTGTGAAAAATCTCTAGGAATTAAACGCATACACTGTTCTGTTATGATTGACCAGGTTTTTTCTCGCTACTACGTACGTGTGGGTTTCAGAAGCAGGAAAACCAATAAAATAGACAACTTTTGATGATGTATCAAGATAAAGTAAGTAAGACCTTAAGGAACACAAAAACCACATTCAATTTATATGCTTACTGCACATTTTGTGTGATGGTGAAACAAATAACAGATACAAAATAAAAAAAAATATTTTCGCTTCTATTGCTGTTATAGTGCTTCTGGTTTGAAGTATTTCTTACACTACATAATAAACAATACAGGTAAAATAAAACACTTTTTAACACATCAATATTACATATATTAAATCAATTCACTTTACAGTCTATAATAATAAAATATGTACAATGGTTTGTAATAATAAATTATTACATTATATAATAACAAATGATTAAGATATTACAACAAAATATCTTTATGGGAGTAAATGAATTTTTAAACCTTCCAGATATGAGGTGATTTTGTTTCTCAGTAAAATATGACTTGGTAAACATTATGACAACTTTTCAGTATATTTTTAGGAAGTTCTGTGAAACTCTTAGTTTATGAAGTTAGCCTCCATATTTCCATTATACTCACTTCTAGAAAGTTCGATAAAACAAATATCTTTAGTTTGAACTGTATACTTGTCTACTACCAGTAGCCCAAAAAGTATTTTAAAATAATTTACCATCTAAGAAACAAGACACTAATCACTTAAAATACAATAAATTGTAATCTACAATGATAGTACAACATAGAAGGCTGGAATAAGTGTATGCTATTAACAATGACCCTACCTCATACATTTCAATCACTAGAATATGAATAGATTTTAATTTTTCAATAAAATTTAGAGTACCATTGCAATCCAACCCAGGATGAGGCATGAACCACCAATAGGTGTGAGACGTCGGAGACTACGGTCACCTGTGAAGGCATGGTAGTAACAGGTGCCGCTGAAAAGTCCTATGCCTGCTATAAAGAATGCACCAGCCTGAAATAAAATTATGTTAATAGAAATTTTCATATTATATAGTTATTGTGATTGTACAATAAATGTACCTAATGCAAAATAAATAGAACTACAAAAAAAAAATTTTTACTTAAATTATGTACTTACAAACTTAATATTGGAACATAGTACTTAAAATGTGATCAAAGAAAAACATATTAAAATTGTTAAAGACTTAAAATAAATTAAAAATCAATCTAATTGTAGTTTATGTATAACAAGGGTTACTAACACTTCATAGTTCTTTATAATTATATTTTTAATTAAAAAATTGGACATCCCTAAATTCAAAACTTGATGTAAGTGAAGACTGATGTAAAGATGACAGGCTAGAAACTCTTTAACACCATATCTATAGGTGACAGTTACCACTTTCCACCAAATGGGTCATCAGCTTGTTTGCCATTCTAAATTGCATAAAAAAACCAGAGGGCAATAAATGCTGACAATTTTTTTTTAATAGATGATAATGGAATGGTAACCCCACCTGCGCTATCGGAATACACCAGTGGGGCACCAGTGAAGGATGATAGGTGAGGATGAAGTAGGCCAGTTAGCCCATCATGACGAATTCAACAAGATTTGTTCACGATGGTTTCCAGTGGGAACCATATGGAGGTCGACCTAATAAGGCATATTGCTAGCAATGGGGCTGTCAAACTCCATTGCTAACAATTCCTTTTCCCCCAATTCCGAGTATTAATAGTGATATAGAAAATTATGAATACCAGTTTGTCAGCAACTCTTTTTGTACTTTGCAGTTTATTAAAAAATCATAAGCATAAACCAGAGATGTGGGAGCATATCAGAAGGTTATAAATTTTGACAGTTATAGATAAAATTGAGTTGCTCTTTGTACTAAAGTCAGTAGAAGACAGGTCAGTATGTAGTCATATGACATAGACCTGACAAGTTATTAAAAATTTGTAATAAGGCCCTTGTTCAGTTAACATATCCATTATACCTATGACTTCTAATAGTTTTATTATAAAAAAATATCATGTTGTGTCATTAATATTATGATCTTCGAATTATTTAGGTTAGGTTAAATTTATATTCTATACTTGTCGATTTTAGTAAATAATTATAGATTTTCAAAATAAGTCAATTAAAATTGTGGCAGACAAATAATATATCAGTATTAGACAATATTATACAAAAATAATTATATACTGTCTTTTTAATAAAAGGCAAGAAATTCTGAAGATTATAATTAAATTTCGTGAAATAAAGATATTGGACTTACAATATATGGCCTCCTGCATAAAGGTACTGTCATTAATGCAAGCGTGTGTAGGAAGTGAAATCGATTGGCAGTATCAAATATTTTTCGCAGGTCTTCTTTGGTGTCCGTTTCAGGGAAGGTACGATGTGCGCCCATAGCACCCAGCACTACTGCCGCGGCACCACTAAGCCCTGCAAGCCTTACAAAAGGCCCAGCTCCTTGTGCTAATTCCCAAAGTGGCATCCTGATAATGATCGGAGCTGGAGGTGGATTTACTGGCTTAGATTTGAATACACCCTGTAAATTAAATTATTGCACATATAATACACACAACTCGAATCAAGTAAATTATATTAGATAAGCTTGCAAAAAGACAACAAATTATTTCAACTAATAATCGTAATTCAACTTACGATATGGCGTAACAAATTCATAGCTCCATCCGTCACCGTATTTATCATAAAAGCATCGGCCAGATTTACCATACCTTTTTGTTTTTTATATAATTGCACACGAATAGAAAATGAAAATTTTTAGCAAATTTATTGACAATCTGAATGAAACAAAGCACGATAGCACGTAATGACATTGACAGTGATAGCACACAGAAGTCTAATACGTAAACAGTCTATACCTAAGTCTATACTTTAGTCAAACCAATAATAATATGTAAGACTATGAATCAACCCAAGGACTATATTGCTAATTGTAAGATAAATACTATAAACTTTCTTAGTCGTATATGTTTATGATGAACAGACGAGCACCAGATGCGTTATTCACTCGAGATTTTTTTTGTTATTGTATGCGGTATAATTTTTTTTTTTTTTAGTACGTTTGTTCCGTTTGGAACAGGCTAAGGTCGGAGACCATGCTGCCTAGTCTTCAAAAAGATAATTTGTCTGGAATTTTATTTTTCTAATGTCGCTTCAATTATTGTCATAATCTTCAATATTTCATTTGTCAAATCCGGTAAGTACATTTTCATAAATATCTTTTCTTGAGTTTTCTTAAACCAGTGGATTTATCAAATTAAAAATAAATAATTATAAAAAATCATTGTCTTGCAATTCAATAAAAGTATTCTTATAGCTCCTTGAATGTTGTAGTAATATAAGTGAAAATAGCTTTGAAACAAGAAGGAAATCTTAAGAGAAGCGGGATTGAGTGCGGGATATTTTCGGGTTTTTTGAAGATAATCCTAAGTTCGTCAAACATAATGTGTCTTTGAATGACAAATTCAGAGCAATCAAAAAAAAAGGTGATGTAGAGATTGGGCTGTATTTGAGTTACACCATGTGCATGATGGGGAAGCGATCATGCCCATTCGGTGCAGGTGTTCGTTGAAATGTCCGTGGCCGATTCGTAATCTACAAATATTGGTGTAAAATTTTCTGTTTGTGTCCTTTCCTTTGCAGAACCACGGTTTTCCAATACGCCAATTAATTTTGCGGTACCATTTGCCTTTAGTCTGTAATATTTGAGTCCAATGCTCCTCCCATTTAGTTGTAACGATTTTATGTATTCCAATACTACAATCTGAGTAACAAAGGGGTAAGTCTTGAACACGAGCAGCACTTGAATTAATAATTTTAGCCAAAGTGTCTACTTGTTCATTCCCAAACACTCCAATATGTGAAGGGGTCCAGATGAAGATAATATCTTTTCCATATATAGTACAGAGATGATAATATTTATTACGAATTTCTTGAATTAAGTAGTTTGATGATGAAATGAATGTGTTATTTTTTAATGCCATAAGAACACTCATACTATCTGTAATTATAATCCATTTCGAATATAGTACCTGTTTTTCTATGTATTCTAATGCTAAAAATATAGCTTTTGCTTCTGCTGTGTAAATACTAGCCAAAGTTGAAATTTTATAACCGTGACCAAATCTATTTGACAAATCGTAAAAAGCCACTGAAGTGCTAAGTGCATTTTTGGAACCATCTGTATATATCTGCCTGTAGTCAATAAATTCTGATAAAGTCTCATACATATCGTGCTTTTCTTTTATGTCTTTACGTATAACATTTTTGATCTTACAGAACTTACTCTCATAAAGGCCATTATAACAAGGAAGTATCTTACTACTATAGATGTTATATTCATCTCGTAAATTCAAATCATTGACAATAGTTTTATTCAAAAACATAGAAATGGGGCAATTTAATAATTTGAGTATGAGTGGGTTATTGGAAACTGAAAAAACTTTGAAGAGAAATTTGAGTTTTAGGTATTCGAAACGAAGAAGGATAGGAGGCAAATTACATTCTACTTGCATTGAGATAATTGGAGAAGTATACATAGCACCTAAAATAAGTCTTAAATTCATATTTTGAATTTTTTCGAGTTTTTCTACTAATTTATGTTCTGAGGCATAACAAAATAAAGCGTAATCAAAATTACTTCTAACAAGAGATTTGTAAAGTAAAAGGATAATTTTAGGATCAGCTCCCCAGTTACGACCAATTACAGATCTTATTATATTAGTGGCTCTTAAAGCACGATCTACTAAGCAATCAACGTATAGATCCCATTTTAAATTTTGATGAAAAATTACCCCCAGAAATTTAACGCTACAGTCTGTTGGAAGAGTTTGATTATTATATATAATATTCATTAATGGAACATATTTATGAACTTGATGAAAAACAACTACTTTACTTTTGGTTAAACTAATATCGAGGGAAAGAAGAGAAAAATATTTCTCAAGTCTTTTTAATGACTCATTTAACATTAATTGCATATCAATAATATTCTTTCCTTTTATATAAATTAATAAATCATCGGCAAATTGCAAGTTGTTCACACTGTTTCCTAAAATTGAATTAAGTTTATAGATATATAAAATATATAGTAGCGGGCTTAGAATACCACCTTGACATACTCCTTTAGAGCTTAACCTAGGTCCTATTAATTTACTATTTACTTTAACATACACTTCTCTATTACTAAGAAAATTATAAATCCATTCGATAAGTTTCATTGGAAGAAATGAGGATAAAATCGAAGATAGAACTGTTAAATTTACATTGTTAAAAGCTCCTACGACATCTAAAAAAACAGATAGAACATATTCATCGTTATTCAAAGCAGTACTAAGGTCGACATAGAAGTTCGCTAAACTTTCGCGCGCTGAATATCCACGGCGAAAACCAAATTGATTCGATGGTAATATACTATTACTTTCAATAAAGAACTCTAAACGCTGTTTAATTAATTGTTCGAATAATTTGCCTGCACAGGACGTCAATGTTATAGGTCTATAGGAGTCGAAATTTGTAGGATCTTTACCGGGTTTAATTACTGGAATCAAACAATCCATTTTCCATTCTGGTGGGATAATACAGTCCTTCCATAAATCGTTAAAAATTTGTAAGAGTTTAGTAAGGTTTATTTTATTCAGCAATCGAAACATATTGTATGTTAAGCGATCAAGGCCACTAGCTGTATCTTTTCTAGATTTTACTGCACTGGATATTTCATCAATTGAGAATGGGTCAGTGAGAAATTTTGGGCATGAATTAACAGAATTAAACTGTTTGTCATCAAAAGATGAGTGTACAAAATCAGGAGTATATTTGCGTAAAAAATCATTGACCCATGATATATCTTTAAAATGATTTTGACGATGTTTTGAATTTAGTTTTCTCATATTTTGCCAAACAGTGGAAATTGGTGTTAATCTATTAAATTTGGAACAAAATTCCTGCCACCCCTGTTGTCTTACTTGCTTAATTACTAACTTTTTAACAGCTTGAACTCTTTTAAAATTTATGTAATTATCGAGAGTTGGATTTTGTTTAAACCTAAGGTAAGCCGCTTTACTATCATTGACAGCTGTCGCACACCTGTTATTCCACCAAGGTACTGCAATATGTTTGTGCCTCTTTGAAGTATTTGCACCGCTATTTGATAAGTTCCTACGTGGAACGGAACGTTCCACAGCTGTCAAAATAATTTTACAGAACCTATTGTAATTGTTTAAGGGTTCATTGACATCATACTCGAAATCCAAAAGTAATTGATTAACAGTTTCAGAATAAAGATCCCAATTAACGAGACGTAGGTTTATACGATTTAACAAAAGTTTATTAACTTCATCTATAGGAGCATGTTGTTCACCTGACGGAGTTGATGAAGAGTTCTTTGTGTTTATTTTAGTAAAAGTCGGCAGGTGATAACTTCCTAACGGATCATCATGAACCGACCACTCGCTGTATGCGGTATAAGTTAGCGCGGCACCACAGATTAAAGAGTGACAGACTTTTTTTTAATACATAACAGGGGAAAGGGACTGTTAGTAATGCGAACTTTTTTTATGGATGATAATGGAATGGTAACCCCGCTTGTGCTGATGGTATACTCTGGCGGGGCACCAGTGAGAGGTGAGGATGAAAGCAGGTCAATTAGCCCATCGTGACGAATTCACAAGAATTAACCGCCATGGTTTCCAGGGGGGACCGCGTGGAGGTCGACCTGACAGGCTAGCAATGGGGCTGTTAGACCCCATTACTAACAATTCCTTCCCCCCCCCCCCGACCTGATAGGGTATATTGCTACCAATGAAACTAGTCTACATTACTAACGATTCTTTCCCTCCAGTGACACGATAGGTGAGGATGAAAGCGGGTCCGTTGGCCGTTGGGTGGATTTAATGAGAAATAACCAAAATGGTCCAGGGTAAACTGCGTGGAGGTCGATTTGATGGAGTTTATTGCTACCAATGGTGCTCTTAGATCTTATTACTAAAAATTTCTTTCCCTCCAAGAAATGTGGCAGGATTTATTTAAAAAAAATCGACAAAACTGTATGCATAAACAAACGATTGATACATAGATGAGTTTGGAATACTTAATAGGTTGAATGAATAATTGGCTTTTCGGCATCTCGATTCGATGAGATTCGAACCCAAAGCCTTTAGCTATCTGAGACAACCGTTTTAATTTTTCAAATACAAATAATTGTAGAATTTTAAACTCAACCTCAGTTCTTATGTTGTTTAGATATAGTGTCTTTATTCTGAAATATAGCGATCCGGCCCGGCTTTGTACGAGCAGATAGAATTTTCGAAAATAATATATAGCTTGTTATTACTCACTGATAATGTAGCTTTCTATAGGTGAAAATATTTTTAAATCGGTTGATTAGTTTTTAATTTTATCCATTACAAACAAACAATTATATTTTTCCTATTTATAATATCAGTATAGATTTGTTTTTAAAGTGATCTTTAAATAATTTTCATTTCCGTCAGTGGCTACTCAACGGGTATTCTTGTTTTAATTTTGTTTTGCGACACGAAAACAATGGTAACTTCACCAACACAAAGCTCTTTTTATTTTGTAAATATATATATTTCAAGAGAATGACAGTCGAATTTCTTGAGGATTTTTCTGGATAGTAGATAATTTCTAAATTCTGCGGTAGAATATTTTGTTCAGTATTCATTTGTTCTTCTATCCTATAGGATACTCAATGCCCTATTCTAACTACACTCTCACAACAGATGGCAGTAATAAGTTAGGGTTATTAGTAGCTAAAATTTTAGTACTAGTTCTCTATGGAAAAGGTGTGATTGCCCTACGCGCGGTTTTCTCTAAAAATTTTTAAAAACTTCATCATGCTTTACTGGTATTCTAGCAGCGTAAACTAACAGCGCTGATGGGATTATAGTTCCATTTTCATGCATTTAAATACTCCATTATTCATAAGAACGTCAAACCTTTCACACTATTGAAGTGATTTGTCCTTTTGCACAAATTTTTCGATTTGAAAGACAGCGCCAAAACATTCTAATAGTTAAAATAAGTCTGTAGGACTTTTTAGTTTTTATGAATAAGGGGATTAGGGTTTTCATTATGTTGACGTTTGAAATTAAAATACATTAGATAAGATTATTTTTTTATTTCTTATAAACGACGTTTCGTATTTAGTTACGTACATTAGTAACTTAACTACACGTAATCAAAATTGCAGCAATATATCTTAACATGGCACCATTCAGTTCAATTAGCACCTATGAGTTCAAAAATCACAACATATTGTGGGTTCAATCCTTAAATATTTACTTAACAATAATCACATTTCAAACAATTTGATTGTTGTCAACAGATATGTACTAATTACATCATTTTGTCATTCCGTATCACACCGGTTTGTTTACATTGTCTGGAACATTTGGACAGCAAACTCCAGCGTATCTGTAAATAAATTTTCAGGAATTAATTAATTATAATATATCATCGTCAATTTAGGTATTTATTATTTATAAGTCGTTTATTGTCCGCTATTGAACTTCGATCTTCGACATAAGTTTTGCCAGTAGTTGCCATGTTTGGCAGGGGGGTTAACAATCGCAGTCAGGTTTTGGCGATATTTTAAGAGGAACGCTGCTGCCCATCCGTCGACAATTGACTTCCCTTAGTCGCCACGGAAAAGGGGTGGTCCATTCTGTGCCGAGTGCCGAGTCCACACGGCTATTTACGTATAGACTCTATTTATATAAAAATCCCGTGTCAAGAAATCACAATGTTCATTCACGCTAAACTCCAAAACATCTCAACTGATTTTTAAGAAATTTTGTAAATGTGTAATCTTTATACAAACTTAAGAGGTAGAGTGGTTTTATCCTGATGAGAAGAAACGGTCCCAGTTGGTAGCGATATGTGGTAAAACACGATATCCCAGTCAACTACAAGTGTATTAAAATTAATGGCAGACCATTAGTTTGTATAAAAATAGTTTAGTCAGATTTTAGTTACGTTTAATTTTTGTTATCTTTTAAACAAAATGTCGCAATTTCATTGTATGAGAAGCAGCCAATTAGTGTCTATAGCTACGTAACGATTACAAACGTTAAAATTCATTTTTGGAACTTAAGACGACGTAATTACACATAGTACTGTTTACCTATAATCGTGTCGCGTTAAGTACAAAAAATAGATTTTAAATTTTGATAATGAACAATAAATTTAAATATGTGTAAAAAACGGTAATGTTTAAAACTATCTAATAACCAACATACCCAGTATCAACTACGCAGGCTGAATGAACATATTTCTCAACGGTGATGGACTGCGCTGCTACACAATTCAAAAGGTAGACGCAGACGCCGGTGGTGTTGTCAATGGCATTGTTGCATACAGGATCACCGCCAGGACTCTTCGGTATCTAGCAATATAAAAAAAAAATTAAAATATCCACAAATATAATTAATATGCGAATGGAAGATCTGTTTTTGAGTTGAAACTGACTAAATGCACTTTTCTATGAAAATTAAAGGAATATTTTCTTATATACTTATAACTCAGAATTTATCACGCCAAAGTTGCAGTAGTTTTAGTTATTGGTCAATTCCCTCTTCAGTCTAACACTCTTTTTCCACATATAAGTAAGGGCATGATTTTTTTATTATGTTGTCAGTTTTTACTAACAAACTCTGGGAAAGACATTTTTGGTAATGGGGATTAACTGTCTCTTTACTAGCCATATACCTTGACAGGTCAACCTCCACATGGTAGGGTGAAGGGATTGTTATTAATGTAGACTGCTAGTTCCACTGTTAACAATATTAATCATAGTGCTGAATTCTAAGTGTAATCATTACGATTAGCAAATGACCTGCCCTCTCATCCTCACTGGTGACCTACCAGCGTACACCGTTAGCACAGGGCTACCATTCCATTATCATCCATAAAAAAACCTGGCATTGGATCCTCCTGGAAAAAATCGCGGCAAATTCTTGATGAAAACGTCAGGATGTGCCAATTAAACTTGTTTCATCCTCACTTATCATCACGCATTCAAACCCTCCAACGTACTAACACAGGCGGGGTTACCATTCACATAAAGTAGCAGCTTTTGCTTTTAACTCCTACCAATGGTTAAGTTTGTTCATCGTAAATAATGCGTGAAACATTTATGCGCATTTTCGTAATCAAATCTTATTAACAAACGTTTAAATGACCGACGACCTCCAAATCACACTCAAATTGTTATCAAGATTTAATAAATATTTTATTAATTTTTAAAATCAAATACGTACCGTATTATCCGTGCTGAGTTTCATGTTGAGCGTTGTTCCATTGACCTCCACGAGTAGTGAATCAGTAGTGATGTTGATCAGAGTTAATGCCCACGGGTAAGCTTCTAAGTGGTACCTCTGTAGAGGATCGATGAATGGAGTTGTCGGGTGGGCCACTTGGGCGACTTGCATGTACGCGTACTGCGTTGGTCTAGGTCTCGCCATATCATCAGGCGTATCGAATCCTGGCATATATGAATTACACTATATACACAATCTATTATAATAGTTACCTATTATTGACAATAGATATATTTTACAAGTGAAAAAGACTAACAAAGCAACCTTATAACAAACATATAAAATGAGATTTTTTCGGAGATATAGATTGTAAACATGCAATTGAAAATTTAAACACTTTTATTGCATGATAGGAGAAATATTTTTACATTATCTATGTATTTTACAATAGTTTTGTAAGACAAGCCTGTTTTTTTTTTTGTATGAAGAAATACCTATTGCCACTGGTCGGTCACCTATCTAATATAAATTATATTACTTATTCACACACACATTAATACATTTATCGAAAAAATCCGATGCCATTAAAAAACTGATACCTAATACATAACACGAGAAAGTAATCTTTATTTTGAAAATATAAAGTTTATATAAAATATATTTTAACGTTGCATAAAATGTTTCAATAATTACCAGGCAAAGACGCTATCAACATTCTGTCAACTGCCGTTTTGCTGCTGAAAGCTGAAGAATAAAAAAGTAATTATGGCTCTATATACATATAGGTACACCTAGTCATATATGCAGAGAGAAAGGGATTGTTAGTAATGCGGACTAGCAGTCCCATTGCTAGCAATATGGGTATGTCAGGTTGACCTTCACATGGTCCCTCCTGGAAACCATTGTGCTGGATTCCAGACGTATTCATCACGATAGCCTAACTGACCTGCCTTTTTTTCTCACTTTTTATTCGTCACTGGTGCCCCGCCAGTTACGTTACCGTTAGCGCAGGCGAGGTCATAATTTCATTAAATATCATATATGCAAGGTCCGATCTGGGGGAGGCGGAGAGGTCAATTTTCTTTATATTTATTACAAAATTTAGAGAAAACATGTTTACAAAGTTAGATGAATGCACAGAACGTCAATATGACTTTAATGCAAGTAAAAATTTTTTGGCCCGGTAACATTCTTAAAATAGGTACTATTTATAGCAATTTCATTCCATACTGCAAGGCCATGGAACGGACTTTCGTATAAATGATAACATTAATCGCAATAAAATTACTATGCAAAATTAACATAGGAGTAAGCAAATCCTATTAAGAATTGCAACAACTATAACTGACAGATATAAGTTCATAAAATTAAAACAAATCTCTAGATGTGACAATTTATGATAATTAGATATAATGACATGAATTATATATTATGATGGCTTTCAGATATTACTGAGTGCACCACTGAAAGGCAATGGCCCAGAAATGATTTCAAATGAGTTTTAATATGCATTATATACTTCCACACATGCAAACATTGCGTACGAGCATCCAAAAATATAAAATTAAAAAAAAAACATGCAAATGAAGGCATGATTGTTTCTTTTAGTATTGAATCGATTTTATGCAACGTTTTAATTACTTACAGAAATTATTCCCATGAATTTTAGTAGCGGTCACTTTGATTATGGTATACAAAAAAAAATAGAAATCAAGAATGATTGGCGTAATTTGTTTTGTTTTTTTTGTATCTATGCATAAATTTCTAGATTTTTTTATATAAATGTAAATGTGTCATGTATTAATTGTCTATTTTCTTGTTAATGACATTGGGGTCGATTCTGAAACGCAGTTTATTTAAACCTGTCTCTAAAATAAAAATTTCAATTTGATATCACAACCCAATTTTTATTATAAGGACTATAATGAATTAATTTGGAATAGATTTAATTAGAGTTATTAAAATTATAATTTATGATCATTCATGAACAGTAATTTCATAAAATATATATATATATATATATATAATAAGATTAAGAGATAAGTTTAAAGAAATCACACCTTAGAATCGGCCCCAATGTTTCCAAAATTTGCAAATGCATAGTGACAACAATTGTCTCTGAAAGTTAAAATTTTACTACTCAAATAAATTTTTTTTTAGGATAAAAAATTGTAACATTATTAAATAGATACTTTAACTTGTTTGTATCTATTTCAAAGATAAGTAATGGATGCTAATCTTAGAGAATACCTCTTAAAAATATTAAAGAAACCGTTCGTTGCCTCACCAACTACTGGCTGTTCCTCCAACGCGTATTCTGCAGTTTCCACGTCGTCGTATTGTAACTGGTCCGCAACTAACATACATATAAAAAGCAATGATTTATGCAGCATGAATGAAGATACTGTTAAAGCATATCTATTTGTAAATGTAGTTTGGGGTTCAACTTTTAGCCAGTGCAATTCAAAAAATTATATTTTGTTTATCTATAAATTTTAAACATTCTGATGGAAGTGGTTTTTAAATTGAAAATAGATTAATTGAATATATTTCGTAGATAAATAAACCTTTCGTAGCAACCAGATTTTATTAATCATGCATTTTCTTTATTGAATATAAATGGATTACAATTAAACAATAAATATATTATTATTGAAATTCATAAGTGCACTATTTACGCAAAATTAATAGATTCTTAAGACTCCTCGTCTTAAGAAAACCAATAGATGCCACAACAATAATTTTTAAACACTTTGCCTATATGTTTGTATGTTTGTTCCACCATCAAGCAAAAAATACAGCACCAATTTTGATGCGGTTTTAACTGTAGTGTTCCTGAAGCTGTAACTTAAAATCCAGTATATGTTTTATCTTGACACTTGGTCACTCTATATAATTATTTTCCCGCTAAATTTCGTTCGTTTAAAGAATACAACAAGTCAATTATTTTACTATTTAATTCATGTAAATAAATAAACATGCCATGCAATTAAGTTAGCACTTTGGATACTCTGCGTGTCTTCAAACTGAAGTAGAAAGAGGGCCACAGGTACTATCCTTAATCCTTGTTTATTGTTAATAATTAAGCGCTAAATATATATTTATTTATTTCTAATAATGGCAACTTTAAGCAGTGAATAAGCACCATTTTGAATGTAATGCGCTCCCCAAAACATTTGAATGTATCGATGCGAAAAACGTCCTTAATCTCACCGTGAGCCGTGGTCGTGGTATCTACTCGCTTTTCCACAACTCCGGTATCCCGCGTAAGTGGTGCATTTAAGCGCAAACCTGGCAATATGCATATAATATGCAACGTTTGGTCCTCAGAGAAGTTCATTGAAATACAAATAACATGTTTGGAAACATTTTATATATTTTCTAGTCTTATTGTTATTGATGTTATTCATAAAATTTTTAATATTTTTGTCTGAAACTTCTCTTCCGACATTATAATGTTGTTAGTATAACAAATGCAATGAAATGGAAAATGAAAAATAAAACGATTCTTGTCCATAAAATTGTAGTAAACTTCTATTGAAACATTTTTGTCAAAAACAATAAAAATAAATATATTATGGCCAATAATTATTTATGGATATTGTATAAAATAAGTAGCATGTAATTTCACCAGTAGAGATGAAATATACAGATAGGTGCTGGATGCCTAACTAATTCTTATATCGAGGACCGTAATTATAATATACATATAAGAATAGAAAGGAAGGAAAATTATCTCTTACCAGGTTGAGGGAAACTTTCAAAGGACGCTTGGGCAATTGGAACGCTTCCTTGGTAATGTGCAAGCGGCAGACTACTGGAGTACAACGCGGACAATGCTGTCGAAACATAAATTAGTTAATAATTGAATATTGTAAATTATACTGTCATTTAAAATATATAATTTATTGTCATAAGTGGCTTATACTTAAAACCTTGTATTAAAGAAAATATTTATTTAACTATAGTAACGTTATTTATTTTAATCAAAATATGATTTTTTTACTATCAACATCACAGAGTAAATGACCGAAGCGATTGTCAATCACAAAGATCGATTGGTATTTTCAATTTACCTATCAATAAATTTTAGGTAATATTGTTCGTGATATAAATCAATAGCAATTGTCAATCACACCTAAAGAACGAAGAAGAAAGAAAGAAGTCTTGCGCCACAAGAGGACTGTATAAATTTGTCTGCCTAAATACTTCTGATAGCCCCACCAATTCTTGTCGCCAAGCTGCTTGCGTGCAAACAAATAAATATGTTTCGGTAATTTTTTTTATTTTGCTATGGAGTATACAAAAGGTATAAAGATTGTTTCCATTGTATATTTGTTTGCCACCTTAGTATTCTTCGTCATATAAAAACTAAATGTAAGACAATTAGAATATCCGAATTGATCCAACAGGGTGTCAGGTAAATTCATTAAAAGTAAGGGGTTATAATTTTTAAAATGCTTATCATACTCACGTGCGCCTGGAAAACCATTTTGGACACTGTCAACTGTAATAAAAAGAATATTATTTGATTAGGTATGAAAAAATAATCGATAAAAAAATAATAAATATAAAAATTAGTGTTTATTTGTTAGCTTTTGGCGCCTTGATGGATAAACCATCTTGAAATTTAGCTTAAGTACATGTAACGTTAGGAAAAAGAAGGACAAAAGCTACTTTTATGTCGATTTGGTCGATGAAGTGGTGGGCACAGGCGCCACCAGTAATAAGTAAAAAAAAAACCTGTCAAGTGCCAGTCGTTTATTTTTTTTTTTTTTTAATAACTACAATTATACGGTTTTCGGATTTTTTCCTTTACTTGTGCTACATGACATTACCAGCTTGCCAAATTCCATGATTCTAGGTCAACGGAAAATACCCTATAGGTTTTGATTCCCTTTGCAAATGTCAAAATATGCGACATAAATAGAACATAAACGACCGTAACTTTTGATTACATCGATTTAGAAGATTTTTTCACTGCTTAAAGAGATTGTAGACTTACGTATATAATATTAATTTCAACATGATACCTACGTTCCTAAGAAAAAGGAACTTGACAGATGGACGGACGGACGGATAGACGGACAACGAAGTGATCCTACAAGGGTTCCGTTTTTTCCTTGGGATGTACGGAACTCTAAAATGTATGTAAGTGCAAAAATATATAAAAAATATGATGTGTATAATATCTCCTACCTTTGTCGACAGACTCGGCATTCACTGCGTCTTTCGTGGCATTGGGTTTGACCACGACCAGTGATGTTAGTGGAGTCACCAACTCGTACTGTTCAAAAAGATTAAGGTATTTTAGTGTAATAACTTACAGTTCAACTTTCGTGTATTAAAATACTACAACTGCCTACTCACTACTTCCTATGTCATTGTGTTAGCTTGTTTGAAAGAAATCTCTTTTAGAGATAAATTCGCCTTTGCTAACTTTGTTATTAATTTGTTTGTTGTTAATACTGTATATTTAAGTGTTATATATATAATATTATAATGTGCATTTACGAAACTTTTAATAATAAAAAGGATATTAAGTAGGTATAAATTTGACAAACAAAAATCTTAAACAATCTTTCATCAGATAACATTGTAACCAAGCAAATTTATTCATTCTTGCTCCTTTAGAAAATCATAACTCTTGTAGGTACTTTATTGACTCATAAAATTTTTTATCGTTTTCGACTTATTGTTTTAAATTTCTTTAGGAAAATATTTAGATTCATCGAATTGAATAGAATTAAAAAACAAAAAGGATATTTTGAGTTCACTACTTAAGAATTACATTTTTTTTTTGATGGGTGAACATAGTATAGTAACCCCACCTGCGCTAACGGGATACGCTGACGGAGCACCAGTGAAGGGTGATAGATGAGAATGAAAACAGGCCAGTTAGCCCATCATGACGAATTCATCAGGAATTAACCATGATAGTTTCCAAGGGGAACCGCGAGGAGGTCGACCTGGTTGGGTATATTGCTAGCAATGGGATTCTCAGTCTCCATTACTAACAATCCCTTTCCCCCAGAATTACATATTAGTAAGAGTTATAAACTTTACAATATACACTACCTTTAGTGCGATGTTCAGAGCTTTCTTTTCCGGTGACTTTTCCTTGTCTTTAGACTGTTCTGTGTCCAGCTGGGCGTCCTTTTCATCCAAAAGTTGTTTAACAGTGAGATACGCCCACAGTCGCTCCAGAGGTAAATAATAATTTTTCGTTTGAGGCACAGGTGCTTTCAGCGTTACGTCGTATGGAATCTGTAAATATCTTAAATATTTTACGATCTGTTTTGTTTCTTATTATTTATTTATTTTTTTTTTTTTTTACAACACAGGGGGCAAACGAGCATGCGGCTCACCTGATGGTAAGTGACTACCGCCGCCCATGATCACCCACAACACCAGCGGCATTGCAGGTGTGCTGCCGGCCTTTTAAAAAGGAATATACTCTTTTCTTGAAGGTTATGTTGTCGTATCGGTTCGGAAATACTGCTGCTGGAAGTTGATTCCAAAGAATGGTTGTGCGTGGAAGAAAGTGCCTTGAAAAACGCACGGTGGAAGACCGCCACTCGTCCAGATGATTGGGATGAAACTTTAGTTTGTGGCGGGTTGTACGGTGGTGAAAATCAGCAGCAGGTATCAATCCGAACAATTCCTCAGAACACTCCCCATGATAAATTCGGTAGAAGATGCACAGAGATGCAACATCTCTGCGCAGTTTCAGTGGGTCGAGTCGGACAGTAAGGCGTTGACTATCGATAATTCGAGCCGCCCGACTTTGAATGCGGTCTAACGGAAGGAGTTGGTACTGTGGCGCTCCTGCCCACAGGTGAGAACAGTATTCCATATGCGGCCTGACTTGGGCTTTATATAATTTCAGGCGGTGTTCTGGCATGAAATATCGTCTCACCCTATTGAGTACTCCTAACTTTTTGGAAGCTATCTTAGCCTTCTCCTCCAGATGACCGCAAAACTGGACGTCGCAAGATATATCAACGCCCAGAATTCCTAGACTCGACTTTTTATCAAGGGAAGTGCCCTGAAAGTGAGGAGATACGACAAACGGCGTCTTTTTTGCGGTAAACGCGCAGACTTGTGTCTTTTTGGGGTTAAATTGGACAAGATTTTGTTCACCCCAGATCGAAACTTGATGGAGTGAAGTTTCGATTTCAGACACAAGTCTATTCCGGCACTCATCGGTATGTGCCCGCGAGATCTTTGCATGACCGGTATATAATGTATCTCCTGTACTGTCGTCTGCATAGCAATGAATATTACTTATCTGTAACATATCATTGATATGCAGAAGAAACAGAGTCGGAGATAGTACACAGCCTTGCGGGACACCAGCATTCAAAGGTTTTAAATCAGAGCATGCTCCGTCGACTACGACCTTAATGCTACGTTCCTTGAGAAAACTGGCGACCCAAATGCACAGTCTCGCAGGCAACCCAAATGAAGGTAGCTTTGAAAGCAGCGCTCTATGCCACACCCGATCAAAGGCCTTCGGTTTATTATTGGTTCTCACCGGCCATTTACCAGGTTATTCTTTTCTTACCAAAATAAAAATTATCCTATTTCACAAATTGGAGAAAAAAATAAGTATTTACAAAATGTCATTAAAATCGGTTGAGTGGTTTTAGAGACTTTTTTACACTATTATGGTGACAAAAAGCATATGGCCCGCCTGATGGTAAATAACCATAGTTATAGATGCTTGTAACACCAAGGATATTATGCACGCGATTCTGACCCTAAAGAAACCTTAATACGCCCTTTTTAAAAAACTTCATGTTGTAGTCTCTAGGGAAAACCTCAGCAGAAAGATCATTCCACGACCTGAGTATTTGCAGGAGAAAGTTCTTCTGAAACCGCACTATGCAATAAACGAATATTACGACTCGGGATTTAAGATTATAGATCTTATTATTAATTATCAAATTTCCCTAAAAGATAAGGTGAAAGGTGTAATGCAAAACGAAACATCTCACGTAGTTAATCGCGACCTTGATAATGTAGTAGTTTTAATATAACGCATCACCGTATTATACAATTCCTAGTGAATCCCTCAGGATAGCCAACTGACTTGTTTTCGTCCTCACCTACCATCCCCTATATTGTCATAGTCGTAGAATACTGACGGATCTTTGTCAAAGTTTGATTTGTCAAATCCGTCAGTATTCTACGACTATGACGATATGTCAATAGTACAAGCGGGTTTACTATTTCATTTTCCTCGCATTAAAAAAAAGCTCCGCTTAATTTTTCGCTAAAAACGCTGTGTAATATGTCCATTAGTGTTTATTACTGACCTTGCCCGATTCGCCCTCGTTACCGCAGAAAGCGTGCACTTGCGAGGTGATCTCGGCGGCGGAGTCGTCCACTCGCCCGGCCACTACTACTTCTGATCCCTCGTAGTAAGTGCGGAACGAATGCTTTGTTATCATATCATTTTTCACCTGTAAATATGATTCACTGTATGAATATACGCTTTGGATTCAAAAACCGACCCATGTCATCCTTACAATTTTATTGAATTGGTAGAAATATCACAATACACGCAATTCTTAATCCGTTCACTAATACAGAAGACCTAAGAAGTATGTTTTTCAATCAACCTGACCAGTGACGTAACCATACCATTTGGGACCTATGGCAAATTCTTTTGATGGGGCCCTATCAGTAAAAAAAAAAAAAATACTTTTCAAGTAAAATAAAATACTCAGGTACAATGTAAAAAAAAATATTTCCGAGCTCGCGGCCTTTTGAGCCAGGGCCCTTTTAGGTCGGGGGCCCGTGGCATTTTGCCATGTTACGCCACTGAACCTGACTTTATCCTCACTCATCATCTCTCACAGGTAGGGAAATATTTCAACCATAAAAAATTAAAACAGGTCTGTCGTTTAAGATATTTAAACATGCGAGTCTCTTAAATAAAAAAAATCATATTTTATATAAATCAACTGATAGAAATTATACCTAGGCAATAAAGTTTTTTTTTTATTAGGGCATATGGGGTCTTATCTTTTTCCCTACTTCTCCATTAACTCTGTGTTTTATACACACGTAGTCTATCTGGATTACCTTTTTTCTTTAAACCTGTTGTTATATTTAAATAAAACTTATTTAATTGCAAACATATTTATTAACATCAAGAGAATGAACAAAGGTGAGAAAGCAACCGGAAGATCCGCTAGTACATACATGTTAACTAATGTCATCTGTCAATTAAGATGCGTTCCTTTATACATATTTAAACTAGGTACGTTCATCTTACACCTCCCCCTTCAACTTTAAAACAAAACTTTTACAATCAATTACAAAATAAAAAAACATTTTACAAAATTACATTATAAATTGAGTCTATCTTTAGGTTTTATAATTCTTCCACTGCGAGTGTGACATGCTTTATGAGGGATATTTGATTGGTTACTATTTTCAGATACAATATTTGGCACATTATTACTAACTTTGTCATTTAAAGAATAATCAAAAAAATCTCTCTTAAAACTATGTGTTTTTGTGTTTGACCTCTTAATGTGATGAGAAGTGCGCCTAAAGGGCTTACAATTTTCTCCCCTACTGATCCAATATGATCTAGGTTCTTTAGACTTCTTAATAACTACTCCTTTTTTCCAATAACTATCATGACCTGTCCTATAAGTTACATTTTCTCCTTCCTTAAAATTTGTTTCACCCTTCCTTATAAATCTATCATGAATTTTTTTAGTTATAGATTGTTTCACAGTTAACAATTTATGAATATTTTTCTCTATTTTAGGTTCTAACATGCTTTCTGTAATAGGTACACAAGTTCTCAACTGTCTACTCTGTAATATTTGAGATGGTGATACTTCTAAACTAGATAAAGGTGTACAGTTATAACTTAATAGAAAATCTCTATAATCTACATTATCCTCCCTCGCTTTCTTTAATAGATTTTTAGCAATATTTACTGCCTTTTCTGACATGCCGTTACTTCTAGGATAGTGAGGGCTACTGGTAGTGATACAAATATCTTTAGATTTATAATACTGAATACATTCATAAGATTTAAATGGATTGTTATCTGCTATAATTTCAGTAGGGTAACCAAACCTTGTAAATACTTCCTGAAAAGCATTTATAACAGACTTTGAACTTTTATTTATTATTGGTATAATTTCCAACCAATGTGATAGATAATCCACAACAACAAGGTAGGATTTCCCTCCATACTCCATAATATCAGAACCTACTTTTGAAAATCTTAATTTAGGTATCTTATGCATTAACAATGGTTCATGAGTATTTGCAGATTTAAATTTCTCACAAGTTCTACATTTAGATATAAAGATTTGAATATCCTGAGACAATTTCGGCCAATAAAATAGCTGTCTAGCTTTTTTAATACTTTTACTTATGCCTGGGTGACCAGAATGAACTAAATTTAATACATATAATTGTAAAGATTTAGGAACAATAATTTTGTTAGTATAGAACACTAAACCTGATTCTACATAGATATCCTCTTTAAATTTAAAATATGGTTTACATTCTTTTAACAATTTATTTTCTTCAGGCCATCCTTGATAATAATATTTTATAATTTCAGATAACACTTTATCTTTGCTAGTCTCAGATCTGAACTCAGACTTTCTTTCACTACTCATAGGCAAATGCAATGAAACTGAATGAACCATGTCTAACATTTCATAGTCCTTCTCTGTTGTTTTCATACTACATCTAGATAACATGTCTGCAAAATGAATGTCTTTACCTGGTATATAATTAAGATTTAATCTATAATTTAATAATTTAAGACACAAACGTCTAAGCCTTGGAGATCCTACTTTAGTAATAGGCTTTTTAATAATTGAAATCAATGGTTTGTGATCTGTTTGTACCTGAATATTTTTAGCACCATATATATATTTATGGAATTTTTGTGTACCAAAATAAATAGCTAATAATTCCTTTTCCGTTTGACTATAGTTTAATTCACAATTGTTCATTGTTCTGGATACACAAGCTACTAATCTTAAACAGTTATTGTTATCTTTTTGAAACAAACAACTACCTATTCCATTCTGAGATGCATCACACTGCATTATAATTTCCTTTTTAGAATCAAAAGCACTCAAAGCTGGAGCCTCTGAAACTTTCTTTTTGAGCTCTGAAAAATTTTTATCATGTATTGGTAACCACTGAAATAAAACATCTTTTTTCAATAATTGACATAATGGAGCCATAAGCTCAGCCATTTCTGGTACATATCTTCTAACATAATTGAATGACCCTATAATTCTTCTTAACTCAGCTATATTTCTAGGAGCTTCTAGACTTACTAAAGATTTGACTCTATCCTTGTCCATTTCCATACCCTTTTCACTGAATATTTGTCCTATATATTTAATTTCTTTTAACTTATATTGCAACTTGTCTTTATTAAATTTAGCTTTTATTTGTTTTGCACGTTTAATAACTTCCCTAACAGTTTTATCATGAGCTTCCTCAGTTTCTCCCATAACTAGTAAGTCATCGAACCATGTTATTACATTAGGTATATCGCCAAAGTAATTTTGAATTTGATCTTGAAATACATCAGGTGAATTTGAAAGACCATACGGTAAAACTAAGTATCTATACACTCCAAAAGGTGTCGCAAAACAACATTTCCAGTTTCACTTTCTGTTAGTGTCACATGATGAAATCCTTCCGATAAATCAAAAACTGAAAAATACTTTTTACCTTTTACTTTACATGCTATCTCATCTACAGTTAATAATACTTGGGGTTTTCTAATTATTTTTTTATTTAACTCACTGGGATCTAAACACAATCTTATATTTCCATTAGGTTTTTCTACTAAAACTAGCCTATTTATACATGCTTCTGAACTTATCTCTTCAACTTTAGTGATAGCTTTCCTCTTAACTAACCTATTCAATTCACACTTCAAAGGATTATATAATTTATTTGGTATCTTAGGTGCCGCATGACAAATTTGCTCATGTGGTAATGTAGGAATATCCACTGGTTTAGGAAAATTTCCATGACCTTCAAAAATTTCCATATTTTCTTGTATAAACTTAAATTTCTCATCATTACAATTTAAATTTACTGTATTAATTCTTTTAACTAAATTCAATGCAATACAACCTGGTAATCCTAGTAACATTGATTTACAGTCAACTACCATGAAATCTTCATAACATTCAATTGCTTTATATTTACAGTGTAAATTTACCATACCCACTGGTTTAATTGTGGAGCCTTGAAAGGCCTCTAAACTTTGGTTACATTTCCTAAGTTCAATATTACTTCCTAGTGACTTATATATATTTAATGGCATTATACTCACATCTGCCCCGGTATCTAATCTACAGTTTACATACCTGTTCTCAATTAAAATGTTCTCTGTCCAGTGTGTCTTTTTATTACCTTTTACCTTGTTTCTCGTTATACTGCAACAATACAATTTAGAATTAGAGTCACTGTCAGAATTACAATCTACATTTTGTACCTTTTTCTTCACATTACAACTAACTGCAAAGTGATTCTTTAATCCACATTTATGACATCTCTGCCCAAAGGCTGGACACTCCCTCGGACCGTGGTTTCTCTTACAGCGCCTACAATTAAATTTTTCTATATATTTTGTTTTATTTTCTTGATATGCATGCTGCCTTCCTTTATTTTTCTGTTTCCCATTATATACTTCTTTATTTCCTTGATATACTTCCTTTTCCTTCTGTTTTAAACTATTTCTTTTCTTCACTATATCTATTTCTATATTTGGATTCATCTCTTTTGCCTGCTTTTTACTAATTTCACTTGTACGACAAAAGTTGGTTGCCTTCTCCAGTGTTAAATTGTCTATTCTAAGTAGAGATTTCTGTAAGGACTTGTCGTATATGCCTTGCACTATTTTATCTCTTAATATTTGGTCCTCTAATGATTCTTGTCCTTCTACATTTTTATACGAGCAATTAGCAAGCAGCTGTTTTAAATCTGTGAGAAAATTATGAAAACTTTCGCCTTCTTTTTGTTTCCTTTCATTAAATTTATATCTTTCAAATACTTGATTTGCTCTTGGACTTACATAATTATTAATAGCTCTTATAACATTTGCATAGACTTGCGATTCTGTTTCCGTAATCGGCAATGTATGTAGCAGTCTTGCAGATTCGATTCCCATCATATTACGCAAAAGTGATAATTTTACTTTGTCCTGCGAGTCATCTTTTCCAATGCTCACTAAATAATCCTCGAATGCCTGTATCCATACCTTCCACTCTGAGGCTGCATTAGGCGATCTTATGTCGAAATTTGGAGGCAATTTAACCGATCCTTCCATGATGGCGTCTGCTTGGCTGAAAAACTTCTTTACGATATTTAATACTTGATACAATATCGTTTACACTTTGAATACGATAATTGCAACTTCAACCATGACTACTACTTCGAATACCGCTACGACTGCGCCATGTTATATTTAAATAAAACTTATTTAATTGCAAACATATTTATTAACATCAAGAGAATGAACAAAGGTGAGAAAGCAACCGGAAGATCCGCTAGTACATACATGTTAACTAATGTCATCTGTCAATTAAGATGCGTTCCTTTATACATATTTAAACTAGGTACGTTCATCTTACACCTGTTATTCCTCCGCATTTTGCAGCTACGATTACTATATCTTTCGACTACTTATATTAGTAATATAATTTTGGGAATAATGATACTATTTATTTTATATAGGGATGGATATAATTCAGCAATAACCAATCACTATAGTTAATTCCTGGTCAACAGACTTGACTTTATCCTCACCTACCTTTACTTACTGATACCTCACCAAAGTATGCCGGTAGAACAGGCGCTATTATAATTTCATATTTTTCTCATAAAAAAAAAAAACCTGTTTATACAGTTACCTGATCTGGCGGGTAGACGAATTTGACATGTGCGAGCAACGGTGACGACACCTGCCGGTAGAAGTCTCGGAGCTGTTGCGCCGCGTCCGCTGCCTCGTATATATGTCGCATGAAGCCGTCGTTTCGTAGCGATATCTTTCTTAAGAACTTGCGGTCCGCGTCTTGGCCTAAAATAATCATATTTGTACTGTTTTTGACACCTAAAACATACTATGGCGCCAAGCTAATAGAGTCTCTCATACGTTACCGTTTAGTAAGGACTAAAGGTAACCGACCGCAGTTCTTCATCGCACGCATCGGGCGACATGCATTCTTTGTATAGAAACTAATACAACTATGTTCACGGTATTCGCATCGCACCGAACGTATTGCCTGTCGTTATTCACTTTTTTTTCAGTTCTTTTTTTGTCATGGGTAACTAAATACATTGTCAAATACTCAAAAATTTACACACACACACACAAGTTAACTCGTCTGGTCTTTGCTAAAGAAAAATAGTATCACAATCTAATAGTTGGCAGTTACATCGGCATTTCCATAACTGTGGGTACAATTAACGCATTGCTTACAAATGGATTGGCCGTGTGGTCCCGTCATAGAATAGCCCACGCCTTACTTTGCCATGAGTGTCATAAGAGCCGACTAAGGGAGGGCGAAGGATGGGCAGTAGCATCCCTCTTAAAACATCTCTAAAGCCTGATTGCGGTTGTCAATTAGCCTGCCAAGCATGGCAACTATTGGCAAAACCCCTCAAAGGTGAGGCTTATGTTCAGTAGTGGACAGTAAAGTAAGGGTAAAGTGATTGCAAATGGATCCGGTGGTTGCGATCTATGCGATACGTGCGATTTGGATTTATGGACGCCTACCGTTAGTGGTATTCCTATTTTAAGTTTTACAAGGTCTATTAACTCTTTATATTATATGGAAAGAATTATTATTTGTTACTGTATTACTAGTAGATATATTATTTGCGACGGTTAAAACTTATAAAATCAAATTGTCTCACCAAAAGCAAGGGAAAATATTGTGGCTTTGTTCGCTCCATAATTCTTTTCTGTCAAACGATTGATGATCCTTGTGGGGTTCGTTTCACCGACAGTTGGGTCGCCGTCCGTCAAAAATATGATGATCGGTTCTAGGTTAATTGCTTCTGTAATATAATTTATCACATTATTATTGGATTATCGTGTATGGAAAAGAATAAACTTCCGTTTCGTGTAATTCTTTTCAAAAGTCATGATGAGATTGCCAAATCTAGCAAATTGATTTTCTATTTTTAACTAGTTAAACCCAGATTGTGACTTCAGTTAGCCGAAATCTGAGTTGAGAGCAGACACCCTGGCTGCATTGCATTACATGATCGCTCATCTTTCAATTAAGTTTTATTAAAAAGTCTCATTCTTGCAAAAATCAGCGGCGAGAACTTACACTAATAATATTAATGATTGTACTATTATAAGGAAGACATCCACATTATATGTTATATTATATATGTAATGAAAAAAATGGCAAAACAAAAAACGAGAAAATGTTCTATGTATGATTTTATTTGTCAGCATGTATCAAGATAAATAGATATCTTACCATTGTCAGGTTTAGTTTCCGTAGGCGGCTGTTCTGTAGGCAAAATCGTAGTTTCAGTCTCGTTTGCAGAGACTGTGTCAGATTGTATATCGGGGTTATTTTCTACTATATTATCGGTCGTTACATTGCTCAGACCTTTTTTGACAATTTGCACTGCGATGTCCAGAGCTTGGGCAATGTTTGTACCTATAAATACGTACGAATAATATTTTAATCGAGTGGAAATGATTTTTTTTATTTCACTAAAAAATGATTGCGAATGCAAAACATAGTTATCGAAGTTGCTTAAATAGATCATGTTTAACCGTTGACCCATCAAGTTTATGTCTTCATAATGGCCTACGTCGAAAATTGAAAACTATGTATCTAAGTAGATAGGTAAATCATCGCCTTAGTAATTCAGGTATTATATGTTAATATTTCTTTAGTATAGTAGGTAATTCGCTTCGCCTTTTTATCGCAAAACAATTTGATCGGAAGAGATTCCTTTTATGGCATACTCGTATATCCGCCATTGTACGCATTATTTTCTTAAGAACTCTGTATCCTATAATTTAAGACTGTACAATAAAGTGTTACAAAGAAATAAAAACATTTTTTTATGCAACTTAGAATGGCTAACAAGCTATCGGCCCACTTGATGGAATTGGTAACCGTCCTATAATGATACTTTTTATGCGTTGTCATCCTGAGGACTAAGGTGTTATTCTTCTGTACCTTATAATTTCATTGCCTTATCTCACTCTTACAGCCTTGCAAACACAACTGCTTCACGGTAAAAACACAAATAGGACAGCGGAATCCAAACATACGATTTTTGTACAAAGTTTCCCTCTGGTAAATCATTAATCAAATTATCATCCTATAAATATCATGATACCATACCGCCGGCAGCTTGGAGTCTGTTGACTATTACTTTAGCTTTGGCTATGTTCTCCGGTGTAGCCAACGATGGTGGAACCAGTTTCACTTTCGGCGTATTTGACATCCTGAAGTAACGATAGTCAGGCACTTTAGGTTCCTCGTCTGCTTCTTTCAATTCATGAACCTGTGAAATAAAAAGTTTTCTTAAACAGGAGAACAAGATATAAAATTATATATAAAATTTAGTGAAGTGTTAAGTAACGTGCAAATTGTCAATAAATGTATAAAATTTGCTCTGCAAAAAAACAGCAAAATCAAAAGTAGGATATTGCTTATATGAAAAAAAAAAATACCAAAAATCAATAATACACAAATAAAAACAGAAATAAATCGAGAAACTCTGCGTTTTAAAAGTTACCTAGTGAAATATATATATTCTGCAAATTCGCATATCTTTATATCAGTCATTAACTGTCTAATGCTGAACATAATTCTTCCTCATAAGGGGAGTTTAGCCAATAGTTGCAACGCTTGACAGGCAGATTGGCAATTGCAGTTAGCCTTTAGCGATGTTTTCAGAGGGACGCTGCTGTTCATCCCTCGACAATTAAGTTTCATTAGTCGCTACTTTGGACACTCACAGGAAAGGAAGAGGTGGTTCATTATATACCGGGACCACACGGCATTAGTAGATTTGCATATACTACGCAACATATACTCGCAATTCGACCACATCTTATTTACTACACAGAATTGTTTTAGAATTCTGAAATATGTGAAAGTAAATCACTCACCGTAACAGAAGAATCGAATTCCACAATATTGAAATAGTCCCCTTTGTTGAGATCACTGAGGATAGTTTGCATGGCCTCCTGCAGTTGCACGATCTTTCTGTCTGACATGGAGCCAGATGTGTCTAATACAAATACTACGTGCTTGTTCAAGGGCGGCAGGTCGGCAGGTGCGAAGAAATGAACGAAGTAACCATTATTAACCTGAAAATAATAAAGATATTAAAAATACCTGTATAATTTATTTTTTTATTTAGCAAATTGATTTAATCTCTAACTGGTCTCTCCAGAATTTTTTTTTTATTTTATCTAAAAAGGCCAAACAAAAAGTTCTGGAATTTTAGGAAAAAAATATAAATTAATATTTCTAATTCTCTTGTAAGTGATTTTACAAATCTTCTGGTTTTGTAAGATCACTTACAGACGAGTAAGACACAGAAACAACAAAAAAAATCCACCAAGTAGCTAATATAGTAAGAGCTACATGCCCAGTAATGTTCTACGTCCTTATGCTGGCGATGATATTTTAATTAGTAGATATTTATTTGGGTACAAAATAGAATTATGAATAAGGCTTACAATAATTTCTCCATTTTTAGGGCGGTCCACATCGTATTGTACGACGAATTGACCCAGGATCCCGTCTTTTGATTCCTGTTCTTCAGGTTCCTCAACGCGATTGTAAATCAAATTCCGTTCCATATTGGCTTGAGACTCTTTGGACTTTTCCTATAAATAATTGAATAACAGCAATTATATGCATTATCTTTTTATAAATATGACTTGGAACGGCAATAAGCTGATAGCGCATCTGATGAAAAGTAAGGGAGACTTTGTACAAAAATCGATTGCTTGGGTACCTCTGTCCCATTCGTGTTTCTACCGCGAAGCAGTTGTGTTTACCATACTTGGCTGTGTTTCAGTTTGAAGGATGGAATATGGCGTGAATTTACAGAGTACAGAGGAATAACACCTGAGTCCTCAGGAATGGCAACGCATGGGGAGTATCATGGGTGAAACAGTATACTCTGTTGTCCATGGTGCTGCTCATGTCTATAGGCGACGGTTACCACTTTCCATCAGGTGGGTCATCAGCTTGTTTGCCATTCTAAGTTGCATGTAAAAAAAAAAACATTAATGTAACTCCACTGTACATGTGTCGTCATTCTTGAATATAAGTGGCACACAGTTAAGAAATAAGGGCATGAGGATGTTTTTACGGTATCTTCTGTAAATTCCATGGCACTATTAATGCTTATAGGTGATAGTTACCACTTTTAATCAGATGGGTCATCAGCTTATTTACTATTCAAAGTTGTATAAAAACTAGTACGATATTTATATACAGTTTATTTAATATTACGAACCATGTAAATTCCGATAAGTCTTTTTTGCTCTTCAAGATCGGGCTTAAAAGTAACAGTCGCTACACGATCATCGTGATGTATAACAGCTTTGGAATTTTCTGAAAATTAAAACCAAGTTTCAAACAGATACGCACAGCTATCAAGGTTTTAAGTGTTTAAGTGAAAGTTAGTCAGAATGTTTCCACATTTATTTAGTATATGTATTTATCCGATATTTCCTCGATTCCCCCATCAGTACTGAATTTGGTTTTCTATAAAAACATATGTGAAATTACTTTGAAACATTTATAACTTACGTGTATCCTCTGCAGTGGCGTCAATCTCATTTCCAGTCCTGACCTCAGGCACCCTCAGTACAGTGATCTTCTGTGACTCGTGGATGTTGACGGTGACGGATAAATTTGGAACCAGCGACCCAGGGTGCAGATTTATTGCATGGTTGTACACGCCATTTCGTCGAACTAAGAGCTCTTCGTAGGTCAAGTTGAAAACAGCTTCTGTATTTGGTTCCACGTTGACTGTCACCGTGAATTGATTCGAGTCGCGAGCCCTTAGAAATTAAGAACATTAGCAAGCAATTGAATTTATTTAACTAATTACTTGTATTATGACAGAATTACACTAATTACTTTGCAGCAATATGTGCAGCTCCGGCTCCACTTGCCACCGCTTGATTGTAAATATTCTTGGCTTCCTCTTTTTCTTTCACATAAGCCTTGTAAGATTTTCCATCCAATGTCCTAAAAAAAATGTAAGGTTATTATAAACTGCAGGTACGACTATCTAAGTGCAATATCATTTAATTCTTTAACTCCTTGCCAATACAATAATGTGAATTTGTTTATTGGTTACTTCTTATTCGATCAATCATCACTAAATATAATATTTGTCACGGAAATTAGACATTTCTAATATAGCATATATGTATAATTAAAAATGTCTGTTATACAAGTATTTCTACAGTTGTCTGAACTCAAATGCATAGAACAAACATAATAATAACAACTGTAAAGTCTCCCAATCATACTATATAAAAATACTTTACTGTGATTTAGATTTCACGTAATAATAAATAATTGTGTTTCCATTATTATGAATGGAAACGTAATTACTTATTTGATATTCAAGTTTACCGTAGTAAACATGACATCTATTAGACGTACATGATAAATCCACTTATGAAAGCTGTTTCAGGTAGCAGTATTTTGAAAGTGGTTTCTTGCGCACGCTTGGCCGGATTGCGTACGCGGGTGACCACAGCTGTGTGAGCGTATCGTAAGGCGATATTAGACGTCACTTCCATCTCTGTCAGTTTTACAGGTGGAACGGGCTCTGCTGTCGATGTCTCTTCTTTGGACAACGTGGTACTTGGTTCCTGCAAATAATATACATATTTCGTTTCTATATACAACTTGTTTTTTGCCCTCTACTTCATATACATATACGCTTGTTACTCCTGTGTTTGCTTGTTGTTGTTGTTACTATTTCAGAAGTAGGAAAACGAAGTAAATAGATTACTTTTAGATAGTGTATGAAAATAAAACATCACTTTTTAAGTTAGATCTTCAGGAACACAACTGTAAAAACCGCATCCAATTTGATTCAGTAGTTTTGTGTGATACTGGAACAAATATATAGTCAGACCTTTCTACAAACTATTTGCTTCTACAAAGTTTTGGCTTCTGTTAATCTTATTAAGGCTCCTAATATTAATTTTTATTAAATATTTCCCATGTACAAATATCGTCTACTTACGGTGTTATTACATTATTAAGATGTGGAAGGACAAATAGACCCCGGCTCGCCTAATGAAAAATGATAACAGTCGCTTATGGATATGAATAGAAAGGTTCCCATGTAGGCTTTTCTACAGTTTATCTCTGTCGAGAATGATGAAGTGCATGATAGCGTCAGCTTTTAGCCACATTAAATTTGCATGCCTACAATTTTAAGGCAATTAAACAGTTGCCAAAAAGTTCTGTCACATGGCCTTTATTATATGTATTAAATGTCTGTTTAAAGCAAATAAATATTTCATTTCATTTCGGAGCGTTACAAAATCGTTCTAACTACCTATATACAAAGAGAAAAACCCGGTCGAGTGCGAATTGGACTCGCGCACCGAGGGTTTCGCATAGTTTTCGGATTTTTCTCTTTACCGCTGAACGAAATTGTTTTATGCCAAATTTCAAGTTTCACGTTAGATCAAAACACAGACGAAATACAAAACACTAAGGTTATGGAATGAGCACCCTGCCGAGGTTTTCTCAAGAGACTACAGCATGGGGTTCTTCAAACGAGAGGTAAAGAGGTTTCTTCAGAGTTGGCAACGCGCGCGTAATGCCCCTGGTATTGCAGGCGTTCATAGGCTACGGTAACCGCTTATCATCAGGTGGGCCGTATGCTTGTTTGCCCCCTCAATAGTATAAAAAAAATACGATAGTAATGATTTCCTTGCAAATGTCAAAATATATGCTATAAATGGCTGTATTTTTTTATACCACGAAGGTGGCAAATAAGCATACGTCCCGTCTGATGGTAAATGGTCAACTTATGAACGCCTACAACACTAGCGTGCGCTTTGCCGACCCTGAAGTAATTTTTACATATCCTTTTTAAAGAACCCCATACCCTCTGAGGAAAAACGTCGACAGGGAACTCATTCCACAGCTTGAGCGTTCGCGACAGAAAACGCCTTTGAAATAGCAATGTACGTGACTATTTAGGTTCAAGCGTGTGAGGATGAATTCCCTGTCGATTGCGAGCGGTACGATGATAAAAGGTATCTGTGGGCATCATCTTTTTTCATGTTTCTTTTGATAGTGTTGCTATAGAAGTTTAATTTAATCATATCTTCAGGGGATTGCAGACGTGACTATTTAAAGTTAATTTCAGCTTTATATCTTCAGGCGTCCATAAGAAAAAGGGTCTTATCAGACGGACAACAAAGCGATCCTATAAGGATTCTATATTTTCTTTTGAGGTACAAAACCCTAGGAACAAAGAATAGAAGGAATAAAAGTAAGTTATAATTTACTCAAGAAAAAAGTTACTATATAAAAATAAATGTAACAAGAAATTGGTTTTCAACTTTCAAATAGGTATCTACTACACACATACAGACTACGTCCTGTCCATATTTTTGTTAACTCGTAACTCCATTCATCTGAAAAAAATATACTTACAGAATGGTCCAATAGAAATTTTATCAAAATGTGTTCAGTAGCTTAGTTTTTAGATTAAAATAAATGGTTTTGTCACAATTGAATTCGTTTTTTTTTTGTAGAAACATACTTTAATTATTCTAAAAACTTTAATGACTGTTCTGAGAATTAAAATAAATAAGCTAAATTAATCCAGTCGTTCAAGTGTTGTAAGCACATCATAGGCAGTTGAATCTTTTAAAGATGTCAATGCAAACTGCATTCATTACAAAGTTATCTTAAGCATATTTTACTGGTAGGAAGTACCAAACTAACCTAAAAGTTAAAAACAAACAATATCTTGTGTAAATACAGTTTAAAGAAAGTAGGTTAAATTTAAAGAAAGTTAAACAATATAAATGACGAAAATTCATTTGCAATGTAAGCAGCTGTTTACCGTCTTGACAAGGATTGCTTCTTGAATGACAAAGTGCGTATGTAGATACATTATGTGGGTCACTGGCTCCATACAATACATGCTTAAGTATAATATGTTTATTCTTAGGTGAATTATGACTAACATTGTATCAACATTTATTACCAACATACAGAATATTTAATAGCATATTTGCTGGTTATTTAGTTCCGTAAAGTACCTATTTGTGCTCGTGAGTTCCTCTGTATGGTACATATTTATTGACTAGAACAATATATTATTATTAATAATATTAAGGCTTTATTTATTTATTTTTAGGAAAACATACAGCCTCATTCAATCAATACATAGTCAAATTACATCTATGTTGAGTCATAAATAGTTTTCACATTTGCGTTATTACACAATCGATCGGAATTTATATATGTAAAAAAAATTACAATAATTACAAATAGTTATAAATTTTGTTAATCGACACCTTTTTTAAGTTTTATTTGTAATAATAAAATAAAAACAATATGAAGCATAACAACATTATTAAAATAGTCAATTTAGTACAGCAGTCCGAGATCCAAAGAATGACCATGATTTTGTGTGGTATAAGATCAATATCATAGTTATCATCAGTATGCTTCATTAAAACATAGAATACTGTTTTCGTTCCCCTCCCTCAGACTGTCCAATTATAGATACAGGACCGTGTTTTTCAATGTAATAAAAAATGCTGCCAAATTTTTTTATAGTAAACAAATCCGAATTTCCCAAATTCATATTTGGAACATTTTTTTTAATGCATGATAATGGAATGGTAACCCCGCCTGCGCTATAGGTATACACTGGCGGTGCACCAGTAAGGGATAATAGGTGAAAATGAAGTAGGTCAATTAGCCCACCGTGACGAAACTAACAATAAATCAATCACGATGGTTTCCAGGGGAACCACGAGGAGGTCGACCTGACTAGCTACTAGCAATGGGGCTACTAATCCCCATTACCAACAATCCCTTCTCCCCCCTTTTGGAACATTTAATAATTATGCTTCGTGCTTCGGAGGATACGTAAAGCTGTCGTTTAGGCATTAGCACTAATTTCATCCGAGTAACAATAATTGATATTACATTTTCTCTCCCTTGATTCGATCTTTATTTTTTTTTTTTTTAAATAAAATAGAGATAAATCTATCCTAGTTCACAATATTTATAACTATCTTATCTGTGTAATTTACAAGACAATTAATATATATAGACATGAATATACCGTCGCAATTTTAAAATTTGCTTGGATATGTTCCTTGCTCATCTTATATCTTCCTAGGTGTGATATTTCTGCTCAGTCATCTCATCATTATTAACCTACTATTTTCATTATGCAACTATTGTAGTTAATTCCTAATGAATTTGTCACAACGAACCAAATTACCTGACTTCATCCTCACCTATCATTTCGGGGAAAGAAGGGATTGTTGGTACTGGAGACTTGCATTCCCACTGCTAGTAACATATCCTATCAGGTCGATCTCCACGTGGCTCCCCCTGGAAATCATCGTGACTGATTTATTGCTGAATTCGTCACGATGGGCCAACTAACATACTTCATCGTTATTTATCATCCCTCACTGGTGCCAATATATACCGATAGTGCAGACGGGGTAACCATTATATTATCATCTATAAAAAAATCTATCATTCCCCACTGTCACTCCGCCAGCCCATATCAATAGCATAAGTGGGGTAACTATCCGATTATCCCCATAAAATATATAATTCCATACTCACAGTGTGGTCATTTTCCGATTTGGCTACCACCATCGTATCCTGAGTCTGGGTGGAAACCGCCGCTGCTTTGGCCGCGACCATCCACGTGCACAAGCACACCAACACGAATATCCACCGTGTCTTCATCTCGGTAACCTGGTAAAATGTAAAAATAAAATGGTAATTATAAAAATAAATATACAAAAATACTGGCCTTTATCTAAAAATTAATAGCAACGCATGAGTGGAACCATGGCATCATATTGTATGCGGTATATCCATGATGTTCATGTCAGGTGAGCCGAAAGCTTGTCTTTATTTTTAAATGTCATAAAAAAGAAAAATTGTACCTAGACGGGTTCTTTACATGGAATGGGTGTAAGTACAACTATATTTTATTATATTATTCCTATTGTTTTAATAATTTAGGATGATGTTCTACAAAAACTTCAGCGATGCAAAACAGATATAGGATTAGCAATAAAGTAGCCCTGTATAAAAAGAATCGTCAAAATCATACAAAAAATACGGTCTAGTAGAGAAGTTCTGTGTATACAATGAAATGCAGTATTATATGTATTAATTTCGCTTCCGAACGGTTATACCAAGTAAATACCTACATAGTCAATACCAAGAGGCGCAGTGCAGTGCCAATATTTGCACCCCGAAACCTCAGACCATTTCGTCAGAGTTTACGTAAATATGTATTCGTAAAATCCCACCTAAAAATAATAATAAAATAAAAACACTGAAAACCGCAAAAGCGCTTTTAGGTTTTGTTTTTTGGGAAAAGTTATTGTTTTTCCTGTTTACATTCATTGTATAGATCTGTAGTATAATACAGGAAAAAAAAAACAATAATTTATTAACTTTTTCCAAGTATTATATTTTTTATCTCTTGTTATTTTTATAACATACCTAAACTTAGTTCACCGATGCACAAACGGCAAGATGACGATTCAATTCGAACCATTAGAACACGGAAGCTGGCTGTATAGAAAACGTGTTTCTATGCATATGGTTGATAGTTGGCAGTTTTATTTCGTAAATCCTCACGTTATATGGAAATAGACAAAAAAAAGCGGTAGAGTTGATAGCAATTTAGTGGGTACAACGTTTGGGTTACTTGCATTCGTCCCCTTATCATATATCCTCCAGTGAGTGCATACAGAGGGTCGTGACCTCCGATAGGCGTCACTCTCCGAGTTGAGTGATGTTCCTCCATTCGTTCCCATCACTTGCGACCTTACTGGGGTCACAAATACGTTAGCATGTTTATGTAGTGTGTGTGTGTTATGGAAACGCCGCTGCGAATGTGACCAAGAAATTTAAAGACTGCGAATGGTCTTTCATGAATCTAGTTCTTTTAATACAAATATCATTTTTTCTAAAGTGTAAAATTTTATGCTACTTAAAATGGGAAACCAACTGATGGCCCATCTGAAGGAAAGTGGTAATAGTCGTTTAAATATGTGCACTATGGAGTTATACGCACTGTATATCTCCATAGTGCACAAGTATACACTATGATATCCATGGTACCCCTCGTGCTTTACTCGTACTATTCCTGAGGAGTCCTTAGGTATGGTAATTGTATATTTTTCAGTGAGTAAGCACACAGCGATGCAAGCGTAGTTGCTTCACGCAAAAACACGCTTAGGACATAGGAACCCATTTACTAAATTCTAATTTTAGTTAGGTCTGACGATAACATTTTTATTTTAAAGTCTTTGCAGTTAAGTCGTGGTGCACTTAGCAATACCCATCCAATGTGTCCACAGACTCCTAGATCGTATCAAAGTAAACAATATTAAAAAAGTACACTGTAAACGAGTAATTTTCGGGCTTAACCAATTGTCATAATAATCATAGTGAAACAAACTGGGTTACAGTTCCTTATACCACTACCATTTCGTAAACTCACATATCCACCTTTTTGCCACCCACACGATAAGTACAATTTAATATAAAGTTTGTTTTAAGACATGATACTAAACAAGAACACTATGATAATGTTATGGTTTTACAAAAATAAAGTTTTTGTTACGTTTTTTACGTCTGGTCATCATTCAGGAATAGCCCAAGACAAGGAAAATGTAAGCAGATGTATGACGTACCTACTTACATGCAGCACGATATTGTGATTATTATCAAAATAGATACATAATTATAATATGCAAATAGGTATCCTGCACTTCTAATAATCATAATAGTATGTTCACGACTCTAATTGTAAAATTAAATAACTTTATTTTGGTTTCAGAGTTCCGTATTAATATGAGAGGTGAGATTTTAATATCTTTATGTCTCAACTAGTATGACCAATCCAAATTATATATCAAGAGGAAACATTTAATTTTATAGTAATGGATAAACTAGAAAAATTCTAAAATTTTTTTCATTTACAGACTAAGTTACCATCGAGTAATATATGGTGTATTTTATCGCGGACTCGCGTAACAAGGGTTCCGTGCAAAATCATTAAGTTTAATTTTTTTTGTGAAATAACTACAAGCTTACGGTCTTCGGATTTTTACTTTTACTTGTGCTACGACGGAAAGGTTTTGATTCCCTTTGTGAATGTCAAAATATGCGAAATAAACGGAAAATAAAGGATTTTTTTTAATTTGCCGTAATTTGGACTTTTACAGTAAAAGACATAATATTTAGACATGTTTAGTGCATGGTGCTCCTACTTGTGATCAGAAAGATAAGTTTGGTTTGGTGAAATTCCAAAAAATATATATTTTTTAATCCTTACCCTATTGGTAAATAATAAGATTTACTAACGGGCTTTTACAGTAACATACGCATGCAAAACAACCATCGTATTGAGTAAAACCTACTCATTTTGAAGTTATTTAAATAAATAATTGTAACTCTTTTTACGAGTATTTGGTTGAATGGTTAAAGTGCCAAGTAATAAAGAAACAAACTCACTTTGACATTTATTTATTTATATACTTTTGTATATTCACTTCTGTATAGGTATTAGGTTATAGCAAAAATGTACATAGACATGTATATTTTTATAATATTAGTAAGGGTTAAAGGAGACTAAAAGTATTTTTTAATGGGTGATAATGGAATGGTTACCCCGCCTACATTATTGGAATACGTTGGCGGTGCACCAGTGACGAGTGATAGGTGAGAATGAAAAGGCAGGTCGGTTAGCCCGTCGTGACGAATTCCACTAGATTAACCCACGATGGTTTTTAGGGGGAACCACGTGGAGGTCGACCTAATAGGGTGTATTGCTGATAATAGATCAGTTAAAACGATCCTCTCCACCCCCTAAAAGTATTTTAGGTACCCATATATGGTAAACAATAATAGTGACATATCAACTGGATACGTGTTGACGCCTTGTTGGTGTCATGATCTGTGAATCATGATACCGTCTGTGTCTGTAACTATGGTTACAGATGTTGTATAAAGAAACAGTGTTGTTACATCGTGTAATGAGGAAAAATTATTAAAGAAAATAGTTCTCTATACTTATACATATATACATAATATTATTATTATTACATTTCTTCGAAACACATGTTTATTATTAATATTTAAAACAATTTTCTCAGAATATATGAATTCACAATAATAAAACAAAAAATGATAATATTTTGACCTTTAGCAACAAAAAGATAAACTGGTTAAAAACATTGCCTTGATAAATAAAGTCAAGAGTGAACCGGCCATATAGTACAAAATATTTGTATTCAACAGATTTAGAGATCTTAGATTATAATATTATGTTTCATTTTATCTTAATATATATGTAAAAATCCCGTGTCACAATACTTGTTCATGCTAATACCTAAGCGCTCAATCAATTTTAATGAAATAATCAATTAAATCAAATCAAATTAAATGCCTATTGTTTGCTTCAACTAAAACCTCCCAAATTAATAATTTCTCTGTTGAAAATATTTATTCGCTTAGACTATCTGTTTCTCGTATCAGATTTTGGGATAATTAAATCTGACAATCAATATAGAAACATACCGAGAATTAAAAAAATCTTTCGTCTCTAATTAAAATGTGAGTGGAATAGTGTGTTTACATTTGCATATCAACTTATGAAGTAACAGCTCTCTGTAAATAAGATAAGGCTCATACGTTCGAGTTATTATAATATTACAATTGGGAATACACTATATGACTAATATATCAATTATAACTATAAATATTAATCAATACTATATATAATAAACGACAGATATCTAAATAATAGGTAAGGAAGTTGAAATGAACAATATTGTACAGAATCAAAATTTATAAAGAGGAAAGATTATTTGTTGATTTATTGATTGATTTGTTGTTTGTAATGGAAGCTACATTAATATTAATGGATACTCTAACATCAGACATTCAGGTAACATTGTTCTTATCGGGGAAGATCGACTTGAGGTCCAGAGTAGCTGGAAAGATAGCAAATGAAACTGGAGCATTTTGACTTGAAAATCAACAGATTTAAATTCAATTCAATTATACAGAACAACGTCAATATAGATCGTGAAGTTAATCACAGAATTAGCACTGGATGATTGAAATAGCGACACGTCTCGGGAACAGTATGCAAACCTCGAAGGGCCCTCAAACTGAAGGATAAAATTTACAAATTTATTGAAAGATCTGTCGTTCTGTATGGATCTGAATATTCGCCCATATAGATGATAGATTAAATACGAATACACGCAGCAGAGATGCAAATGTTGAGATGGATGTGTGGGGTGACAAGGAATGACAGAATAAGAAATAAAGTATAAGAATAAGAAGAAAGTGTTAAGTGTGAAAGTGGATGGCTATAAATAAAGGGGACGACCGAAGTAAAGGAAGATGGATTGTTTAAAAGATGATATTCATAAAAAAGAAGTGAGAAACATAGATGATATCTATAAAAGAGGAGTGAGACAGTTGACTGGGATTTGTGGAGGAAGAAAACATGCTGCGCCGACCCCAAATAAACGGAAAAGGCAAGGCAATGTTGAATGGAAGCTATATTTATCAGCGAGTAAGATGGAATGGTATCATAAGTTTTAGAAATTCATGATTAAAGAAATCGGTTCATAATCGAAATATGTCTTAACAAATAAACACATTACATTAGCTATACGTAAGACAAAAAAATAAATTTATAAATAATCAACTAAACCACCGTAACTCACCTATATACAGTGAAGTAGAAATGTTGAATGCTAATAAATAACATGCCATTCGTTATAAATATGTCAGTATTTTACTAAATAAAGCCCTAATGATGACAATGTTCATGAAAGACCGAAACACAAGGAAACAGTCTAAATTTGAGATTAGCTGATAGAATAGTGTAGATAGCAAATATAATATCAATACTGATGATAATACACATGATGATTAAAAAAATAAAGAGGAGGTTCTCAATTCAGTTGTATTATGTTTGTTAGAACAGAACTCCATCATTTTTAAACAGATTTTTTTTTTATTTGAATGGATATATTTTCATTTAATCCCATAAAAAAATTCTTAAAAATTGGTTCAGTACTTTTGAAAACAAAATAACTGTAGAATTCAATTTTGCTACAATTGAGGTCGGTGTTTTCTTTTTTTAAGTAAAATCGACTTATGATTGCATCAATTAGAACATAATATTCAACGTGTTTTACACCAGTCTATTTCAACAGCAGATCGAGCGTCAGATTTATCATATCCCTTCCAAGCAAAGTTACATCAAGTGTGGCAGGGAAGAGATGCATTTTTATCATCGCGATTTTATTTTATTGGTGAAGATGCAATAAGAGTAGTCTCGGGCAATTGACATTTATTTGGACCTAAAGTTAAACGTATAGATTTAACTTTATATCATACTAAACACCTACCGATTATTCATACGTACTTCTGTTCTGTTATTTAGACGTAACTTTGTACATACACAATTTTGTAATATTATGATGACCTTCATAATGCAATAGTAAGGCTCGTTGCTTCGCGTAATGAGTCCACGAACTTCATTATAGTTTTACACACCAAACTATTGTTTCAAATTTGGATGTTCTTTAATGTTGTCCGATTTATGGCCGGAATATTTTTTATTCGTATAAACGAATCTACTAAAGTATAAATAATAGAAATCTCTTAAAGAAGTTATCAATAAATTTTCCAAGATAAGACGACCTTTGTTGGGCCGTAGCTTTTTGTAAACAGGGTCCCAGTTTCGATTATTGCTCAAAGAAATTTTGGAAACAATCTTTTGTAAATTCGCACGGGTCTGAGTTTTCTGGGTTATACATCCAGATGCTCTTTGCCTAACCCCTCTTAACACAGAATATTCTAGCCTGAGGATCACACAATTGGTGTGATTGATTGACACTTATTATTATTAGGATATTTTTTTAAAACTAAAGGAAAAATCAACAAGAAATATATGTTCATTATTTTCTATGTTAATTTTACATACATAGACTTTCAACAGAGAAACTAGTTAAACGGGAATATCGTGTAGTAAGTATCGTATAGTAGTTCTTTATCTTGTTTATTTCAAACTTTGAACTTATATACCGACTCAGTTCGAAGAATTCGGCATGAAGATAAAAGGATAAAACGAAATTAAGGTGCGCGCTTAAAGGTTTAATTGTATAAACTCCTCGATTAATAATTTAAATAAATATTTGTGTCTACAGCAAATATAAGGCATAACGCAAAGAAATCAGCTGATAATATCTAGATAATCATGAAATTTAACAATTTCATTCCAATAGCATTGCAGGGGCATGACTCCTCGGAATCCTTGACAAGTTTTGACCTTGTTTTTATAAATTGTGCATATGAATACGATGTCAAGGAGGATGTGTGGAAATCTAATGAAATATAAAAATAATTTATGAACCTTTTATAAATTAAATTGACCATGCGATCACGTTCAATGCAGATTATGAAGTTTAAAATAGTATTCCATACTAGGATGGGATACTACATAGGATGTTTATATGTATAGGTACCTATACATATAAACATCCTATGAAGTTGTCTACAATGCAACCACAAAACATACAGATTTATTATGTTTTTATTGTAGTACACAGTATCTTGATAGTATCTAATTACACGTATGATACAGGTACTTATGCAAGTTAAAAAAAACTTCAATCTTATGGAATAATGAGACATAACTTATGGGTTTGTTTTTAAAACGGAGTGATTGTATACTGTTTGTTGTTTTTAAACAAGTCAATGTACCATAGCACTGCGCCTTTATTTCATGCACGGCCATTTCAAGTTATAACGACAGGAATAATGGATTGAATGATGGTTTCTGACGAACGGGGCGCGATTCTTACGTTATGGAAGTAGGGAGACTCACCGGTTTGTTTACGCGTAACGAGATGATTGCACCGACCAATTGCCTCCTCAAGCTCTGGCACGTTCCACGTCCACTCCTCACAATAATATTGTTGACGTAATCAGAAACGTGTAGCCTCGTCGTCGGCCGGCGCGGAACTCATTGGGACGCCGATCGGAGCCGGTTTTATATCGATGTACATAACATATCGGCTCGCGGGATTCCCAATAGGAGTTTATAGTTTTTGTTTATTTACGAATAAACTGTGTACTCACTGATGAGCATACAATAGGTACTTACCAATAGATACATGCTTGATTGTTTAGGTTTTTCGGGTAATTTCCTCAATACGCTGTCTATAGTTTCACCACATATTGAACCTACCTGTCATTAAATAATATAATATTATTGACAGAACTTCAAGGAGGTTGCATCTCTTATTTATGCTTATATATATGTGAAGATACCATGATTCTATTATATTTTCTTATAATACTGTGTATATATGTGTACTATATAATGTGTGTAGTATTAATTATAAATAATAAGCATTCTAAGAAAACTTTGCTCTGTTAAACACGTACAAGTTTGATACCTTTTCAAAAGTAGATATACCGATGTTTTAATAATTTAAATTATTGTTCAAAAAAACATTAGTCGTCACATTCCATTTTTCCATTTTACACTGGTATGGGAGTAAAAGCCTATATTTTGTAAAAAGAATAATCAATAGTTTTTTTTATTTCACGTTTTATTATTATTATTATTATTTACGTTTTTATTTTTAAATACCTCTGTCCTATTCATGTTACCGCCGTGAGGCAATTGTATTTGCACAGCTGTGTTTCAAAAGTGTTATGAAGGGTGAGGATGTAGTATTGAAATTACAGGGCACAGAGGCATAACACCATAGTGCTCTGGAATGGCAACAAATTAAGAGTATCATGGGCATCACAGTATACCCTGTTATGCCCATTTTACTGTTCATGTCTATAAGCGGCGATTACCACTTTCCATCAGGTAGGCTGTCAACTTATTTGCCAGGGGGGGGGGGGGGGAGGAATTGTTAATAATGCAGACTAACAATCCCATTGCTAACAATGTTGCAACCTTATTACTAAATATTTATATTTAGTGTATATATATATATATATATATATATATATATATATGTGTGTGTGTATAGTAATAAGGTTGCCTCATTGCTAGCAATAAACCCCATCAGGTCGTCCCCCACGCGGCTTCCTCTGGACCACATTAGTTAATTCTCGTTAAATTCTCCTTTCTCCTACCACCGGCCAATGATTAGGGCCAACAAACCCACTTTCATCCTCACCTATCGTCTGTCACTGGGGGGGAAATAATTGTTAGTTATGTGGACTATAAGTCCCATTGCTAACAATATACCCTAACAAGTCGACCTCCCCGTGGTCCCTCCTCGAAACTATCGTGCTGAATTCCAAGAGTATTCATCACGATGGGCTAACTGATCTGCTTTCATCTTCACCTAGCATCCCTCACTGGTGCCCCGCCAGCGTATACCATTAGCGCAGGTGGGGTTACCATTCCATTATCATCCATCAAAAAAAGACCTCTACGTGATCCCCAATGGAAACCATGGTGTTGAATCCCAAGTGTATTCATCACGATAAGCTGACTGACCTGCCTTTTCATGCTCACCTGTCTTCCCTAACTGATGCCTCAGTGCGAGTGATTATGGACGGCGGTAGTCACTTACTATCAGGTGAACCGAATGCTCGTTTGCCCCGTGTTATAAAAAAAAACTGACCTCACTTTGTCCTCATCATTTTATCCTCCACTAATGCTCCGCCATAGTATAAGCGAATGCTCCAATCAATCTTCATCCATTAAAAAAATATTAGGTGTATACCAATTTTCAAAACAATTGGTTAAGCCGCGCCAAGAGGTATATATGATATATTTTGTTTCGTATTTTTTTAAGACGGCCATAAGTTGAACTATAAGACGTTTCAAGGTTATCCATTCATTACCGGACACCCTGTATTATACACACTGATATCCGCAAACGAAGCAGCGGTAAACAGCATTTTTTTATATTTAGTTTTTAATAGTTGATTTTAAAAAAAAAAAAACATAGGGACTAACGAATTTGCCGCTCACCTGATAGTATGTACTCGTATGTCGGCACCTTTATGGTAAATTTATGAAACTGAAAAAGATACATTTTATAGGGGAACGTTTTGAAACATTAGAATGCAAATAACTTTTAACTTTTAAGACTACTGTAAAAGATCGTGTTAACATTTTAGTTTTAAAATCCTGTTTTTTATTGAATGCGCTTCATTAACTATTATTATATTACAAGTATCAGAAATAAATGCATATTCGTTACTTTGCATCTTCATACATGAGAGTTCCTAGGTATTGAGTTATACAATAGCAAATCTATGAAAATGGCAGTTTCGTAAAGAAAATCATTTATTTCCATATCTGGCAAAGTAACGAAAGTGCCACTTTCGTAAATATACCAAGGTATAAATCACGTGTTTTGGAAAAAACTTTAGTTTAATTAACAACGTTATAGCAACCATTCATGTAAAATAACTAAATTAGGATTGAAAATTTGATAAAATAATTATTGAAATTTTCAAATTAAAGTGTTTTTTATTATAGAAAATACTATAAAAATATGCTAAGTAAGTTTCCTTTGGATATATCACAAAAATATGGAGATTCGAGCTACTCGATTTTTTTAACCGTTAGAAATAGAAATTTGAAAATAAGCCATAATAAGTAAGATGCAAAATGTAAATTTTTATGAAATGTTAAATTTGAAAAAACTGCAGATTCGTAAATTTGCCATAGAGGTGACGATTCAACACAGTTTATGTACAATTTAAAAATAGAATATAGAGTAAGATTTGGAATTTATCCATGATATGGTATTCCATAGACTTTTTTTTCATTTATTGTGACTTTATATTCCATAGACTTTATAAGATTTGAATAAAAACAAGTTTTATACACTTTTCCAGGAATGATAGTCATTTTCAACTTCGCGAAAAGTAGCTAGGACATGTATGCACAAATATCAGTCATATTGCTCTTATATCAAGCTGTACTCGTATCCATATATATTTATGATTCTAAACTTATAGTTATTTTTTACTTGCGTAAGATAAAAATTACTATTAATGTTGGCGATACTAAAAAAGAGAATTTTCTGCTGGGCCAAATGCCCTTGTATCCGAAGCCGTAAAAGAATTATGGCTCTGCTCATTCACTCATTCGGTTAAGTCCAAATTGAAGTCATTCTTTCCTTTCATTCGTTTGAAAGCTATCTTTGTTGTCTTTTGTAATTTTTTTTGTATTTTCCCCGCTTTCAACGCACCTTTAACTTTTCGATTAATTTAGGTTATTGGTAAGAAATTTTTTATTTTATTTTTTAAACGAATTTGTTTCAGTCATATTGTGTCTACAAGATACTTAATAATATAAAGATATTTAATAGATATTTAAACTTGAAAGTATTCTCAAAAAATATCATAACCTTCATTAAATTGTTTGAAATAACAATCTATTGAACTATTACTAAACTAACAGAAAGCAATTTATTTTCATGGTTCATTTTCTGTTATCTTTTATAAACTTACATAGTCGTTTTTGTGACATTTTTATTATAAAATTTGCAATGTTGCTAATTACCTACTTATCCGCCATTATAATTGTAGGTACCAATTTCAAATTTTGCTGAATCTTAAAAAAGTACAAGTACTTTAAATGGCATACCTTTCTTATGCAGTCATTGCTCTTTGTAACTAAATAAAATTTTTAGACTTTTGGTTTACTTTGTTAAAGTAAAGTACATGTAAAAACCGTTTATAACAAAAAAAAAGTTTATACCTGCAGTAGAAAAACTTCAAAATAAGTAGATAAGTGCCAGAAAGCACTTACCCTTTTTTATTCTAAGAAAATTCTTTAGTTCTTCGATAAGAGAATATGAGATATGTAGCTTTTAACAGTTCCTTGATTACTTTTTAAGACCCTGCATTACAGTAACATTGAGAACTGGATAGTTATCTTCAAATTTTCTGTACTTATTTTTTATATTCGCCATTTATACCACCATGTGATTTTAATAATAATGCAATAAATTTAACTTTAATAGTTTGTAAATGACTACCAATATTCCTAATGTAATTTTTAGAAACATGTCTGAACGTGGGAGAGGAAGAGCTCGCGGACGAGCTGGTCGCGGGGGGGAAGGCGTTGGCCCACCGCCACGTCGACCCGGTGAGCATCCTAGGCCCGCTCCGCAACAAGGTGGTCCGCGTCCTCAACCGCCGTTAGCATGGGGCCCGCCAACTGTCGCACCACCAGTGCGAGCTGGTGTGCCAACTCCTACAATACAAGCTGGCCGAGCTTCGCATCGGACTACACCTACCACACATGACCACCCTGGAGATGTTGACATCCAACAGCGAATGCAAAAGATTGATATTGGTAAGTGGTATAATCATACATAATTAATAAATCTAAAAAGTACCTCCCATTGACATAATACATCATACAAACCCAGGCATGGTAGGAATGCCATTTGACAGTGATTTAATAAACTTTAAGTTTAAATTATATTATTATTTATTTCATAAATCACCTCCTCGTAAAGTACCGCATTTCATAATATTATAATACATTAAGGATATATGTTTCTGTGTCTCCTGAAAAATTGTATATATGCTAGTTTTTATTATTATTATTATAGCTTTTTATCCACTTCCATGGTCCCCAAGGGTAAAAGCCTCCTCCATCTTTTTCCACTTCTCCTTATCTATAGCAATACTTGTCCAGTTTTTTCCTGCTATCTTTATTATGTCATCTGCCCATCTCTTTCTTTGCCTTCCAACATTTCTTTTTCCTACTGGACCTCACCATTTTGTTGTTTGGAGAGTCCACCTTTTATCTTTGTACCTCACTATATGACCTGCCCATCTCCACTTCTGTTTCATACTATACTGAAGAGCATCTGTTATTTTGGTTTTCTTCCTAATATCAGTGTTTCTTATTTTCTGTATTTTTCTTAACTTTAAGATACTTCTTTCCATCGCATGCTGACATGATAGGATTTTGTTCTTTATTTTTTCTGTATAGGTCCATGTTTGGCATGCATATGTTAGGCTTGGCAGGATGCAGGAATCCATAATTATCTTTTTTAAGTTGAGACTGTAGTTCCCTTTAAGGATATCTTTTTGAGCCCAATATTTCTTCCATGTTGTGTTTATTCTTCTATCAACTTCTTTTTCTCCACTGTTCATTTCGAAAGAGACCAATTTATTTATTTATTTAAGGACAATCAACAAAGCATACATTTATATCTACTTAAAATACATTTACCTAAGTATACACAACTATCCACATAATCTATAGGGTTCTCTTCTATTTTAATTAATTTTTTGCTGTGGTTTGTCATGATCTTTGTTTTGGTTGCGTTCATATTTAGGCCAATTTTCTTACTTTCCAAATCTAGTTCTTGTAGCATTTTTTCTAGGTTGCTAACCGATTCGCTAAAAAGTACTATATCATCTGCGAAACATAAGTGTGTTAGTCTTTTGTTCAGTATCCATATACCCTCATGGCTCCAATTGATACTTTTAAAGATGTTGTTAAGTACTGCTATGAAAAGTTTTGGAGAAAGTGGATCTCCCTGTCTTACGCCTCTTCCAATTGTGAACTTTTTACCCTGCCTCTCCAGTTTGACTCTGCTTATACTTTTAAAGTAAATATTTTTTATAATATTTATGTAGGTGCTGTTTATGTTATTGTCAGCCAAAGCATGCCATATGGATGAATGTGTGGTGCTATCGAAGGCCTTGGAGTAGTCCACAAATGCTATGTAGTGATTTATTGAATTCTTTGTACTTAATATATAATATATACGTATAATGTCAGATTCACACCATTGCTTTGGTACCACTTGCTTCTCCAGAACTAGGTTAAAAATTTTCACTAGATATGTGATTAAAATAGGCGCTCTGATTTTTATGGCTTCATTCCTAATGTTTTCTGAACCTGGGCTTTTTTCAGGTTTTAATTTTTTAATAAGTTTTATGGCCTCGTACTCTGTAATCTGGTTCGGTGCTGCTTCTGAATTGCTTTCCTTACACACAAGGTCTTCATCTTTGTTTCTTTTTCTAAAGGTTTTTTTTTTATACAGGTCGGTATAGAATGCTGTTGCACTTCTGACTATGTCATCTCTTTACCTGATTTCCCTTTACCATTATTTAGAGATTGTATCCACTTTTTATGTGTTGTAAGTTCTTTGAAGGCTCTTTTTGAACTTCGGAACTTTGTCATGTTTCTTTCAATAACTGCTCTTCTGTGATTATCATAGTCTTTCCTAATTGCTCTATTAGTTTCCTTAAATAACTTCTTTATTTTTTCTCTATTTTCTTTGGTTTTGTGCTTCTCTGTCACTAGTTCAGTTCTTCTAGAGATTAGACTCAAGTGTTTCACTGCTTAGGATTTTATGTTGGATTTTATCTTTCTAATATTATTTCTTCCAGTTTATTGCTCAAGACCTGTACATCTTCTAAATTAATCAGTGAATCATGTGATTTTTCTAGATTCTTTTTCAGATTTCGTATATAGCTGTTTTTTTTTCTCAGTAGAGTTCATTTGATTTGGTGAAGTGTTAAAAGCTCTTCTACTTATTTTTGACTTTTTGGTTTTAAGGGCACATCTCACTAATCTATGATCAGACGGAAAGCTTGTTTTGTTTAACACCTCTATATTACTTACAGAATTTGGATTAGAGCTCAGAATGAAGTTGATTTAATTTTTTATTTATGGTCTGGTGATATCCATGTACATTTTCTAGATTCTTTCTTCTTAAAAAATGTATTCATGATCGACAACTTATTCTCGTAAGCATATTGTATCAGACGTTCACCTCTTTCATTCCATGCTCCATATCCAAATTTTCCCATTATGATGTTTTCATGTGGTTTCGGGTGTCTAATTTTTCCATTCTAAATCTTCGAAATCTCCAATGACAAGCACGTTTTTGTCAGCTAAGTTTTGTGCTTTTGTCAGATCGTTATAGAATTTTGTTAGTTCCTCTTCACTTGAGCTCCCAGTTGGGGAATAAACTTGTATAATCGATATTGGTCCATCCCTCAGATTCATTCTTAGTAATGCGACTCTTTCCGATATTCCCACAAAACTTGAAATATTGTTCTTTAATGACTTCTATATGCTAGTTATGAATTATTAATGGTTTGTACTAACATGAACAAAACTATTAATTTGTGTAAGTTATTGGCAAATCAATGTTTTTTTTATACAATTTGTAGTAGCAAACAATTTGAATGTCTGTCATGTAAGCACACTTGCTTGTCATCAGAAACAGCATTAAGACGAATTGCAAAAATTTGTATTCAAAATCTTTATACTCATATGCAGAGAATGAAAAAACAAAATTAAGTCTTCTATTTCTATAGCAATCTATTACCTGTTCCAGGGGCATTGAACAACAGTTTTGTATTGTTTGTAGTAAGAAAACAAAACTATGTTATGAACATCTTGATATTTAAACTTTGTTTCATTTCATCAGGTCAGTCGTCACAAGCATCTGCTGGTGGTGATGCAGGGGGTGTGGTTGGACGAGGATCTCGACGTGGTGGAGGCAGAGTGTTGCCTGAACAAATGACTATATTGCGCACACGTCCCACTACTGTACAGTCTAAAAAAGGTACATATGAATCTAAACATTGATTTCTATATATTGAGGAACAAATATTATTGTGATGCTTTAAATTTTGAAATCAAATGTAACATGTAAAATGAATATAATTGCATGCTACGACTTCACTTGCTTAAATCTATATATTCTATTTTAACACGACACAGTCCTCTAGCTTTTTACTTCAATGTGTGTGATCACATACAGATGTGGTGTTTTGTTTGTATATGTGAGGAAATGTCTTCAATAGTTATCTGAAATGTTTTATTTTATAGATTTTTTTATCACAGTGATTTGAAAGTATTTACTACAAAAAAAAGTTTACCTACTATGCTTGCCTGGGGAGAAAAGGATTGTTGTTAGTAGTAAGGGCTAACAACGCCATTGCTACTTAATATGTCCTAAATATATGATATTATGAAATAAAATGTGCTATGTAGCTTGAACCAGTTTATGTCATGTTAATAAGTCTATCTACACTAGTACACTTTATTATTTTACAAAGTATAAAAGTATCCACTTTAGTATATATACACTAGCTATATACCCTGACTGATCTGCTTTCATTCATCTGTTATCACTCACTGGCACCCTGCCAGAGTATACTGATAGTGCAAACGGGGTTACAATTCCATTTTTACCCATTCAAAAAGAACTATGCTTGCCATCAATTGACTTCAAAGAGAAGTAGGTTCTCAATTCTGTTGCATTTTTTTATTTATTAACTCATAACTCCAGTTATAAACCAAATTTAAGAGTCCTTTTTTTATCTGAAAGGATATACTTATAGATTGGTCCCATAGAAATTTTATTAAAATCAGTTTAGTAGGTTTAGTTTTTATTTGAAAATAACTGGCTTTGTCGGTTTTTCTTTTGTGTAACATAAATTAATTATCTGAATATTATAGTGTATTTGAAATATGTGTAAACAATGTGAAAGTTTGAAAATTAAATTCTATAATAGGTACCTCGGGAACTCCCCTGGACCTGATCGCAAACTACTTCACGGTAAAAACAACACCACAATGGAGCCTGTACCAGTACCATGTGGACATATCACCCGAGGAAGACAACACCACTGTACGTAAAGGCCTGCTCAGAGTGCATCAGAAAACTCTTGGAGGGTAAATATATACTTTAATGATGATAATATTTCTCATTTCTAATGCATGGAAATCATCTTATAAAACAGAAACTTCAACCAAAAAAATATTAGTAAAAAAATCCAAACTTAATAATAGTTCTCAATTTGGAACACTATGTGTTATTTTATAAATATCACTATATAATTTCTCAACAGATACTTATTTGACGGCACTGTCCTATATACAGTTAGAAAACTCCATCCAGATCCAATGGAATTATATTCTGATAGAAAGACAGATGGTGAACGAATGCGAATACTCATAAAGGTATTTTATGTTTTACTAGTTTTTACTCGTGACAATTAAAAAAATTGAGAAAAAGACATACTTTTTCTCTTCGCCACCCAATTTTCTTTATACTCGATTTCATTATGATTTGAGCTGTTAAATCCGTCACACAATTTTATTACGAATTATTATTCATCTTTACAGTTTTTAAAAGTTATTGTCATATGTACTGCAGTGTTATTATGTTAATTTATTGACTTAATTTCAGCTTACATGCGCCGTGAGCCCCGGTGATTACCATTACATTCAGATTTTTAATATCATCATTCGCAAATGTTACAACTTGCTACAACTACAGCTTGTTGGTAGAGACTTTTTTGATCCACTTGCTAAGGTATGATTATTTCATATTCATTACATGTGTTCTTATACCTGAAGTTATCTAATTTTAAAATTAATTTTGTTTTTAGATCGACATCCCTGAGCACAAACTACAAATTTGGCCAGGTTACAAAACTACAATTAACCAATATGAAGATCGTTTGTTGATGGTGACAGAAATTACACACAAGGTACATAATATATTATTTCATCATATTTTTCTCTTACTACTATTATTTAATTTTTATCGTCATACAAAATGCTAAATTTATAACTCAATTATCTTTTGAATTTTTAATTTTATAATTTATAAATAACAAGTTGTAAATTTGTTCTATTATAAAATAAAACAAAGGAACCCTTACAAACTGAACTTTATCCATTCAGCCTACAAAGTTTATTACAATGCCATATCTCAGTTACTACATATACTATCAATTTGAAATATAGAATAGTTTTAGATATTGTTGAACTGCACTTATTGCAAGTGAAGTCATTGTAAAAAGTATTGGGTTAGTGCATATGAAATTGCCGATTTAAACATGTTTCTGTACAATTTTTAAAACATAACATTTTTGTAATTGTTAGGACAAGGTTTTATAAAAGGAAATCTTATAAACCCTTGTCCTAATAATTACAACTATTTGACAACAAAGAAGAAAGAATTAGCCAAATATAAAATTAATATACATATACATATCTGTATAAATAATACAGACAATAGTTAACAAATATCTCTGATTAACCCAATCTTCAAAGCATTAAGATTAATCATTTGCTTTTCTGTTATTATATTAGTAGTATGTATGTTCATAGGTATTGCGCATGGACAATGTCCTCCAAATGTTAAATGAGTATGCTGCCACCAAAGGCAACTACTTCAAGAAGATTTTCTCAGAAGACATCGTAGGTTTGTAATAAAACGTCATTTTTTGTAGTCAGCTACTGAAATATCATATAGAGAAAATGGATTATCAGTTTGTTCACTTTAACAAAAAAAGAATATGACTGAATGGAAATATCAGTAGTGCTTAACTTTGCTGACCGGGAAAGACTCAAAAGAGATCTTAGTAAAAAGAACTAGTCACTATCAGCTTGTATAAATAAATTCATGAATGCGAAGAACAGAAATGGTATGTTTGATGCTCTGCTGTATAACATAGTTAAAGTTTAAACTTGATCCAATATTTTGTTAGTGCTTTTGCTTAATTGTTAAGTTTTTATTCCAGGAAAGATAGTCATGACTGATTACAACAAGCGAACATACAGAGTTGATGATGTAACATGGGAAGCTAGTCCTCGATCCACTTTCAAAATGAAGGATCAAACAATTTCCTACATTGATTATTATTACAAGGTGTGTAATTATGATAATTATGTTATTTGTTGTTTACTAACTTTATAACCCTCTACTTCGTACTCATGGATTTCAGAGATAAGGAAAATTTCCCTATCTCCCTAGGAGATCAATAAAATATACCACTTTGGATGATATATCAAAATAAAACATTACGAGTTTTAAATTAGATCTTCAGCAATTGAACTGTAAATGTCATAGCTAATTTCCTGAAATAGTTTTACGTAATATCAATACAAACATACACATAGTCAAACAAACAAAAGTATAGTTTTGGCTTATATTACTCTTTATTAAGATCTCACACAAATTTTTCTTAAATGTCTCTCATGTACAGACATTGTCCAGTTACAATTTTATTATCTAGTTAAGATATAACCTGATCTTGGCTCATTTTAATGTGCTTGCTAAATTATTATTATTAACTAATAATCACTTCTTCTAGAAATACAACATAAGGATCCAAGATGCTTCACAACCAATGCTGATATCCCGATCGAAGCCACGTGAAATCCGCGCCGGTATGCCGGAGTTGGTGTACTTAGTGCCAGAGCTGTGCCGCCAGACTGGGCTCTCTGATGCTATGAGATCCAATTTCCAATTGATGAGCGCCCTCAACAACCATACCAAGATTGGGCCCGCCATCCGTATACAAAAATTGCTCAGTTTTAATCGCCGTCTCACACAAAAAAAGGAGGTGGTTGAGGTATGTCGATGATTATAATTTAAAAATTATATCTAAAACAACATTTTTGTTGATAAATATTAATAATTATTTGTGTAATAATTTTACCAAATTTTCCTATGTATTAGATTCGGATCGTATAGATTTTTCACTGTAACATAAATAATGGCGAGTCATTTTGACATGACCTCACATAACAATGCCCACACGTTATTAGCAAGAATATAGATTTTTAGTTCACAATTTATATGGAATTGCTTGTCATCCAACATACAAATGCTGTAAGCTAAGCTATAGTATAAAAAGTTATTAATATAGTCATCATATCTACTGAACATAGGCCTCCCCCTTAAGGGAGAGTTTGCCACTGGTGGCCACCCTTAACAAGGGAGTTGACGACTGCAGTTGAGATTTTGATGAAGTTTTAAAACAGACCAGAGGTCAGAGTTTTTTAATGGGTGATAATAGAATGATAACCTTGCCTGCGCTATCGGTATACATTGGCGAGGCATCGATGAGGGTTAATAGGTGACGATGAAGTAGGTCAATTAGACCATCGTGACGAATTCAACAAGAATTAGTTTTGATGGTTTCCAGGGTGAGCCACGTGGAGGTAGATCTGATAGGGTATATTGCTAGCAATGGGGCTGTCAAACCTCATTACTAACAATTCCTTTCCCCCAGGGACCAGGGATCAACATACTGACCATTGTTCAACCTTTTATTGCCATTTCTTCAATTAATATAGTATTTTTATTGATTAGGAATTAGGAACATGGTCATTGAAGCTGTCTGATGATCTTATCAAATTCAAAGGACGCCAACTCCCCGCCGAGAATATTTTCCAAGGTTGTGAAGCTAAATATCCAGCTGGTGATACCACTGAAGGCTGGACACGCGATATGCGGTTAGTACCTTTTATATTTATTTTTTTATGAGTAAAAATGGAATGGTAACCCTGTCTGTAAAATTCCAAATATGATTTCCAAGGGGAACCGTGAGGAGGGTTGATGAACCTGATACCCAATCACATCGCTAGTAATGGGGCTAGTAGACTCCATTACTAACAATCCCTTCCCCCCACCCTTCTAGTTAACACCGTTGCTAAGACTCGACATTTTGATTTCAATTTAATTTTTTAATATAATATACAATTACAGATCAAAGCAGTTGCTATCGCTTGCTCAACTTCCATCATGGGTTGTAATCACGCCGGAGAGACAACGCCGTGACGCCGAAAATTTCACAGAACTTATCATGAAAACTGGCGGTGGCGTAGGATTCCGCATGCCCAGACCAGAAATTGGTAATTATTCAAACTTTGTCTCTTAAACTGACAATATATATTTAGACTTTGTAATATTTCAGCAAAGTCATTTAAATAGTGTTTTTCTATTAGGCGATTATGACACTAGCAAGTATATAATTTAAGTGGATAACCTTATTTAAAATAAACAAATACAATTAATTTTTGTCTTCTCATTACGGGATTTACAGTAAAGTAATAATCAGAATTGTTACCATTTTTTAAAGTATTTTTAAATTTCAGAAAAGATTTTTTTTTTAATATTTGTTACTTATTATTTGTTCCAGTAATTACATTATTTGACTTTGAAATTTAAATGATTTGTTTTGTTTTGTGCCACTGCCACTATTCATAATTTTGTTTACTTAATGATAATTTATTACAGTTGTGATCCAGCGTGACGGTCATATGGATTATGCCAACATGTGCGAAAACGTGATTGCGAGGAAAAATCCTGCTCTCATCTTATGTGTCCTTGGAAGGAACTTTTCTGACAGGTTGTAACACTTTATACTAGATACGTAGTAATAGAAATATTATTGTACATAATATTAATGGCCTTTTATGTACTCAGATATGAAGCTATCAAGAAGAAATGCACAGTAGACCGCGCTGTGCCGACACAGGTGGTCTGCGCGCGTAATATGACCAGCAAGTCTGCTATGTCCATTGCAACCAAAGTTGCTATTCAAATTAATTGTAAGGTTAGTGATAATCTTAAGCTTTGTTTTATTTCTTTCATTAAGTATTGTCAAAGCCTAATGATAGTTTCTTATCTCTACTCACACAGTGAAAAGTAATAAACTTTATTAGACTTATTACAAGCTCTTTTCAGTGAGTTTGTAAACAATGTTTATGCTTTGTCTATTGCATTATTTTCTCTATGTTGGCTCATACAGAATGTAATAACTTCAATATAAGTAGTAACACGAACTTTTAATGATTTTGTTTAAAAAAAAGTTATTACAAAAAAAAAAAAATAACTACTGTCTTAGAGGAAGTAATAAGAGGGAGAGGGACTCATACATGGTAAATATTGTTATTATGATAAACTAACTCTACACCTGATCGCTTATGGAGTGGAGTAGAAGGATGAAGAAGCTATTGTCTCCACATCTATGCTATTATCAGTGCGATGTTGACTAGCATAATTATGGCTATAAAATATATACATAACATTCTGTTATGAACTACGTGTTTTGTTAGTTTATTTTAATAAAAAAAAGCGCGTTGGTGCTGGTTTAGTACCTTCCTTCTAAGTGTCTCTAACTTTCTTTTATAATGATTACCATTTTCGTTCAGTAATTAATGTGTTATACAGCTTGGTGGAGCACCGTGGACCGTGTCGATTCCACTGAAAAATTTGATGGTGGTGGGCTATGATGTGTGCCATGACACTCGCTGCAAGGAGAAGAGTTTTGGCGCCTTCGTGGCCACGCTAAACCAAGCAATGTCACAGTATTATTCCATTGTGAACGCCCATACATCGGGTGAAGAGCTTAGCGCCCACATGGGATTCAATATTGCATCAGCGGTACGAAAATACAAGGAGAGAAATGGTAAATATTTCTTTTATTATAGTATTAGATTTTACCCATGTCTGACATATGTTTACTGACCTGAACAAAAAGTAGCTCTAATTTCATAGCGATTATTTATGGCATTAAAGTGCTAGAAGGTAACAAACAAATTCTCATATTTATAATATTAATTTAATTTATTACATATGGATTATGTTTATATATCCATATGTAATAATTATGTCATTTACATACTATATATATTTTCACTTATTTCACGTGATAAACCTAATTAATATATTTAACTAGTTGTAAACCGCGAGTATTTATACATGTATTAGCTTAAAAAAGTATGAACTAAATTTCAATCAAATTTATTGAAAACATAATTTAATACAATTAATGTAATACTAATATTTTATTAATGCAGGTGTGCTGCCCAACCCCATCTTTGTATATCGTGATGGTGTGGGCGACGGACAAATACCATATGTCCTCAGCCATGAGGTAAAACCTTACAAATAATATTTAAAACATACACTTGTTTTACTAATTTTTTTCAGTACATCAATCAGCTCCCTATGAAATCAATTTCAAAACTACTGTAATTTTTTTTTAACATTTATTATTTAGATGTTACTCGCGACTTCGTGCACATAATATTTTTACTATCCGGAGATTACAAGTGGATTGTCTTTTTCCATCCCATATATATATGTAGGTGTATACCAAATTTATAATGTTTAATTTTGTAATGCACTTTCAACGATTTTTAAACAGGTCGCTGAGATTAAGAAAAAGTTGACAGAGATTTACGGCGGTACGGACTACAAATTTGCATTCGTCATCGTGTCGAAACGCATCAACACGAGGATATTCGTAGATCGCGGACGTAGTGGGGACAATCCACGTCCCGGTACAGTTATTGATGATGTCGTCACATTGCCGGAAAGGTCGGTCTCATCTCACTTTTGTTTGTACATAATCTACTTCATTCTCAAACATGTACCTAAGGTTGTTGCACTTTATATGAATCGTTCATTTTTTTATGCCACATTGTGGATGTCATGTGCATGTTGCTTAAAGCCTACGCACTCCTAGATTAGAAACCTACATGTTCTAAATATAACGTATGAATTACTGAGGTACTTCTGTCTACACTTGTTCTAAGTCCAAGTAGTTGTATTTGCATGACTATTTAATTGTCGAAGGGTGAAATATAGACTAAAATTACAAATATAACAAAGTTAGGAAATTAAAATTTATAATGATTTATTTATTAACAAAAACTCAACATGTATTATTTAATCTAGTGATACAGTAAATTATTATTGTCCAAATGTTTAGTGTTATTATAATAACTTATCGTGATCAAACTTCTTTTTTAAACAATGAAAAAGCAATGTATGCAGAGCAAGCAATAGTATACAGAGATATAATTTTATTTGCTTTAATTGTAACAACACAACGTTATATTATGTACCTGAATACATTATTAAATAGGTTATGGATAAAGATTAGAATTTTTAAATTTGTAATTTTATTTCAGGTACGACTTTTATCTCGTATCACAAAATGTACGCGAAGGCACCATTGCTCCGACGTCATACAATGTAATCGAGGACAGCACAGGTCTTTCGCCCGATCGTGTAAGTAGTCATAATGAGTCATAGTAAAAAGATAAATTTAATTAGTAATCGTTGCCATTACAATGATAATTATTATTTACAGATGCAACTACTCACATACAAGCTGACGCACTTGTACTTTAACTGCTCGACACAGGTTCGCGTGCCTTCCGTGTGCCAATACGCACACAAGCTTGCGTTCCTGGCCGCAAACAGTTTGCATAACCAGCCTCATCAGTCGCTCAGCGAGACTTTATATTTTCTATAAATGTTTTTATTTTTTATATACTTTTTCGTTTTAGATTATAAAATGAACAGCAGTACTCAACTAGACAGCATGATATTGTCCTTGAACAGTCATGTTGAGTAATGCATATTTTGTTGATTAAAACTTGTTGTCTAGCTATAAGATTGTGCATTTGACTACTTTTTTTTACTATACCTGATTGTACCTCATACAATATAATTTTTAGTTGTACTTTCGTAGTGTACTCCGAATGAATGATGAGTCATTGTTGAATTTATAATTAACTTTAACTAATATCAAGTCAATGCAACAGATTTCTGAATATAGTTCTTTAAACCTATCTGTATAATTATCAAATTTTATAAAAACAATAACATTTTTGTAATTTAATGTATTAAGAGTGTTCCTTCTTTAGCTTACCGAAGTGTGGCGACGTCACAATTATCTATTAATTTCCAAAAACAATATTTTTTTTGTAATTGATTATTTTAAAAGTGCTCTACTAGTTAACTAAAACTTTAATCATTGCAAACGTTGGATACAATGCCACCACTAAAAACTATCCACCTATTTAGCATTAGAATGTTTTAATTACTTCTTATTTATTTTTAATTCAAATTTCAATGGCAGCTCAATAAGAATATTATTGCATGATTAACTTTTTGGTTCGCTAGCAACAGAATACATTAAAATGATCAACCAGAGACATTCAAATTTTTTTTTTTTATAAATAATTACAACATTGCCACACTTAGTAAAGTACTGCGTTTATTATTATATATTATAGTATTAGTAAGTAGGCAATGTCGTAAACTACTTACTAAAGAATAAACTGTTTAAAATATATAGATAAATTTGAAAACTTATATTCAGATTCTGCCCATAAATATGACAAGTGAATGTGATACTACTATTACTTTTGTATTATTAATTTGCTAACAACATGCCAATAATGGTTTGTCAGTATATAAATTGTAAAAGTATTATGTTGTCAACTTAAGTATGAATAATAGCTTTTACCCTACATTTCTTTGGTTGCATTTATCATTTATATTAGACAACCATTCCATATTTGTTTACATTTTTCATTTACATTATTTCATAGCTATATTGTAAAGTGTGACTGAAGTTGCATTTTTCTGTCTGAATTTTTGATCTGAGGTAAAATATAAAGTACAAACATGTTTGTATTTTATTAAAACTATTGTTTAGGTATAAGAAATGCCAAAAAATTGGCATTTACTAAGTATAGGTTTTTTACTGTGGTTGGTGCTTTGTGTCAACGTATGTTCGAACATTGTGATTTTCTAAAAAGTTAAAAGAAGATTGATATTTGAAAACATTTATTTTTACTGAAGAGGGTCGGGTGAATTGATGATAAGAGCTATTTTCCAGTAGGTAACAAAATGGCCTGCTTTTTTTGTTTTATACATTCCACCCTCTTATTTCTCGCCATATTATAATCGTTATATATTTTAAGAAATAAAGATGATTTTTGTAATCATGATTTTTACTTACATACTTTAATTGACCTAATTTGATTTGAGACATTTCATAAAACTAAAAATGTTATTGAATATTTTTTGATCTTTTACAAACCATTTACATGAGGCACAGATAGTTCCTTTAAAAATAGTATCATTATTTTATTACTCTTAGACTAGCATTGTTCAACTCGAGTGCTTTTATAACTACTGTACTATTATTGATACTGTGAACAGAGGGACTGCCACTAAGAGAAATTGACTTGACTGTCCTTGAGGAAAGGAATTGGTAGTAATGGGATTTAAGCTCCATATCAGGCTGACCTCCAAGAGGTTCCCTCAGAAAATTATCTTAGTTAATTGCTCTGGCATTTATTACAAGCTATCAGTCAGTTTTGCTTTCATCTGACTGATAGTGCAGGTGGGGTTACCATTCCATTATCATTCCAAAGAAAGAGGACTGTCCTAATTTGATACAAGCGGTATCCTGTGTCCACGGGTTGGTGGTAACCTTTTTCAGTGTCAAGTGTACCAAATAGACAAAAGACAAACCTGGTTACTTATAAAAGAATAATTTGTTTTATTCAATTAAATTATATGTTGAAGGTTAAAAAATCCTAAATAAGTTCTGTAGAGTATCAGTGGTTCAAAATATATAAAAAAAAAATGTAAAAATCTTATTGGTCATTTACTGAATAATAAGAACTAAATAATCTTATCTGTACAAAGTCCAAAAACATCTACCTGTATTTCTTGTAAAAGAGACTTGTGAAACATTTGGTATGTCCATTAATGATAATATAAATACAGACATCTATGCATAAATAGTAATTTTTTGCTGCACCTGATTATTTAGGTTGCTTCACTAAATATGTATTTTTATACAATTTTAGTAAACTAATAAAAATGATATGGCAACCATCTCATGCAATTTTTGCTCTTGCATAAACATTTTGTTCTGGATGTATTTTCTAAAATTTTATCACCCTTAAAACAACCATAATTGAAAGTTATTTCTGTATTTGGTACTATATCTGAGCTACTGAATATAGCAAGTTTTGGTATGGGAGTGTTAACTCTAATTGGGATTATACAACAATTGGGTTCACAACTATGGTTTATGTATCGGCCAATATTGCCAAATCTGCTTGGATCTATAAAATATTGAAACATTCTATCCTTACTATGTTCTTGTAAACAAAATATATAATTCATCTTCCCTTCTACTGCATTAATCTGATGTCTCTTATTAGCTTCTGATTTTGTTATTATCTCCCCTGCATACTCACAGACAAACATACCTCTAGGTATATGAGATTCTGTGAAAAGTCCAAATCCTTTCATTTCATCGGAACATTTTTTAACAATTAAACCTTCCATAGGTCCTTTTTGGACGACACGGTTTCCACATTCATTTGAACAAGAACAGAGATCATTACACTCTATAATAGGATTTGTACAAAATTGGCCATTTTCTAAATCAAGTTGTAATAAATATTTATCTTGATTGTAGAGCACATAATTAAAGCTGTCAGATGTCCCGAGGCACTGGCACTTATTTTTTAAACAATACTGCTCACAAAGACAATGATTAGTTAGCTGAGAGTTGAAATTGTCAATTATCTCTTCATACTCCTGACTTTGTTCTTTGGGGCCTGGAATACTTTCCACTATATAAATTATGTTATTACTTATGTGTGTATAATTATCAATCATATTAATTTTCTTGATACTTGATGCGGAATCTGCAGTTTCTATAAAAAGCATTCTAATCAACAAATTATTTGAACACACTTTGATTTTCAAATAAATTTTCAAGTTCTATAAGACTACAAGGATATTTATTATTATTATTAATTTCTTGTTTAGTACTCATCATCATATCATCTGTTAATTATGTGTTGCTGGTCTCACCTAATTTGGGAGTTTTACCAGCAGTTACCACGCTTTGCTGGTGTGTTGACAACTACAGTTGTGCTTTTGATGATGTTTTACAAGCGAGAGGGATACTGCTGCCTGTCACTCAACCATTAAATTCTCTTACGACATTTACAGGAAAGGAAGGGGTAGCCCATTTTATACTGAGACCACACAGCAAACGTTCAGTATTAATAATGTTATTTTATGCCGCTATGTGTGCCCAGGCATAGAATGGGTCACCCCTTCCTTTCCCGTGGGTGTCGTAAGAGGCGACTAAGGAAGGGGAGGCAGTGGCATTCCTCTTAAAACATTTCTAAAAGCCTAACTGCTGTTGCCAGGGGAGGGAGAAAGAGATTATTAGGAATGGAGTTTGATGGCCACATTGCTAGCAATAGCAGTATATAATATCAGGTCAACTTCCACGTGGTTCCCTCTGGAAACCATCTTGAACAATTCTTGTTGAATTCGTCATGATAGGCTAACTGACCTGTTTCATCCTCATCTATCATCCTTCACTGGTGCCCCGCCAGTATATACCGATAGCGCGGGTGGGGTTACTATTTCATTATCACCTACAAAAAAAAACCACTGTTGCCAACCCGCCTGCCAAGCGTGTCAACTACTGGCGATAGCCTCCTAATGCGGAAGGCTTATGTCCAGCAATGGACAGTTAACGGCTAAAATAATAATAAAAATGCCTTGGGAATTTTACGTTAATCATTCAAATAATTACCTAAGAAATAAATTCTTCAGAAGCACTTTAAAAAATTAAATAAATCATATAAATAATAAATATACGTATTATGTTGTTGTAGTTTTTTTTTTGTAATTTCAAAATTATTTTAAACAGTAAACACACTAAAATAGTCAAGGTAGTTGACAGTAGATGTCAGTCAATAATTTAAATACCGATAAGGCTCACTTTTAACAAAAAAGTGTGTAAAAAATCTATACAACCAATGAAATTGAAAAATTTTACACAAGTAGATAGATATTCATCTATATAAAGCAGGGGTTGCCCATTTTGAGAATAAATTGTTTATTAGCGCTCCCATTTTTTCACCTACTTAAAACCACTATCACTTTAAGATCAACAAAACACCTAGTTTCTGCCTACCCTAATGGGAGACAGGCGTAATAGATATGTATGTATGTATCAACAAAACACCCCCAAGCCTCTACACAACGCCTATCCCCCTTTAGGCCTGCAGCGCCTACAAGGGGGCGTTATCGCCCATTTTGGGAAAGGCTGATATAAAGTAAATAAAGCATGTATATTATAAATAGTTGGACATTACATTTATTTTATTGTGTTGATATTGTGTACATATAAAAAGTTCATTTTTCAGTACCTAGGCAACGTAAGGGCAGTGCTGACTCTTAAATTGCTTGATACATAGACTATAAATAATAATTGTGACCGTATAAGAAATAGCACATTAAAATAATTCTAGACTATGAAAAAAATCCATTCAACTGTTTTGACTTAAAAGTCTTGTTCCTAGCAGTTAAAAAAATTTAAAAGTATATTTTATCTTATTGTTTTTAGATATAAAGGTGTCCATTAATGATATTATTATGAACTGTGACTAAATACTAAAGTGTGTAATTCGTAGAGTAAATTATCTATGTAAAAGTGTTTCGACAAATAAATATTCAATTTATTTCATATTATTGTTTCTCTAATATAATATTAATACTTCTTGACGGTTGCGTTCATTTATTTTCTATTTCGGTACTGTAAAACGGGATGAATAGAATGGAGAATACAATTGAATTTCTTCATTTTATTAGAATATTTATAATTTTTACAGATTTCAAATATCTTCGGTTATTTAAACTATATGATTAAATAGAAAATAATTTAAAAAGTAGGCACTAGTTAATTATTTATAGCGAAATATATGTATAATCCCTATTTATACTGAATTCGAGGTATCTTGGAATAGATGTGGGGTGAATAAGGAAAAAGGAATAGGTTTGTCAAGATATTTTTTTTAATGGGTGATAATGGAATGGTAACCCCGCCTGTGCTATCAGGATATGCTGGCGGGGCACCAGTAAAGGATGGCAGTTGCATTCGTCAGTTTGTCCATCGTGACGAATTCTACAAGAGTTGTACACGATGGTTTCCAGGGGGAACCACGTGGAGGTCGACCTAATAGGGCATATTGCTAGCAATGGGGCTGCCAAACTCCATTGCTAACAATCCCGTTCCCCCCTGTCAAGATATATTAGATTCCTATTTTTGTAGACTAAACATGTTCTCTTCTTAATCCAATAAGAGTTGCCATTATGTATAAAGGTTTCAGTTTTCATAAATAAGTTTATGAACAAGGAATTACATAGAAGAAATGATAAAATAATATAATTTTATTTTATCATTCCTTGTATGTAATTCCTTGCCTCCTTTCTTCTTATACAAATATAATTAATAAAAAGAGGATGAAAGATACACCATCAAGTTTTATTGTTGTCAATTCATAGCAGGCTAGTATATAGAAAATGTATACAGCCGTATAATCCTACCAAATTCAGATACAACCTGCTTGCATACTTTCTACATAAACTGTGTCGAATATATATTCTAGTACTGTAAAATTTGTCATTGACAATAATTGACATATCAAACATTTTTTATACACTAACCTGCTATGAATTGAGAAAAATAGCAACTGATGGTGTATTTTTCGTCCTCTTTTTACTAATTATATTTGCATGAGAACAAATATATATATATATATCTGTGATGTATTTATGTTTATAAAGGATTATTAAACATATTTTTTTAATTAACCCTGGCAACACTGTTTGTATTTGTTTGCTAATGACCGTCTAAAAGGTGACTTATTTATTTCATCCATCCACACACAGACTTACAATACCTACATTTACATCCGCGGTCGCGCAGGCGCAGTCGTGACGTGACGTAATTGTCCATTCATACTTTTTGTTCATCAATGAACAGAACGTTTGAAAATATTTTATTGATAATACGTTAGCCAAACATAAATTTCATAATGTTAAATTTTATTGATAAATGTAAAAGGTGTCGAGTATTAACTTACCTCGTATAATTGTAAATCAAGGTTGTGTAGTTAGATCAAAAGTGCATTCATTCATTGATAGTAAAGTGCATGTATCGAGCACATGCGCATTGCATTGGTGAATTTGTTCGATTTGGAAAGTGTTTAAAGTGTTCAAAACGTTAGAAAATGTGGACATCAATGGATTTTGTTCTTACTCTTTATTGGAGCTGAACTCCTGAGTCAACTTGTTGAAAACAGGCTCAAGTAGAACATTACGACACTCCGGAAGTGGCGGGACAAGCAAGCCGGCCGAGCTCGTTCCGAAAGAGATAACAACGGATGAAAGAGATAAATAGTAATGGATTTAACATGGCGGACGATACGCGTAAAGTGCGAGTCGAAGAAAGATTAAAAATAAAGATCGGTATGTAATATTTTCTAATTATTTCTACATGAAGCAGCAATAAATTTAATTCTCAGAAAGATCTTTATATTATTTTAATATGATTTGCATTCCTCTATTGTCGGGCTTAGTCTTGTTGTCATTGTGGTGAACAGGTGGTAAAAGAATTCTGCATTTTGTAAGCCAAATTTGAATGACTACCACTATAAAATTCGTATTTGGCTAGGGTTTACATACGAGCAATTAAGCAAATGTAATTAATATTATGTATATTATGAAAGTTTTAGGTTTCTTCTAATTTCTTTGTTGTCTTCATTGGCTGTTTTGACAACTCGCGCAGTTTATGAATGAAAATGAATTGCTGTGAATTCAATGAATCTCGTGCCTAAATCATAGATTAGATATCTACGTACTATAAGTGGCAATTACGAGAGTTCTTGCAGCCATCACTTAGTAATGCAAAAAATGTAGACAGTACCTTTTATTTGTTCCCATTAAAAAAATATGATAATTTTCTAAATCATTCATTATTCTCATTAGAAATATAATAAGATAAATACTTATTTATTTGGGAAATTAAATTTATCTGTGTATATTCTTAATGAAATGTAATTGTTGAATTATCTTTAAGTATGTATTAATTATTATCCTGGTATTCAATTTCCATTAATAATATAATAATATATTTATCCTTTCAGCTTAGTATATATATAATATAATGTCTAAATAATATTTAATATTATAATCATATCATGTTCCTTATAAAGTAGCCAGAGAGGTCTTGTTTTTTCTTTTTGTATTTTATCTGATTTGTTTTGAGAATATATTTTTATATTTAGGCATGAATAATAGTCCTTATTATATCCTTATAATTGATTTTTTTTTTCTTTTTTTAATTAACATCAAATAAAACATGGTTTACATTTCACTTGTATTTTTTTTTATGTATTTTACATAATATTTTCCTCAATTTTGAACCATTTCTGACAATATAAATACTTTTGTCAATTGATTGGATATATTGCTCTTATATTTATTTTATTATAATTGAATTCACTGTTTCATTATGAAGCAAAATTTTATTAACAATAAGTATTTATTCATTTTCATTATTCTAAATAAATTGCAAAATAGATGATTTGGAAAAAGTTCTTAATCAGATAAAATTTAACCAATTCTCAACTATTGTCAAATAAAATTTATACACATTTAATTACTACCCTATGAATCCTAAAATTATAAAAAATATATTTTAAGAATGTTTGTTTTGTCAACAACATTTAACAGCTGGACGTCTCTGAATAAAATTACATATAAATAAACCATATTGTATATGAACATATATTGATTTCTGTTAATTTTAATTTTTGCAGAAAAAGCTGCTGTCAAACAGCTAGTATTATGAATGTGTAAACAAGTTAGTAAACATATATAGATGTTTGTTATTTAATCACACTTGGTCGACTGTAATGAATGATATGTATAAGAAACTCAAATATCCCAAAATAATAAATAAATTTCCGTTATTCATTTCTCAAGTAGATGTGAGTTAAATTTAGTACACAGATAGAACATATTATCCTATTTATCCTAATTCAGAAAAATCATGAGCAACAATTAATAATTTTATATGATAAATATATTTGCAATCATATTATCTGTTTAGTAAAAATGGATAGTGTCTCTAAAACTTTGATTAATAATTACAAAATCATAGATATTAAAAATATATTAATTCAAATCTACATTTTAATTTCACTAATACATGCTAAATTGTATGTTTAATATTTGATTAATTACTGGTATGTAAACATGAGCCAAAATGGTTTTAAAGTAGTAGTCATTCAAATTTGGTTTACAAAACATAGGGATCTTTTACCACTTGTTTACCACAATGGCAACAAGACTGTGCCCTACAATAGAGAAGTGCAAATCATATTATAGAAATATTTTTTTATAAAAATAATAAGTGCCTCATGATATATTGCCCTTGTTATTGTTTATATTATACACAATATATTATTTATGTATTACACTTTTTTAAATTGTTAAAAATTTTCCACTCATGTCCTCTAAGAGTAATACACTATACAATTAATAAAGTATTTCAAACCAGAGTGAAAGCATCATAAAGCTAAAAGTTGGTTGGTAATCAAGATAGTTGAGTTAAAGCAAGAGAAGCAAAATTTGAAAGCATTATATCATAAGTCATAATCAATTTTAGCCATTATCTGTCTACTGCTGAACATAAGTCTTCTCCATAAAGGGACTTTAGCCAATAGTTGCTAAAGCAGGCGGGTCGGCAACCACCGTTACGCTTTTAGAGATGTTTTAAGAGGGATGCTGCTGTCCCTTCCTCTACCATTAAGTTCCTTTAATTGCCTCTTATGACACCCAAAGGAAGGGTTGGCCTATTCTATGCTGGGACCACACAGACATGAGTGGAAAATGTCATATATGTACAAAAACTGACGAAATATTTGTATTTATTTATTTTAATTTGATTTTTATAATAAATATGAGAATTTTATCCTTCTTTAAGAAGAGCGTTATAAACGGAACTAATATAGGTCCTATCTCGGTTAAATTCCTAAGTGTATACCGGGAACATGTGTGTACCTTAAATGATTGATTAAACTATATGACAACTTGGGCACATAAATCTATATCGATAAAGCGAAGTATGTCTGTTATGATAACAGTGTACCACGTCTTCCGGAGCACGACCTGCGACCCTTCGCCTCCGCCGACCGCTCCGCTTGTCAGCGCTATCGTCAAATATAATTTTACAGTATTACATATTATGCTGTACTAAAATAACTGCAAACTATCAGTTGAAATAGTACTATAAGTGTTCTTTGAATTCATATATAGTTTATCGTGATCGGATTGATCGTAATGAAAACAACAATAATAAACTTATCGTAGGTGTACCAGCCTGTGTACATGAGACAAATCTTGTATCAAGCAAGACATTATCATTGATAGAGACCTTTGGCATTCGGTTTTTCTCCAGGGATTTGAGCCCCATTCAATGAGGTGTGGAGATATGTATATTGTTCTACTTGGAATAATTTTAAAATTACTTAATTTAAAATAAAGTATACAAGTCCTCAAATAAAGAGTACAATTGCAAATTGCTAACGTTTCCTCTAGTTATTGCTACCATAATGATAGCTACTCATTGGAATAAAAAATGGAATGTTTTCCCAAGAGACTAAAGCATAAAGGTTCTTAAAAAACGGCGTAAAGAGGTTTCTTTAGGAAAAGCAACGCGCGCGAAATATCTCTGGTATCGCACGCGTTCATAGGCTACGTTAACCGCTTACCATTAGGTGGGCCGGTATACCTGTTTACCACGTCAGTGATATAAAAAAGAAATATGCGATCATTCCATCATGGTCATATTCGTTCACCGTTATTTTTGAAGCAAATATTGCTAAAGTATTATTATGAAAATTAATTAGAAAAAAGAACATCCAATTACAAATTTAAAAATGTTGTTATTAATGCACCGGTACACAATTTGTTAAATGGGTAATAAATAAGACATTATGCAGTGTGCTGCTGAATACAATAATAATAACTGCCTAATTGCAATTTTATTATTAATTTGTTTAAATAAACATTTAATGTTCTTTGTCTAAAGTCATTATACTCAATTAACATGAATCTATAGTAATATAAATATGTCAAGTTTGTGAGTTTGGATGTTCGGAGTAATCTCTGGTACTACTAATCCGATTTTGAAAACTCTTTCACTATTAGAAAGGTATATTTATTTATTTAACTCTTTATTGCACCATAAATAAAAATATACAATGACAAGTGAATAATTCAAGTGAAATACAGTAACATAAATACATATATATATATATATATATATATATATATATATATATATATATATATATATATATATATATATATATATATATATATATATGCTTGAGTGCTATAGACTACTTTTTATTTTGATAAATATATGATTTCAATAATTAATCACAATAAATGTAATTGACGTTTGCAAAAATTCTATAATAATTAGACACACGTTTCCGTACTTTCAATCTAACCTAATTAAAATCTAAATCAAATGGCGTGCAATGCGGATTGAAATTAAAGAATAAAATATATAGCAAAAATATTAATTCCTTTTATCTTTAAAAAAAAAGTCCGCGACATCATTTATTTAAGTTTCATATCGTAGCCAAAAATATGGTTTTTATGTTAAAAGTAAAATAAATTTTACAAACTGTTTATTTTAAAATCTTAGAGAACATTAGTATAGTACTTTCAAACATGCCAAAATACCAGCCTACTAAAATGTGTTGAACATTTTAAAAGGTACACAAACAAATATTGCACCCGTGCGAAGTCAGGGCGGGTCGCTAGTATAATATAAATTTATCCTTATTGAATAAAATATCTAACACATAGTATCATTGGGTACTGCATACTGAGATGTCATTATAATAAACTAAATTTTCCTGATTGAAACATAAATGTTTTGTTATTTTGCTTTAGTAATTTTAATTAAAGCTTATTATAAAAATTCAATAATATTATTAAATGTTTTTTACACAAATCTGTTTTCGTCATTAGTGCGGGCTATAAATAATATATAAATGTTTAATTACGTCATAACCAAAAATTTTAAGCCGTTTTTAACTTACAAGAAATAAGTATGCATTACAAACATTTTTTTTTTAATTTGGTCATTATTTTAGGTAAAGTAAATAAGTATATATGTATTGGGTATTTTTATTTATTTTTTATTAATATATAACAATCTATAATTAGATGTGATTTTATGATGGTAATTACAAAGAATGAAAATTATATCAATTGTAAATTTTGTATGAAATTATAATACAAGTGAACATAATAAAAACACAAAAACTAGACTTTTAAAAGTGATGTTTTGTTAGTTTATGGATATCATATTTATTTTATACTGTCATCTCTCCCACCACCGACAGTTTACTAAAATCCGCTAAAGCGTTTACCTCATACTTGTA